GAAAGAAAGTTTTGTTTAAAAAGATCAAATATCAGTAGAATTCTATAAAGAAATAACAAAATTCCGCAATTCATATTTTGGACAAGACAGGTGACTCTTCAGAATTTTCTAAACACAGAACTTTTAAACTACCTATTACATTAACGTTCAAACCAAATTGACTAATTTAGCAATTTATTTTTTAAAACTAGTTCGCCATAAAATTCACTAAAATGTAAATTTCTATGCAAGAATACTAGCATTGGGATACCTCAGTTTAATCTTTGTGTAATTTAAAACCATTAACATAACTGAAGCGAAATATGTTAAACTATTGCATTTTGGTAATAAATTCGAATTATTTCATGCGTTGTAACTCTAATGAAGCCTTATTGTGGAACGTTAAGTAGTAATAATGTGGTGTATTTATATTTTAAATCCACTTTAGAGTATGCATACATTAATCATATTCTTAAGGGTCTTAAATTAGCGGAACAGGTGATTAAACATGTACTAGGACATTTTCTTAAAAATTTGTGAAATTATTCGTCGTGTTGTCTCTTCTTTATGTGCAATTACATCAAATCAAGAAAAAAGAGCAGTAAAATCTTATATATAAACGCAGCTCTTTTGTATTTGTTTAAAATTTCGTTCGATTTAGAAGCAAATGACTATTTATCTATCTTCTGTACGCAGAAAGGCTTTAGATAAGCAAAACTGGTTGCCAGAAATGTCATATAGTAAATGAAATAAAATTAATAAATGCCACATGTTCTTTCTTTATGTGTTTTTACATCATGGCACATCATGCGATTTATTAGGTTTCTAATTCATCTAATTCACTTTCTTTTTTGAGTGCTGTCAGTATGTTTTATTCAAATAAAAACACTCAGTGGGTATTCATGTCAATGCATGTATGCTCAAATATAATAAATATATTATTTCTAATTTTAATTGCTTTTACTAGTTTATAATACAACAAGATTAGCCCTTTTCCGTCATCACAATAAAAGATGATTTATTTTGCAATGATGGTAATGGTTGAATAGATACGATTGGCATGTAACGTTGACGTGTTGTCCGCGATCCTCACAATCTCTAACTCTCTCTCTCTCTCCAAAGAAGAAAAATGAAAAAAGACCAAAGCTTAGATCGAGTTGTTAATCAAAAAACTTGTCAAATGGATTTCATCTCTTGTTCTCAAATCACACACTCGCAGAAAATTATGAGTTGTTCTTTTTAACTATCGATTACTAGTATTTTGAAAAGCCATATTCACTGATGAATTGTATGGGTTCTTTAGACATCCAAAAGGACCTCATTTACGATGACAACACGTTTAAATACTCTACTGAAAGAGAAATATTTGTTTATTTTTGGAGTAAAGAATTCAAAAGAGTAATATTTAATTTTTCACACAAGGAATATTTGTTCTCAGTTTCTATTCCCAATAATAAAGAAAATGGCGAGTTGTGTGATTCTAAAGATTTCTCACAATTTGTCAGTGTTGGTAAGGAAAAAAATTAGGGCTTAAGTATTTTGTCATAAGTAAACTCATCCTTTCCTATCACAACAGAAATCACAGTTCAATGTTTTCCCGACTGTTAATATGTTAACAGTCAGATATTTGTACGCTATGTCATATCTTAAGCGCAATTTAGGTTGCACAAATCATTTTCTTAAAGTCTATACTTTTGCCTCTTGACTGATTGAAGAAGATAGACAAAATCCTAAATAATTATGTTTTATCCATCAATATTTTTTTTTTCTATTGTAAAAGAATTTTTTAAAATTTGATTATTTATTTATTTACTATTTATATATTTATTATCATTATTTACAAATATCTATTTTTATTTTTTTGAAGAATAGACTTTAGAATGACACGAAAGATCTATTGCTTTGGGATGAAGGGGGAAATTCGCATTATAAGTGACTGATTCTTTTAAAAAGTACACAAAAAACTCGGTCACAAGGGTCATACGGGGTAACTCGTTACTCTTTTCTCATTGGATTTGCTTCGGGTGTACCTGGTATTTTATCAGAATCATTGAATTTAAAGTTGAAATTCAGTCTTTCATCTACTCGATTTATGCATTAGAATTCTATAACTGGAAAACAACAACCACAAAACAAACTGAAACCACGAAATTTTATTTTGCACAAGCACAAAAGTTGGAGATATTCCCATAGGAGTATTTTTGTACCATTTTTTATTAATTCCTATAGTAATGATTCGTAGTTTTGATTTATTTCGATTTTGACAAATATTCAGGACATCAGCAGAAAATGATAGGGTAGGGTAGGGCCACAATGGACAATGAAAATTTTACATTGGAATATGTAGGAAAAATCTTGAAAAAATTCTTTTCTCGAAAACAGCAAAACCATGATTGGTTATATTCACATGGAAGCATCCTCAGATAGTATAGATTCAAGTTTGTTCAAATCATGACTCTGGGGATGGAGTTGGCCACAATGGATGATCAAAGATTTACACATGAATACATATGAAAAATCTTTAACAAAAGAATAGCAAAGCCATGATTTGTCTTATTCATATGCAAACATCTTTGGGTAATGTTAATTCAAATTTGTTCATATCTTGACCCCTGGGGTAGGGAGGGGGCACAACAGATGATCAACGTTTTTTAGTTAGGAATTTATAGGAAAGATCATTTAAAAATCTTTTCAATCACAACAAACCATGATAAGTCATTTTAATATAATTTAATTTTGGTTGTAACACGTCATTTGATTGGATAAAAAATTAATTTATATTGTATAACCTGGGTTTTTTTTTTTTAGCTTTCAATTTATATTTCATGGATCCTCTATGGATTGTTGTTTTATACTTAGGTGACCGTTAAGGCCCTTGGGCCTCTTGTTAGATATTCCCTAAAAATATCCAGACGATAGATTTATTGAAACTTTGTATATAACTTAAATCTTATTATATCGGACATGTATCGATTTATTTTGCATATAAACAGATACACGAAATATAGCCAAAAGAATTCGGTAACTATTTAGTCCATTTCCTGGGTTTTATGCTTGTTAATGTAAATGCCCTTAATATATGCTGATCGCATCAGATAAATGCTGAATATAAGACATTTCCTTTTTTTAAATTCCGAAAATATAATCGACGAAATGATTTTAAAAATGAATATTTTAAAAGAAATTCGGTTATCAGAAATTTAGTTCACTTAGTAAGTAACACTGAATTAGTTTCATGCGTTTGTGATCATGACTAAAGTTGGTCATCATTAAATCTTCCATATGTACTTTATTGCACTTTATAAATTTTTAACATCAAGGGTCTTTGGTATATATATATATATATATATATATATATATATATATATATATATATATATATATATATATATATATATATATATATATATATATATATATATAAATTAAACTGCATAATTTAGCTCAATTTAGAGTGATATTTTTTAATTTTGTATTCTCTGAAATTCTTTCAAAACACTACTCTTCCTACAAGCTCCAGTTTGGTCTGATTTCAATAAACCTTTTTTTTCGCAAATAGACTACACTAAGATTCGTAATTCTATTTATTATTTTTTGATTTTTGAATAATATTGACATGGTATTCTTTTCTGTGAAATTCCTTTTAAAAGGCTACTCGACTGTTTTAGTCCGATTGCAGTAAAAGACTAAACCAAGGATCATTATTTAATCTATTTATTGCTGTTGTCATAGTTTCAAGTTCTAGCTTTCTCTATTTGTCACAAGTAAAAACCAGTAGAGCTTCATCTCGACAGAGACTTCTGGTGTGATTTTATATTTGTGTAGTTTTACCCAAGTTTGTCACGATAAACGATATTAGAGGAAAAGAAATTATAATAAATGTGAAAATTGTCGTTAAAGTCAAATATAAACACTCAAGAATTTGTATTTTAAAATTTGGAACGAGCAAACAAGGCGTAAAGGAAGGGGGGGGGGGGTGTAGAGATTATTAATCTCTACGTTAAAGATAAATCTGATCAGCTTGTCTTAAATATTCAATTTGATACTGAGACTCAACTAATGGAGAACAATTTCTTTTGAAAACAAGACTGATGACAACGACTTTAGTACGCAGTCAATGGCCTGGTTCTTTTCATGGCTTTCATTTAAGACCTTTAATAAAAACACATTCATTGTGATAACAATGATTTATTTAACAAGATTTAACAATGGATTTACAAATAATAATAAAATAAATAATAGGCAATACATGTACATTCAAATCGAAGTTGTAATTACTCGTAGATTATTCAGATAGTCAAGGATTTTATGGAGAAGCAGTTTTATTCACAATTTATGAAAAACTACAAAACACGGACTTTTAGATATATAAGAATGAAGAAAAAATATGTGCTTGAAATTTGAAGAGATCAATCAAGAACATTTATTTATATTATTGTGGGGACAAAAGCTATATTAACTAATGAACTTCTTAAATTGATTTAGAACGTTTTTTTTTTAAATTCAAGATTCTCGAAAACACTTTCGTAAACTGCTAAATAATTTTTTTCTTTGTTTTCCTAATATTTTTTCCTACAGTTAAAGGGGGTAAAAAACTGTGTATAAAAGTGGCCTCATCGAGTTCTTAAGGTTATTTCCAAGCGGAAGTTCTATTTAATGGTTTTGGTCGTATTCAGTTTTATTTACCCCACAGAAAATGAAATAAAAGTATGTAGCTTTTGTGAAGGCGAGGCAAGTCAATATATATTTCGGTGTCTGTATTTCAGTGAAAGAATCTGCATGATTTAATGAAAGACTCGTTCTGTCTTTGAGGGTATAATTGATCGGAAATGGTTGTCAGAACCAAACATCGAAGATTTTTTTCTCTCAAAAATCTTTTCCCATCAAATCTTTCAAAACATGTCTGAACTGTTGCTGAACTTTACTACAATGAAGTATTTGGTGGTTTTTCAATTTCAATGCACTTTATGAAGTGTCATATATTCTGACGTCTGAAATCTTTGAATTTTGGCACGTTCATGACCAATGTCGCAAAAACCAAACACTTCCAATCTATCGCTAGTGATTTAGACGAAATAGCTTCAACTAAAGTTGTAAACTAGTTCGTTTATCTGGCTTTGTAGTCGTATCTTTGGACCGATGGTGGTGTTCCATAGCGACGTGGAGTGGACGTTGTGGATAGGTTGCCTACGGACAGCGGAGTCGTGGAACGTAAATGCACTCGCACAACTTCGCGTGGAGTTCGACGTTCCTTTGGACGTGGGGTCTCATATTCTTTATACTCCCAATACCCTCTTTTCTTCGGAGGGGGACTCGGGCTAAAGTACTCGGGCGTGCGTTCCCTGTACCTGTATTTGGGAGGGGGACTTTCTATGGGTGGTAAACTTGGTGAAGGTGGTGGTGGTGTAACTCGACGTTTAGTAGTCTTGTAAATGTTATTACGTATGTCTGGTATAAGTAAACATGCAGCCGTAGCAAAGAGGCCAGCAGCTAGCGTGACCAGACCCAAGGAGTAGGATGTATAAAAATCGGTCGGTAAAAGTACCGCATACACAATCATTCCGATCACAGCAAATATAGCTACAAAACAGAACATTTGTTTAGAAATTTACCTTATACCTGTTAAACTTTCGAAAATCGAACAATTGTGAAAAGCAAAAAGTATCCTCAAGACTTCATGATTGGTGGTGAAATAATGACATTGCATATATTCTCAATTTTTCGATGATTCTGTATGACTAAACTACTTTTTTTGGGGGGGAGGGATCATGGTAAATAGAATTTACCTGCAGCGAATGACATACAAATAATGGTTAATGCTAAACATTTTGATCTAGCAGCGTCCGTGGCAACGTAAATACTGTACAGAACGGTGATAGGAACCGCAGCAATCATTACCACGATCATCAATCCGAGGGTGGGGTCCCTACCACCTGTAAAATACCAAAAAAGACATTCAGTAAGATCATCTTCATTTTATTCCCAATAAAACCATCATTTTCATTCCTGTAAGCACCAGTAAGCATATTAATATATATTTTTTTCAAAACACCCATCGTAATGCTACTGCGCAAGCAGATCTGCAAAGGTACTCGATAAAAAGAAAAACATACCGTTCATGTAGACACTTTAAAAGCCGCTTACAAAAAAACTAAACATTCAGTTTTACTTTATATTCATGTACATGTATAACCATTCTGTCAAAAGTTGTCGGTATGGTACCAATGACTAAATTTCACTTATAAATGCAACATTTTTATGGTTTCTAACATACACCGTTTTCATTTCATTTATAGATGCTACAGATCGTTGTTTTTTCTTTAAGTTAAACGAATACTCAAAAAGTATTACGTTTATTTTATGCTCGCTTTCATATATCAGGTGTTTGATATCATGAATGAAGGGAGATTTTATGCATTATATTTACCATATTCCTGTGTCATATGTTCATATGATACATGGCATATAAATTTTCTGATTATTAAAAGCTTGGAATACTATAGAAGTGTAATCTCAATTTCTCATTGCTTGCAACAGCACGCAAATCTTGTTTATTTGACAAGATCTATTATCACCTGTATTGATTAAGGTTAAATAAACCCATTAACAGGCATACCTTGCTATAATTCATCTTTACACGGATAATTGAAGGAAGACAGACTAAAGTTGTAGATTACGAACTTTAACCTTATTGTTATCAATGAAGAAATCGTATGTAAAGTTAGCACACATTTGGAAAATATTGAAAATGTTCCTGTCATGCATTGAATTTAAGCTTTTATTAAAAATAAGTTTATGACCATGTTATTTTTTTCAATCTCATATTTGTAAAGGCATAAATTATGTGTAATTGCACATTGGTTCAGTAAGAATTTTGCTCTCGGGCGATATTGTTTTGTTTGTTTGTTGGTTGTTTGTTTTTGTTTTTTTGTTTTTTGTTTTTGTTTTGGTTAGTAGATAAAATAAAAATGAAAATAAATATATACTGACTGTTTTGATATTGTGATGATATGTCCGATGTTGAACAACTTCCCGAAGAACAATCGATCATTTTGAACAGTCCCACTGTGATATCTTTGTTATTCTGAACAGTTTGGGTTATCATCCATCCTATAGTACCAAATCCTGACAAAAATAATGCCAATCCGATGTACTGGAACACTAAGCCAATCTTTGCCCATTTCGAAGCCGTCCCACAAAATGTCATTTTGATCGCAAAATTTTTACCTTCTTTAGAATTAACTTTTACCAGTACTGGTTAAGAGTCATTTCATTACGTGGTAGAAATTATTTCCTTTTTTTCTACAGTTCTCATCCACATGAAAATTCAATGTTTCTTATGTGTATTTTCCTCAAAAATTTCATCCGTAAAGGTTTTCTTCGCTAATAATTCGCACTATTCTCATCTTCAATTATTTTGGGATTTTAGAAAGTTTTCGAACTGAATTGTGCAGTTTTAAAATCCATGTCGGATGACGTCAAATTGTCTCGTAAAATATTTATCATAAACACATTTTCGTATACAACTGGTAGTTTCCCTTTCTAAGTCAAATCGGGTTAAATACTAAAAGAATTAGCATACAACCAGTTTGATATTTAATATATATCCAGAAATCAAAAACTCTTTGATTCTTTTGTCATTGTTGAATTGCAGTCTTTATTGAAACCTACGGCATTCTGCTCGGAATCGTTTTGCCTGACTGTATTCGAGTCGCTTTTGTCGTAGTTCTTAACGATAGAATAAAAATTTACCAAAGAAACTAGTTAAGTTTAAATAGGCATTGAAATTTTCATTGGCTGCCAACAATGATGATATTAGCTCATGTGGAGGCTCCATTTATATCATGTGTATGAAATGAATACCAAAGACTGATGTCCTATTATGCGGAAAATTACAAGCTTTTACGTAAACTATATCGTGAATGATTTGACAATTTGTTGACATTTCATATTTTCATACCTTTACTGATTTTTTTTATATATCCGTTTGCTTAAAAAATCCTTTAAAATATTTTTTTAAGCAAATTTAGAATGGTCCGTGAATTTCCTCTTGTAGTTCTAATACATAGAAGTAAATGTTCTGTTTCGTTTTTAAAAAATTTATTTGTGTTTAATGTAGGACAGGTGTCTGAAATAGCTTGAATCGAGTTAACAGTGTGTTAGAAGGACTATGTAATTCTGTGATTGATTACTTTTTTAATTTTGAGGATGAAAGGGAAAGAGAGGTTCTACCGAATTTTGATGATTGAAAATTTACAAACACAGTGGTTGAAGTTGTTTTTAATTATATTATTATCTCGTAAAACCATATGTACATGTTACTCGTCTCTGATATTATTATGATATTATTAGAATAAATGTGATTATTTGGTTACGCCAAATATTTCTCGTATATCAAGGAGGTATTACACTTTTCAACAAGTTCTTATCATAATTGTAATATATTTCATCACAATTTTTTCTTAGTTATTTTATCTACTTGTTAATAAAAATAAATATTTTAAATAAGGTGAAATATAGACCTGACTTTGTAACCATGATATCACAAATACACGTAAATGCCTTAGACAAAGTGTTAAATGTGAAGGTAATGGCATTTTGAAATTGGAAGCTCTTAAGTAGAGAGAAGGGAAAAAAATCTTTCAGTGCATCAATTTTTAAGACTGATTAGAATACAGCTCATTTATTTTCTTATTTCAGTTTGAAAACCTTATGGAAGATGTGAGTATGACGCTTCAACCGAATTTCTTAAAGTAGAAATAATACATTGTTATTTTAAATTTTAAGATCTTTCCATGAAGTTTTATCACCTACAAATATCATAGCATAATCTTTAAGGATCTGTATAAAGTCAGCACAGTTTTAATTTTAATAGTTGAAATACATAATTGTATGTTACACTATTACAAACTGCTTACATATCCCACGAGGTTGGGTATGCCATAACATTAAATTGGAATTGAATATGGAAATATTCATGCCATTCATGCTGTATGAATATTACAGTATGGACATCGGGGTTTACTTCATCGTTTATATAATACTTCTTTATACCTATATTTTTTTCTAAATGGGCAGCTAACTAGGAGGATCAATTGTCAACAATTTTACTTGTATCACTGATTTACTAGATAGATGAGAAATCAAACTCATCATTTACTTTTTAATATTATGGCGGAGCAAACCAGAATCAATAATTTCATAGAATGTACTGATTTAAGTTTGTTTGTGCTTTTCAGGATCCAGTGCAGGACGAAGTAACAAGGTAAGCGCCCTCCCTCACCCCGGCCTGTGGTTTTGCGAAATGGCGGGAACATTAAATTTCATTAGTCTATCAGTCCTTTAGTCTGTCAGTCTGCCACAAAAACTTCAATCTTGGTCATCATTTTTGAATGAGAGGAGATTGTTATGGATTTCATATTGCATATATAGAATACCTGTGACAAGACCTTGTCATCTGTACTATGAATTTTGATCCATAACCTTGGCCTTGAAGTTTGACATACTTTTCAAACTTTTAACATTGGTAATAACTTTTGAATGAGAAAAGATGAGATTTTCATATCTCATGATCTTGACCCTGAAATTTGACTTTTTAGAAATTTTAACCTTGGGTATAACTTTTGCACCTCAAGAGACAGGACTTTCATATTTTTCCCATGTGCATTACTTGTGCCAAGACAGATCGGAATATGCTAAGATTTTTGACTTCATGACCTACACCAGTTTCACTCTCAAGAACTTTAATCTTGGCCATAACTTTTGCACTTGTTGCAATATGCCAAATCATTGCACCTAAACCAACAAGACCCCTAAATTGGCTAACTACAATTCTCTTAATTTGCCTGTAAATCTTCATATATACATGTACATGGATCCCACATTTTATTCTGAAGTATGCCACTGCTCACTCTCATAGGAATAAAGGTGCTGAAAGTGGAACTCCTTGTAATTACATCATATCACTAATTTCTATGACATACAAATTGATTTGAGAAATACCATCTCACTGTAGAGACGTTACACAATTACCTTTGCATCCTGTACAGAAACACCTGGCAGTTCAAAATCTTTTTAAAAGAAATCAAGAATTCAGCCCTTTTTTTGGAACTAATGATGACATTATATTATATATGAAACTCATCACGTTTGGAGAAGTGTGCTTACTTGTAGTTTTTTTAAATTTAGCCAGTAGATGTGAAGAGCTTAATCGGACCAGCGGGTACCGCCTTGACATAGAAAGAAAACACTTAACTGAAAGGGTGTTTTAATGGGGTCTCAAACTTAAAAGATATTAATTGCTTGTTTTTTCCTGCAGCGAATGCAAACAGTAGATGAAAATATATTCTTTTGAGAATGCTGAAGCAGTATCGACGATAGACATGCCTTTGGTATTTAGAAATTGAATTTGATTTTATATGTAAACTTTCCATGTTTAATGTCATGATATGACCGAACTCTTATGGTGATTTTAAGATCGTTGTGTAAATAGAATTATTCTGTTCACACTGATCTACTTCTTTATTTAAAAATATTTAATTGTTTACGTGGTTTCGTTCTATCTGAACCAATAGTATTTTACTCGGAGAAATTACAAAAAAGTATTAAGTTGATCAATGAGAATTTTTCCTAAATTGCAAATACATGTACACAAACGAAATGAAGTTCGACCTACTGACAAAACACTATTTATGGTAATGATTTTCAAGAGCGAAAACTATCTTCAATAATTGAAAAGAATTTGTAATGCAAGAGTTCTCAAGACCCCTTGTATTGAAAGTGAAGAAGTGTTTTGGCACAAGAAAATAAATTAACTTCTCCTGATACAATTAAATTAAGTATTTTAAGTACTGGTTAAATAAATATGAAATCGGTATTTAAAGAATAACTTATCAAAAGAATAATTTATAATAATGTATTTAATTTTAGAAATTTAGAAATGGAGAAATTTCTTAAAAGAAATGATAACCCCATACTTGTGATAGCTGGAAGATTACATGTAATGGAATTTTAATTAACTGTTAAAAATTTCAGGTCCAATAAACCAGTGTTTTCATTAATAAAAACTGCGATGGTCTCTCAATTTATTGTTTAATAAAGTAGCGTTATTCGAGTATCAAAATAGTTCATCAGTGTCTTTAATTTTTTAACCGCCTAAGCCTGCTTGTACAAGCTCCGCAACAGTGAAGCACACATCCCTTTCCATGACGTTATTAACATTTTTTACCTTATTTTTACTTAAAATCCTTTCCTTGGAGGCGTCCATTGTCCAATACAAAGTATCTAAAACTAATAAAAGGAAAAAAAAATTCCGAGCAAATTTATACGCACATGGCTAACTTCTGATATATTTTCTTCCTCTTAACAGCAATTCTGTTTGTAATGGCGTTTTCCCAAATGCAACAAAATTGTGTCGCAACTTGCTGATTTGTGACGTTCTACGGCGTCATCTATTTGTTTTTGGGTTTTTTTAGGTCACCTGAGTCACTCAGGTGACCTATTGCTATCTGTTTTCGTCCGTCGTCGTCCGTCGTGCGTCGGTCGTAAACTTTTGAACATTTTTAGCTTCTTCTCTTGAACCACTGAACCAATTTCAACAAATTTTGACATATAGCATCAGCGGGTGAAGGGGTACAAAAATTGTGAATTTCATGGTCCCTGCCCCCCTGGGGCCTGAGGGGTGGGGCTAAAACCATCAAAATTAGTGCCATCTTTAAAAATCTTCTTCTTTACTCCTGGACATCAAGCAGTCAAACTGTTGGCATGATTGTAATAAGCATTGAGCCCTCTACCAAATTGTGAATTTCATGGCCCTAGGGTCAGGGGTTCTGGTGGAAGGGCAGGCCTGTATTGATTATAAAGTGAAAATGCATTATTTCTTTGAAAATCTTCTTCTCTTCTCCTGGGTATTATTTAAACAAACTAAGTGCATGGTTATGACAAGCAATGATGCCTTTTCCAAAATTGTGAAATGCATGGCCCTGGGTCAGGGGTTCTGGTGTTAGGGCAGGGACTTTATTGATTATATAGTGAAAATGCATTAATTCTTTGAAAATCTTCTTCTCTGCTCCTGGGTATCATTTAAACAAACCAAGTGTATGATAATGATGCACAAGGATGATTTTTCGAAAATTGTGAAATTCATGGCCCCAGAATCAGGGGTTCTGGTGTTAGGGTGGGGCTCTATTGATTATATAGTGAAAATGCATTAATTCTTTGAAAATTTTCTTCTCTGCTCCTGGATATTATACTAACAAACTAAGTGCATGGTTATGACAAGCATTGATGCCTTTTCCAAAATTGTGAATTTCTTGGCCCCTGAGTCAGGGGTTCTGGTGGTAGGGCGGGGCTCTATTAATTATATAGTGAAAATGCATTAATTCTTTGAAAATCTGCTTCTCTGCTCCTGGATATTATTTAAACAAACTAAGTGCATAGTAATGGTGCACAAGGATGCTTTTTTCAAAGTTTTGAAATTCATTGCCCCAGGGTCAGGGGTTCTGGTGCTAGGGCGGGGCTATATAGATCATATAGTGAAAATTCATTATTTCTTTGAAAAATCTTCGTCTCTACTCCTGGGTATTATTGAAACAAATTGAATACATAGTTATAATAAGCAAGGGTGAGTCTACCAAAATTGTGCAATTCATGGCCCCAGGGTCAGGGTTTCTGGTGGTAGGGCGGGGCTATATAGATCATATAGTGAAAGTGCATTATTTCTTTGAAAATCTTGTTCTCTACCCCTAGGTATTATTGAAACAAATTGAATAGATAGCTATAATAAGCAAGGGTGACTCTACCAAAATTGTGAAGTTCATAGCCCCAGGGTCAGGGGTTGTGGTGTTAGGGTGGGGCTATATAGATCATATAGTGAAAGTGCATTATTTCTTTGAAGATCTTCTTCTCTACTCCTGGGTATTATTGAAACAAATTGAATACTGTAAAAGTGGTTATTTACACTGGTTGTTAAGTACGCGTTTGTGACCATCAAACGTTACGCGTGGGTGTAATATACGCGGTCGCATGAGTTACTGAGAAAAATGTACGCGGCCATCGTTTACTAACATCGAGTTGTTCCCCTTTGAAAAGGTCAAGTAGTTAACACGCATGAATAAGAAAAAAAATGGAAATAATTACAAACAAACTAAACAAAAAGAATTTATACTGTTGGATTGCTAAATATAACAGCGATCTGCACAGTCAAAAGCGGTGAAGTGTGAACAACTGGTGTACACGTTATTGTAATTATTTACGCAAGCTCAAACTTCAAAGTGTTATTTACTTACCTGTATCTGCGCAGCGAGTGTTGGCAATTAATTCAATAGGTATGTTTATAGTGACTCTGAGTTTGTGTAACATTTTGAACTAATTATTTGAAATTAAGAGGTACATACAAAGGAAATGAAAATGAGTATCGATGTTTTTAAGCTTTAATTGCTTGACGTTGCTTTAAAATATTTAATATGAAGATGCAATTTTCATTGCACAATTAAAAAAAAAAGAACAGTTACGTTTTCATAACTGTTTGTGATGTATTTATTTACTCATGTGCGTTCAATACCACGATTAATATATGACTGGTTCGACCGGTCTAACAGTATAAGTCATGGTCTAGAATGATTCCTGAAGTTTGAAATTTTGTGACCATACGCGCGGGGTATTTTACGCGGTTCTAAGCTTACCTCGTAAGTAGTGTAAATTTCCCCCATGCGTAAATAACCACTTTTACAGTATATAGTTATGATAAGCAAGGGTGACTCTACCAAAATTTTCATATTCATGGCCCCAGGGTCAGGGGTTCTGGCACTAGGGCGGGGCTATATAGATCAAGTGTTCTGGTCCTGGCCAGAGCTCTATTAATTTGTATTCAACTGAGAGGAGTTATTCTCCTTTGCTATTTACTTTTGATAATTAATCACTGTAAATAATGTACTTGAAAGGTTAATAGAAGAGAAGAATTATGCAAGATTTTTTATTGTATAATACAAAAAGTACTTTTATAGTTTAAATGATCAGGTAGACTTGTAAGTAATATAAATAAAAATGAGACAAAAATAACTTGTCTTATTCAATGTTCATCAAAGACCAAGAGAGTCCAATGTAAGGGATTTCATCAAGGAATTGAAATAGTACGGAATCACTGATAATTTGTTCATATACTGTATGGTGATAGTGATAAATGGGGAACAGATTAGAACCTAATTTATGAACTGTTAATGAACAGTAGACTAATTATTTAATTGATCCTGATCACCCTATTTTTCTTGCTTTTGGGCAACAAAGCTTCACCTTTCAGTTCATTTTATACTCTATGGATCCTCTAAATTGTTGTATCATACTCAGGTGACCGTTAAGGCCCTTGGGCCTCTTTTTTTTTTTTTTTTTTTTTTTTGAATAAGGACCACCTGTCTTCTGCAATTAGTATCTGTTCAACGAAACAAAATATAACATCAAAATTTGACAAATGAAATGATGTAACCATACTCAGTTTGAGTGTTTAATTTTATGTTGTTTTAATGCTCTTTTACATGACTATTGAAATTTTATTGATTGATTGATTGTATGTTATTTAACGTCCCATTTGAGAATTTTTCACTCATATAGGGACGTCACCTTATGCCTGTGAAGGACTTCAAATTTAGACCTATACTCGGCACTCAGGGCCATTGAGCAGTCAAGGTTCTTTATCGTGCCAACGCCTACCGTGACACGGGACCTTGGTTTTTAAGTTCTCATCCAGAAGACCCTGACTTTCACTTCTAGTGATGGGCGCTTGGCGAAGGAACTCTCAATACCTATGTTTACGTCTGAGGTTTGACGCGGCGCGGCGAACGACAATCGAACCCGGGTCTTCCGAAGTGATCGCCCTACCACTCTAGACTACCGTGACCGGTTTTGAAACAATAAAGCAAATTGTAGTTACCTTCCTAAATTTTGACCTGCTCCGAGACCCTATTGTTGCTGTGTAAACGTATGTTTTGAATGATCCTTGTATATTTGACTCACTGGTGTGTTAAAACTGGCATCTGTCTAGCTTTATTGAGGTCGTTCTAGCATAGGCTGGTCACGTGGTTTTTATTCTCTGACTTGACTGCCCTCATACAAATACCCTGTCTACACTTAGGGCATATTTCTATAAGGTATTCCATAGTCCTTTTTAATTCTTTTTCAGTGAAAGGAAAAGCTTAACCCAAATGAAATGTTAATTTCACACGTAAAATGTTCAATGTTTGATGTTATTGTATGATTTACTTTTAAATAGACAAGATTACTAAGTAAATATGTATGTATTAATGTAACTGAATCATACAATACACACTAGACAACATATAAAGAAATACTGAGGTGATAAGAGAACCAAGATCTCCGATCTTTATGTACTCGATGGAAGAGATCTGGAATTCAAAATTACTAATATTGAAAATAACATAATAGGTATTTTCTACTGTTTTACAAACCTACTGTGATTCCCGATAAAAATAATTAACATTATATTACAATTTTACTTATATAAGAGTAATTACTGCACTTTAACAATAGTAAATTTAAAAAAAATGAATGACGCTTAACCATTTATTGTTGGAAATATATTTGAGAAGGAATATACTGATTTTATTTTTAAAATCGACATTTAGGGGTAAATGTAATTTGATTTTAATCGATACTATTAAATATCAGTGACGATCGAAAATAAATAATAATATAAATTATTTGAATATTTTAGCATCAATAGTATTTTGATCATTTTACATTTGAGAAAGATGATAAAATCACTGGCAAAAATCCGCAAAAGCGATCTAGATAGATGATTAAAATTGATTCTTTCTCCTAATAGAAGGCTCTAATGAGAAAATTTCATTACAATAGCATTTTTATTAATAATAAAAAGCGAAATGGGCTTTCAATTTACTTTTTACAGAAGTCTCTCATACCATATGTACCATATGCTAGTCAAAGGTGTCGATCCACTCCTTTTTTCACATAGGAAAGGAGTAGTTCGTTACCTTTGGCTATCGAAAATGCATGTTTATCTCAAATTTATATTAATAACGTTTTGTTTTCTGTAATTTTCCTACTGAGGAATCTAACGTTTCTTTTGAAATATATTCACTCGAAAGCAATATATCCATATGTAAAAGAAATAATCGGGTCTGTTTTGGAATTTTTTTCTATCTTTGTGGAGGTCCTTCTATCATAGACTGGTTATGTGGTATTTATACACTGACTTGTCTGCCCTCATACAAATGCCCTGTCTACACTGAGGGCCTATTTCCATAACGTATTCAAGTTCTTTTCAATTCTTGTTCAGTGAAATGAAAAGTTGTAGAACACATATAAAATGTTATGTAAAATTTTTCAGTGTTTGATGTTATTGTATGTTTTACTTTTAAATGAACAAGGTTACTAAGTAAATATGTATGTATTAATGTAATTGAATCATACAATACACACTGGACAACATATAAAGAAATACCGAGGTGTTAAGAGAACCAGGGTTTCCGATCTTTATGTCCTCGATGGAAGAGATCTGGAATTCAAAATTACTAGTAAGATATTGAAAATATCATAATAGGTATTTTCTACTGTTATTGCAAACCTACTTTGATTCCCGATAAAAAAAAATTAAATGATATTACAATTTAACTTATATAGAATATAAAAAGAATAAATGAAGCTTAACCATATATTGTTGGAAATATTATACTGGAAAAGAAATGTTTTGAAATTAATTTTAAATCGGCATTTAGGGATACAAATTCGATTTTTTTGACTAGTTGCTATGTAAATATTATATATTTGATGTAATTGAAGCAAACAAAACATGTTGGATAACATACAGAGAAATACTGAGGTTTAAAGAGAACCAGGATCTGTGATCTGTGTGTACTCACTCGGAGAGATGTAGAATTCAAAACTAATTTTACGATATTGTACTTTCATGTAAATTTTTGTCTAGTACCAATTGTTTATAAACACTGTTAACCTCTGAATGATGAAACCATGCCCTTCAGTGTAACTGACCTCACATGTAGCTATATTCAAAATTGCTTGAGGACGGGTGATACTCCACACCACAAAAGTGATGACTGCGCGGAATCTATGCGCGCGAGGTTCACCTTTATTTGTGTTTCTATTCGTATAAAACATTCAGTAATATAAAAATATCACATGTGAAATTCAAGGTATAACAGTATCACAATCATGTAATTTTTTTGTTATACTGAATGCATTTAGAATGCGTTTCAAAGAAAACGTCACGGTGAACCGTACGCGCAAACATTCTGCGCAATTTATAATTGTTATACTGATACCCGTCGTTATGCACTTTCAACCGGTTCTGTTTAATGTTACCCAGAGGGCGTGGTTTATGCACGCGTAGGGTAACGGTACTTTTTAACAAATGTTTTTAAAGCAATCAAATTTGACTATTAAACATGGAAGTATAACAAATACTGCATGTAATTGAGGGAACATTGAAAATTTTCACCCCACGAAAACCATTGTCAACCAGCGCCTCGGTTGAGACAATGGTTTTCTTGAGGTGAAAATATTCAGTGCAACCCTCAACTACATGCAGTATTGATATAATAAGATATTATTGTCATATATACTGTATTTACAAACAGTAATTCCTGCTGTGTTATAAGATATAAAATATAGCATAATATTACTATTTAAGTTATATAAGAGCAATTATTGCACATGTAAGACAATAAATTACAAACAAAAATGATAATAATGAAATAAATGAAGCTTAAAAATAATTCTTTGAAAACAAAGAGTATGGAAATTTATGCACTGATAAATAATATATATCTAGGAGTACAAGTTAGTTTTTTTTTTTCAATTGATATTATTAAATATCTTTGACGATCGAAAATAAATATATCTTGACATTTTGCATATTACTTGTTTGAATGTACATTTAAGAAAAATGATAAAAGCTGCAGTATGATATACTTGTATAAACATCTTCAGAGAAATGTTGCAATGAATAAACTAAAGATTATTACTATAATTATCATTGTGTTGAGTCCCTGGTGGACTGATCTTTGTATTCCACCTTTATGGGGTGCCAAATTAGGAATTTCTCAGTGTTATTAAAATCTCTCTGTATATTTGTACTTACTTTGAGAAAGATTGAAATTGAATATCTCACCTAAACGAACGTTAATATGCATTTAAACAGAGTTTGGAGTCCAAGGCATTTTGATAAATAATTATGCTGAATAATTTATTTTTATTCAACATCGAGGTCTTTACTTGTTAGGTCAGTTTTGAGACTTGAACAAATGCAGTCTAGTTTATATGAATCATTTGTGTTGCGTAACGCTGTTTTGAAATCATTGATATTCATAGAAATTAAAAAAACTTAAACATCTAATTTTCATGATTTCTAGCCCAAAATTCTGGAATTACCTGATTTTTTGTGTGGGTATGTGAATCATTTGATTCATAATAGGCCTTAGCAACAAAAAAAAGCAAGAATTAGTCACAGGAAAAATTCTCTTTTTTTAGCTTTAGATTTTGCAGTAAACATTTTAGAATCTATATTCACTGAATTTCATAGTGAATCGATTAAACTTTCGGAATTGTATTTACCAATGCTTGTAATAAACAAATGTCCTTGTTTGTTTAACAAGAGGCCACTTGCAGTTAAGGTCTGCTCCTTTCACAGTGTCTAGATATGTGCGGGTGGTAAGTGTGCACGCATCCCGACTAATGTAGACGGGGAAAACGGCTTTTCATCAAAATTTTCCTACCCGTTCAAAACAGTTTGATTTTATTATTTATTGCATTTTCTTTTCTCCCTATTTAATGTTGTCACGCCATGTTTGCGTCAAAGTTTGTGCTGAGTCATCGTAAAACGTACGTATTGTTTTCTGTTGCCATATATATAATGTTTATTTTCTGTTTGTGGTAGATTGGTGACCGAGAGAGAAAAACAACTCTTGGCTTCCAAACAGTACACAAATCTGATTCACGAGCAAAAACGTATTGATGCAGAAATTGACAAAAAGGTGAGCTTCAATATCTATGGACACCAATCATACCACGCATGAGTGTTTCGTAGGCAAAATAGTTCTCGACTGTCATTATTTTAGTTTCTTCAATTACTGGTAAAAAACGTTTAAAGATGATAGTTTGCACGTGGTTTAATGTTGTTGCTTTTGTTCTGCTTAGTCTTGTAAAGAACGAGCTTCGTGTTGTACTATCATATCAAAATGAGTATAATAGCATCAATTAATTATAATAAAAGAAATTTAATGAAAACATTATTCATATAAATCTTATTCATTACATAATAATTAACTGAAAGGTATGTACAAAAATATTTTCGCTCATCACTTTAAATTTAGCTTGCCCAACAAGAAGAGGATATTCGACTTGAAGAAGAAAAGTTTTATGAAGCAAAGCGTGAAGCAGCTCGAATTGCAAAATTACAGAAAGCGAAAGAAAAGAAGGCTAAAACATCAACACAAGGTTCTGGCAAATCTTGGTTGGGAGAAAATGAAAAAGATTGGGATGTGTAAGTTTAGACTTCTATGCATATATATCGTTCTATAAGTTGGAAAATTTTAAGAATGAATTTTCAAGTAACAATTATTATTTTCAGGGCTGGTGGTGAAGACGATTTTGAGTTATTTTTAGCCAATGTTAAAGCTAGATCATTGAAAACCACAGCCAGACTTCGAGAAGGTATGGCAACAATGGTCAGGCCATTTGCAACAATCTCCAGGTTTTTATTAAATAGTAAGAAACATTGGTTATTATTGAAAAGATTCCCAAGTTTTTAATTTATGGAGTACTGTTTCATTCGGATGTAGGAGATGGACAAAGTTCTAATAGTTCTGGACAAACAACTACACATTCCAAGGATAGGTCGCAGGCAGACGGTTCCTCTCTGGATTTGGAATGGGAAAATGAGGATGGTATGAAATCAATAAATTTTGGTGCAGATTTTTCAGTTTTTTCCCTTTGGAAATTATAATTGCAAATTTTGTTTTCTGATTTAAAAAATAAGTTACCTGTCCCACCAGATATGGCTAATAAAATGGTATAGAAATATTCTTTATCGTTAAGATTAACATTTTAAATTTGTATTTGAAAAAAAAAGAGTTTGCATTGCAGTAGAGAGGTAATCATTGTAAGCGCATTGTCATTCTGTTTAAGCAATGTTTGGAAGAGCTGAATAAGCTAACGGAGATATTTTTTCAAGGTATTCCTCAAATGAAGAAAGACAAATCTTCAACGGATGAGAATGCTGTCTCTTCATCATCAACCCAAGGAAGACAAAGTCCCATAAACTCCAATGATCTGGAATGGGACAATGACTTTGTATCTGCAGAAATTGATACCAGTGACACTGCACAGCTCCTTGCGGCAGAGATGGCTATTCAGAAAACAGCGTCCCGTTGACTTATTCATAATTATATGTTGTTCATATATAAATCTTGAGACATTATTTTCTTGAAACGGCTCGATGACAGAGGTAGAAAGTTGTCAAGATATATTCAGTGGACACAAAAAGAAGAAAGGGTCAATGCTTGCAGAAACGTTTGCTTCCAGAAATTTCATTTGCATTTGTGTTTATTAGGGGACCAAGATATATTTTTGTGCATTTTTGATATCCTCATTTATCCTACAAAACATAGATATAATACATTTTACTGTGTACATTTATTTATGTAAATATTTATAAATAAAATACATTTTATATTCCGGTTGCATTTTGGAACTATAAAAGATTGCCTTAAGCTCATCAAGGAAATGTCAATGTGTTAAGATTTCTAGATTTTTGAATGTACTAGTATAAGACCATGCTGATCAACAGAAATAACTAACAGGAAAAGACGAGAATGAAAACATGACATGATTCAAATTTTTATTAGGTATTCCCTAACAGAACAGAACTGAGTACATCATTGTATGAAGACATGATAGCTGAGCCTTTTTTCTGAATTGTAAATTGTGTCCACTAATATAAGCATAACAAAAACAATAAATTAATTAAATGATAACAAAATTAACAATTTTATGACTAGAATGATACATTTATATGGTGACAAGTAATGATGGTCTGTTTGATTATGCCAATTACAAATGTATGTGTTTATGCAAAATTAAACGATATACTTGTGCGTGTGGAAAAAATGCAAAATTTAAATCAGAATGCCCTTTCACCTATAGTCCTGAAAATCAGCAGTTCAGTAACTGAAAATGTTTCCGTAATAACTCAAGCACTCAAAGTGCATCATAGATAATAACTAAATATGGGGGAAATTATTAAAAAAAAAATCTCAAATATGTTGTAAATGTAAATAGAAACATCAATTATACATTTTCTAAGAAGTTTAAAAATTGATCAACAAACATATTTTAGGCTAAGAGATAGTGTGTATGGCATATAAAAATTGCATGTTTTTGATACTTATGTGGTATTTTAGTTCTATCAACTTAAATTGTCGTGCACAAAGCATGATATCATTGCAAGATATCGTAGATCGCTTCCAATTTAATCTCATGCTAATGAGTTATGGTATTTATGGTGAATTTAAAGGAAATTTGATTTCTCTTAAATTGTTATCTATTGTCCTTTTATGGGGAGCACAAATCAACTATTTACAAGGCCGTTTCAAACTTCAAATTACCTTGGGTCTTATTAAGAAGCATAAATGTAAATTGTTGCAAGAAAAGATTTCAATTTCAAGCTTCATTTTGAGACATAAAAAAATCACAAAATCCTGGCATGGAATGAACATCCTTCACTTCATGTAAAAAAATGAAGGGTTTCGTTGGTTGTAATGAGTTAATAAAGTGATTCCTGTTCTCACTGTCTTTTTAACCTTGTCCTATCTGGCTTTGTAGTCGTAGCGTTGCACAGATGGTGGAGTACCGTAACGTCGGGGTGACGCGTACGAAATCTGAGATACCGGGGGCCCCCGGACATGATGAACACGGACTACCTCTCTTGGAGGAGAGTATGAGCGTTTTATTTCCCTTGGTGTAGACCGTTGTTTACGCGTGTATGCTGAATGATCATCATACTCTTTGTAAATCCAGACGCCTTTCGGACGGCGGGGAGTGTAATATACGGGGGATTCAGCTCTGGAGGTGTAGCGTGGTGGAGGCGATTCTATCTCAGGCAAGCTTGGGGTGGAGGGAGTTCTGACCACACGTGTGTGACTTCGGCGTCTGTAAACTTTGTTTTTGATATCGGGTATTAACATACAACCGGCACAGATGAATAAAAACGATGCTATCGTAACAAGTCCAAGGGAGTAGGAAGCATAAAAATCAGTAGGCACTGCGGTGGCATAAACAATTACTCCTATCAGAATAAATAGAGCTGAAAGTAGAAGATTATAATCTTGATTGAAAATAGCATCGTAAAGTTTTCAAAAAGTATTTCATTTTCAAAAGGCAAATATATTTACCTGCAAAGAAAGTAAAGCACATTATGGTAATTATCATTGTTCTGTATCGAGCCCCCTCCGCGGCAACATAAATACTGTACAGGACTGTGGTTATTACTGACACTATCAAAACGACAATCATGAGGCCAAGTGTGCCATCTCGACCACCTGGAAAGATTAAATGCTATTTTACACATGAGAACATGACCAGATTTTCTTATAGATTCAATATTGTTATAGAGATGAAATATTGAGATAACGAGAAGTTATTAAGCTAAGAGGTCAATTACTAGTAGAAGAGCAAACACGGACCTCTAAAAACATAGAGGTGGAATCCGGTGCCATTGAGGGGTAAGCATCCGTTGTCGACCGGTTATTCCCGCCGTGTGCTCCTTGTCATGATCGGGAAAACGGAAAAATCCGTAGACAATTCAGTGTGTAAATAATGGTCTAACAATTCAGTGAAAGTCAGTCAACATTCGACTAATTGATAGACTATTTGCTGACAAGGTGATTGTATCGACCATAGAACTTGCAAAATGATTACTTTAATTGGGACTGTTGATTTCTTGTTCCATCAACTTGTTTGTCAATAACTGCCTCATTTTAGAAATTGTTTGTACATGCTCTTGCGTATCAAATCAACTGGGAGACATAAACACCATATTAGGTGATTAGGGTATATTGCTACATAAATAAGGGAGTTGACGATAAAAAAGATAAAACCATCACGTTTTTCATAAAGTTTTGTAGTTAGGTTTCATTGACGTCTTTTTCTAGCTTAACATCCAAATAAGAAACAGTGTCAGACACTGTGGTATCTTTTATTTCAAGTTCACTGGGATACATTGAGTCGACATATGAATGAATGTAAATATTGTTAATTGATAATACGTCGTTGATATATCTAAATGTCGAGTTGAAGGTCAAAGCAAGTGTTTTCTCATGTAGACGTTTTTGAATAAATTTTGCTTCATATAAATAAAAGAAAAACATCTGCTAATAAAGGGGCGCTATTGGTACCCATGACAATTCCAACAGACTGTTGGAAAACCTGACCTTCAAAAAACTACATAGATATTGTCAATCGGAATCTCAAGCATCTTTTCAATATCAACTTCAGAGCGTTTAAGAACGTTTTCAACAAAATAATTTTGCAAATGACAATGTAAGTAAATTTACTAGCTCCATTTATATCCATTTATATCGAAAAAGCAGCTTTGATGTCAAAAACACTGGACTTTAATTTATCGTGGAGAATGGTTGCATAAAGATTTGAGAAGTACGTTTAGACGTTACTGATTTTGTTAAAATTTTGTGATATTAAATTTATTAAAGTTCCTTGGAGTCTTTAAGTATCCACATCTGATTTACAAAACTTCTCGAATATATTATTGTACAGTACTCCTGAAGTTTCTCCTTCACTGCTGTTATTATTTTAGTGAGGAGTAAAGAAAAAGGCTTGGTAGAACATTTACTGGAACCCTCTATATATCTTTGTGGGAATTTTTATGAAGTTTAGGAATCCAGTATAGGTATAGTAGACCGTTTTAAGAACGGGATGAAGTGGCTGATAAGCAGGATTTTTTTTTATATTATCATAAAAATTGTTTTATGGTTATTGCAGTTGGGAATAACAGATTGATCAAAAATAATTTCTTGATGTATATTATTATGAATAATAGTAAACATTTGAATTTTCTCTGATTGAGGCAACATTAGCTTTTACCAAAATATTGACGTATTTCATGCAAATCAGTGCTTATTACAACATCTAAGCGACAAAATTCGTGATTGAAGCAAGAATTAGCGAGAGCGCAATGTTTCCCAAAGTTGGAAAGCCTCCTTACAAGGAGAAAAAAAACTTTTATCCGAAATATAAATTATGGAGACCAACATAGTATATTTTGAAGATTTACATCTATATCTTTCAAAACATTTTTAACATCCTTTTCTACCACAATTATCTACAGTGTATTTTGAGTCAAAGTGGATAAATGTTGTCATAAATACTTACTATTTTCGTAGGCAGATGAGCGTTCCTGTGTGGTACAACTGCCCGTGGAACAATCTATCATCCTGAAGAGACCGACGATAATGTCCTTGTTGTTCTGAATAGTTAGGGTAGCCATCCATCCTATAGTACTGAAACCCGACAGAAACAACGCTAGTCCGATGTATTGTGCTACTAAACCAACCTTAGCCCACTTTGTCGCCGTACCGCAATACGCCATCTTATATTTAATTTACAGCTTCAAAAGACTTTGGATAATAATTCCTCATATTTTCGTTCATGAAAATCAAACAAAAATGAAATTTAGAAATTTTTCCTTCTTTTAGAGACGATTTCTATCCCATTTCACTTCATTTCACACCAAACAGGCGTTCAATTTGAATTTAAGATGGTCACTTAATACTGTTTGTTCATTTCTCTGTGCAATTCCAGCCCTAGAGACACTCTCCAATATCTACCGAACATTGAACCATTAATGAACACCTATTTGATTTCCTGTATGAACAGAAGGGAGAAGTGGTTGTTTCTTAAACATCATTCAAGTCCTTCTCCCTCCGTGAGTCCCTATTTAAGGATTATAAAAGAAATTTGAAAAGTTTAAATAGTTGATTTAAATCTATTTGGCGCAACAATGATGATATACCGAAAGGGGTCTTTTAATTTTCTGTAGGTACAGAGACCTTTAGTTGTCTATCGTGCTTGTGGAATTAAATGATTCCACTATTATGTAAACGTTGTTTGTCATAAAAGATCGATCACTCATGATTTCTCAAAGGGAAACATTGGACTTAGAAAGTTGTGTTGACTTTCTCATAACTCAGGCATTTTTTTTAATTATAGCTACCATTTTTTATTTTGAATGTATTCAGTCTTAAATATCATTTAGATAGTACATGACAAATAACTACTTATTATTGATATCAATACAACGAACAAAAGAGTTTTCTGAAAAGTTTAACTTAATTGTGGAGAAAAAAGAAATAAATTTAATTTTTGAGAATTCATTAGGACATGATCTACGACGCTTCACGCCGGCATATTTCATTAAGCGCGTTAGCGCTTCATGATGAATATGCAGGCGTGAAGCGTTGTAGTTCATGTACCTTATGAATTCTCAAAAATTAAATTCATATTTTATATCTCCATTATTCCTCTGATGACTTGCCACACATTTTTTGTCATTCAACGATCTTTTTTTTAACAAAAAAAGAAAATGTTTGCACTATTTTTTTTTACTTCAATTACCTAACATTGGAAATATTCTTACTCATCCCACGTTAGTTCATGAGAACGGGAACTTTTTCTAATTTGCAAAGAATGTTAAGGAAAAATATTTGGAAATGTAAATATATAATTATACACCCTAAATATTTTTCTAAGACACATCCCCCTTATTTTTATGATTGATTTTTTAAAATATAAGTACATTTTTTTACAGAGATGTCATCGACGACACAGCATGTCCATCAAATGAAATCTTCAAAAGTACATAGTTTGCCGAAAAGTCTATTGATCAGTTTGGTTGCAACCTTAGAAACCTGCAAAGTGTTCAAGATGTGTGTATGATGGTTCATTTATTTAATATAATACATAATATTAACCAAAGTACGAGTATATTTCTATCTAATAAAATAAATTAAGTTTAAATGTCATTTCTAATACTCATAAAACGTAAATTTGTTTACGCAAACGTCAATAACAATGACGAGTTTTAAATTATTTCAATTGAACATTTACACTACAAGATTAGTAGCTGCATTAAAACATAATTATACCCGCTCCTCTTCATTGCCTTTTTTAAGAGATGTCAATATGACTAAAATCAGGAAAACGTTATCTGGTCGATTCATGAAAATGATTCGATTATTTAGTTTCTGAATTACTAGCCATACATTTTTTCTTCACAAATTAGCAATACAGTGCCTGAAATTTTTTGGAAAGATTAAACATTATTTAATTCCTAGTTAACAGAGTAGGGAGGGGTTCAGGTCACGAGTAACGTTTCAACTACTTCTTTGGAAGCAATTATTAAACATTTCTAACATCATCATTTAAAAAATCAGATACTTCGTAGTTCATTTGAATTAGAGTTATGCTCTCAATTTTTGGAATATGGATATTACAAATGTATGATAAATCAGTTCAATTTTATAAATATTACATGCAACGTATTTGACCTCGTCCTACCCAAAAATTTGACTTAGCCAAGTCTTGAAGAAAAAAAATTAACCAACTCTTTACAAAAAACAAGCCAAAAAAAAAAAAATTAACATTTTTTCAATTATTTTGGCTCAGCGGTTATTGAGAGATTTTTTTTATCACCCCATCCCATTCTTCATTTCCCTTCATCATCACCCATGAATGAGGGCATGGCTATTCTTTTAAACAAACTTGAATTCCCTTCGTCCATGGGTGGCTTGTTGCAAATTTGAATAAAAATTGGTCCATTAGTGCTAATTATAAAGGAAGGGGTCGAAATACGATGTTGCAGACACTATACAAAAGGACAAAAAGTCCCCCCTCCCCCGAAAAAAAATCGTTCTTCAACGATACTGAGCAGTATTTTTCTTGCTAATCGCACTTAAAATTTTGATCTTATTTAAAAGTATTTATGAGGATGGGGTTGGTTGGGATGGCTGCGTTTAGTAAACCTTAGTTTGTTGGGGGTTTTTTTTGTTCCTTCGGATTTCTTGTGTGTTTTCCGGGTTTGGAGATGGCGATTTGTTTGAATCATATTTTACCAAAGATATATCAAACATTGGATAACAACAAAGCATTCTATACAAAGGACCTTTAGACATCTATTATCATCTTTTTTCAATAAACTTGATTCGATATTGTTTTCATCCATTAAATCTGAAGAATGTCCTCAAATTATCCATGTGGAATAAATATGACAAAAACAAGAAAGAAATTAATTGCTTAAATGTATATCGGTCAATTTTTATACTGACAATATTGATAAATATCTAATACTTGATTTTGAACAATTTTTACTTTATTACTTATACAAAAGCCTTGAAAGAAAAAGAAAAGGTCTACTTTTGATTAGCACATAATGCATAATTATCTTTGTACCTTATACGAATATATAATATGAACGAACTGCATTTTTAGGCAAAATGTTTGAACATTACACCGTATGAGAATTTTGTAAAAAAAATATTTTTTCAAAGGAAGGTCATTTAGTTTAATAGTCATCGGTTAAATGTGTTTATCCAAAACATAAATACCTGTTAATAACATTGAATAATAATCTCCATTCTTCTTTAAAGAGACCATATGCAAAATTTAAATCATAAAGCTTCATCAAATCGCCCTCTCTCTCTCTTTTATGTATATAGAAAACAGTTTTTTACACCCAAAACACAACAAACGAATTTTATTGAAATGGTAAGACATGATTTTCTTTTCTTGTCTGAATAGAGTAATACAAGTTTATATCAAAAAGAAATGTAATAATTTAATTCAGCAAGCATGTTCTGAATTTTTTCGTGACAAAAGGGACAAAATTTACATATCTTTAACCCAGTCGTTCACTCAATATGCTGAATGAGAAACGTGTACCTTTTACAATGTAATTAGTTTATTACTAATCAATCAAAAAAAATACAGACAGTAAAATGCTCTGTCATTATAAATGCCACTTTTATTATTATTATATTTCGAAAAAAAAAATCTCTTTTACATTGGACATTGTACATAATTTAATCTAAAATATTCAATTACATTTGATTGTGTTCATAGTTTAGCTGTGTGTCTTATTCTCGGCATTAACATATGCCGATTCGTTTTATATATATAAAAAAAAGACTTTGTTGAAAGAAAAACACGATCTACGGATTCAATATCTTGGCAAATCTTCGAGAAGTGGACATAAACATTCAATTAAATAAAAATATGATTTATTTCAAAACTATTTTTGATAAATTCATCACTCTGGTAATATAATACTGCTAATAAAGTTCCTTTTATCATTCAATCATTCCATTTTTTTTTCAATCAAAGGTATCCAGAAAATCCTTGCACTTTTTTGGTGTATCGGTCATCGATCGTCAGATCTTCATCCTCATTGACACTCTTTAAAACGTCTTCGTTGTTATCATCGTTGTTTTCATCATTATTCTCATCAAGTTGTATTGTCAACTCCGTCTGTGTGACAGGGCGCTCAAAAGGCTCCGGAGTTTTTTCCATGTAGTTCTTTAAGAATGGTTAAAAAAATCATAAATATATTGCGAATATTTAATAATGCTGAATCGTTTAAATTTATATTTCTTTCCTATATTTGGTTGATGATATGTAGTTGGATAGTATTGCTTATTAATATTACAGATTAAGAAAAACAATCAGCTTACAAATCCATCTTTCCCATATTGCAGAAATATGTCTTGGAGAAGATTGACGATATTTGGAGGGTCGAAATCTGGCTTTCTGGATTGCAAGAGTTCGTACTTGCGCACTGAAAACAAAAATTAACGTCGAACAAAGAGGCTTAACCCGTGTACAGTACATGCTTAAACTAACTTTAAAGAAGAACTTTCATATGTAATCAATATTCGAAATTGAAAATAGGAAAAAGAAATCGTACCTGATTCATTACCCTCGGAGGCTGTGGATTTACTTTTGCCACCAATGTTCATAAACATTCCAATGATGTTTTTGACGGAATCGCTGACGACGTTCGTGAGGCCGTAGATACTTTCTCCCTCTTGTATTTCTTGTTTCACTACTGTTATACTTATGTTTAGAATAACCGCAAACATAGAGATAAGTACCAAAATAACGATAAGTATGTAAGTAAAATAGTACACTTCTCCGAGAGACACCCCCGCACCGCGCAATATATCAAGATGATTTTTGCCAATTATAGAATTAAGCAGGCTTCCAAACGAAACAAATAACGATCTATAGGAGGCAGACACTTTCCCAAAAAGAAGATACCCCGCCACTACGTATGCAAAATAGATGATGCCAAACACGATGGCAAAACCCGATAAGTCTTTCGATGCGCCGGAAATTACAGCAATCAACTGTGTCATTCTTCGATTGTATCCTAAAATCTGAAGAATCCGGATCGTTGCGATGAAAATTAAAATTCCAATTACGACAACAAAAGCATTATCCCAGAATGCAATATGTTGAAACTGAATAAAATCAAGTTTGTTGTCGTAGTATTTATCCAATGCTTTGTTTGCATAGACATAGCGCACTGCCCAGAAGACGATTCCTATCACCCCTAGAAAGGTAGACAGGAGATCAACAATGTTCCATGTATCCTTAAAAAAATTACTTCGCTTTTTCGATAATCGATATATTATTCGACCAGTTGAAATCAGCAAGGAGATAACATAAATGAAATAGCACAACAGAGCGTAAGTCCCGATAGCGCCTAGAGCCTGGAATGGTCTGAAAACCTGAAGATTGACCCACGTGACGACACCAGCTGATTCAGGAAACTCAACCAGATAAATTCCGTTGAAGAAGAGATTCACATTTGGATTATACAGAGTAAATTCCAAAAACACTGATCGAGTTCGTCTGTCGATCCAAAGATTTTGCTCAAGTTCGTTTATGATATTATGAGATGCAACAATGTCTTTTTCAAACTGGATCATATACCCCCCTCCAGCGTATGTGCTTCTTAATCCCTCGAATGGCATTCCCCAGACTTCGTTAGATGACGTGTGTTTCCAAGCTCTGTCTGTCAAAGAGCTACCACAGGAACCATTTGTAGGTATCCATCCCACGCAATAATCATCAATATCTTCATTGTCAAAGTCGTAGGCATCAATACATCGATGGTGTGAATCAACCACGAAACTGCAACTTGCTGTAATTAAATTACAAAAAAAACAACTTTTGCAGCATTTTTGATAACTCTAGTAATCACATTGTCACTAAATTTTCTTCTTAATTCGCCAGTTATGATATATAATCCCCTCCCTTTTACTCGATACAATTTATTATATGTGTACTTACATTCTCTCATTCTATTTTGTCGTAAAAGGGCTGGTCCAACTCGTACTTGGCTGAAATCTGAGAAGAACTGTTTGTCCAGGACAGAAATAGACTGACCACGAATATCCGAGGTTGGGAACAAACGAGGTAGCAGTGTGTGACGTAACCATTGTATAAACGTTCTGGCGCTATTTATCTGTTAAGATACCCAAATATATAAGTCATATACATCATATTGTCATCATAAATTTTAGGAATACTTATCAGAAAATTTCATATTTTAATCTCATCAATAAATGTCAATATTATTTTTGATTGTTTGCTCAATATTATCTATGGCAATGACGTCAATATTTTGGTGGAAACACCAAATAATTTTTTAAATATCTTTTTTTATCAAAAAGCGTTACCTCCTTTACAAACTTTGTATGCACACTTTAATTAATGTTTGAGACGAGCAATAAGAAAAATGATTGCTCAAGTCTTAAAAATCTATTAAGATTTCTTAATCTCTCGATATTTCAGCTATTAATTTTTTCTTTCTCGAAAAGAGTAATCATTGTGATGTCATCATTGTAGTGCGGTAGTTCGAAGTGTTTACACTTACACTTTCAAAGCCGTAAGTTCCTTTGGTAGAGTGGTAGATCTGACTGTCTATACTTCTCCTGAGGTTGTATGATCGTGCATCTCTGTTTATGTAACCAATGCTGAAGACAATGAACACAAAGACGGCGTAAATCACGAGTCTCCTAAAAACTGCCTGAGCTGCCACTTCATTCTGACGTAACTTCCGCTGTGAATCTAGGACAGTTTCATCCGGTGGACCATTGCTGGACAGTACTTCATTTCGGAATGCTACAATGACAGTTTTATAATAGTTTTTTTTTACGATAGTTTACAATGCAGAAACAGATATTCAAAAATAAGGCCTTGAGTGACCCTTATCAGAGTATAAAAAGAATAAACCCATACATTATTGCATGTTGCTTCGCATTTATCTATTATAATAATACAAGCTTATATATATAACCCGATCTTTTCTTGCTCTTCTAATAACCTTGATTTAATTAATAACTTTCTGTTGGGTTTAAGATCATACCAATTAGTCATAGGTAACTTTGGGCAAGTAATGATCAAATGTTCAATAAATTAGTGGGTCCCTCCTTCTTTCCTTCAAAGAAATTCTCTTTGCTTAACAACGACCTTGTCCACCACATGACCTTAAGTAATTTCTGTGACCAACTGTCAGATAATTAGCAGCTTTCCTCATAGTATTAATATGTAATTTTCTATTTCGATTTTTTTCATTTCTAGCAGCAAGTTTATCCATCAATTCGATACTATGGTTACAACTAGCAATATGGACCTTACGTCATACTTGTAAAATTCGCAACCCTTGTAAAATTCGCAACCCATGTTTGAAGGTTGTACCTTAGTTGTTCATCATTGTTTATTAATCAAAAGTAAATCAATTCTTTAAACATCTCACCTCCTGAAAATCTAGCAGACGCAATATTCTATGTTAATCAGCAGTGTGACTATAACAAAAGTATGAAATCTATAACTCTTATTTAAGAAACATCGGTCCATTACGATATTGAAATAAAATTACGAATAAAAAAACCATCTGGACAAATCATTCATTACATTTCTTGCCACCTATATATAAGTACGATGTGATCAAAACTCAAGAAATGTCCGCAAGATATTAAAATGTAACGAAGATGTTGAAAAAAAATAATCTTGGACGTTTTGGTCCCAACGCTTCCGCCTCAAAGGCTTGCAAACTACAAATCTTACAAAGATTATCCCCCCTTCCTAAAGATGCTATTATAATAATCCCAAGAAGATGGGTGAACAAGGCGTGCAGAATGCCTATAGCTTCAAATATTAATAAAATCACATTCTATTTTTGAATTAAGTAATTAAAATAAAGTTCTCATTATTGAAATTTATGAAATTATGACCAACAAAACTTTTCTGAAAAAAAAAAATCTCGGAAAAAATAATTCTTTTATTAAACAAATAAAATGGTATTCGTGGGATTCGAACCCCTAACAATAAAAACCCGGAGTATCATATTGCTCTGAGACTAGCGCGTTAACCACTACGCCACGCAGCTCCTGATGAATAGTGGCATTTAAATCGTGTTTGTGATATGACCCTTGACTTAATGGACTTCAAGTATTTCTCGGAAAGATGCGAATGTTTTGTCATAAAAGTGTACTTTTAAGGTATAGTGGGTCTTTGCTCCATGTTTTTGTTAACCAAAAAATGTATATTTTTATGCAAACTTTTCAGATCAACTTTCAAAAAAATGGAGCGAAGACCCACTCATATCGAAAAAATTTGTTAAAGTGTGAGAAAATGATCCTTTTTGTCCTCTTTAGTGTGTGTGTGCTATTTCGTAGGCAAATAATTTCAGTCTTTGTGAGATTTTTGTAAATTGTAGAGATTTAACAATAAAATATACTTTAATGTTAGATGAAATATCAAAGAGAAATTTTATATAATTGAGATTTTATTTTTCACTTCATGTTTGTCGCACTATAGGCACTTCGCCCGCCTTGTTCACCCATCTTCTTTGAAGAAGATTGTCTTTGCTATATTTAAAGAGAAAAATGTTAAATATTTTCGACCAACGGGAAAAAACGGTTGATTGAAACAAATATAATAAGACTTCCAACATGTGGAGAAAAGGAGGGACATACACCGCAAGTGAAAACAAGCAAATTCAGAGAAATGCGCCCCTCCCCCCGTTTCAGAGTTTTATTGTTAAGGTGCAATGAACCATTTGGCATATTGTAACTGTCTTGTCTGTCCTACCTTGTCTGTTTATCATGCTAAAAAGAAGTTGTTTTTTTTTTGGAGGTAATATGTTTTCTGGTAAAACATTACAGCCAAGTTAGTTTTTGTGAAAAGTAAGTCAAATTTCAAGGAAATTAAGTTAAAATCACAGTAAAATTGTAAAGATCTTAACACAGATAATCCACTTGTAAAAATACAAAAGCCCCGTCTTTTCAGGTACAAAAGCTGCGACCAAGATTAAAATATTTGAACAGTAGTTCAAACTTCCATGTCAAGTTTTAAAAATAGTACATTCAGAAAGGTCTTGTCACAGGTATTGCACACAAGAAGTATAAAAGCCCCATCTTATCTTATTCAAAAGTTACATACATTACTAAATTCAAAATTTATTGAAAAGAAATTAAATGTCAAAGTCATGGAATCAAAAATCACAGTACGAAAGTCCTTTCTTTTCTCATTCAAAAGTTGGTTGAAGTGACTTTTTAAGAAGTAGGTTTAACTTTAATATCAACGTCACAGGGCCAAAAATAAAAAAAAAAATGAAAAGGTTTTGTCATGGATAATGCAAATTTGAAATGTGAAAGCCCTGTATTCTCTCATTCAAGAGTTATATCCGAAGTTAATCTTTTGAGAAGTAGGTCAAGGTCAAGAGGTAAAAACAATTGTATTTTCTTAAAGGTCTTGTCACAGGTAATGCACAAGTGAAATATGAAAGCCCTATCTTCTCTCATTCGAAACGTTATTACCAAGGTTAAAATTCTTGTGATTGACAGATGGATATACAGACGGACAGACAGAGACGAGTTTATCTTAGGAATACTTACTTAAATAAATTCTAGAAGAATTCTGCTGTTTTCTCTCAGCAGCAGTTTTGATAACGTCCAGATCAACGTTTGGGCATTTTCCGTCGACGGGTTTCTTAAACAATATGGCTACTAGAATCGCCATAACGATCACCTAAGAAAAAAGAGAGGTGTCCGGTATAGAACAGTACTATTTGAAGGTTTTTGTCATCGACTTGATTTGTAGAAACATGCAGCATTAAATAAACCAATGTCATACAAAGAGCCAAATTGTACTTTTCGAGATTGTTCAGTAATTTATATTAGTACATTATGATTTGAAGCGTAAGAATTAATATTTTAATAATTGCATAAACCGACAATAACAAATTCAAACATAATGTTGATAAATTTTGAACTTAATAAAATGAAGTTGATATGCTTTAATACGTTTATTGGATCCAAGACAAACAGCGATTCGAAGAAAGCGAAGACGAACGTTGAAAGCCATTCTTCCGATTTGGTTTTTCCAAATTCCATACTGTATAAGATTACAAAAAACGCAGAAGTGACAATTGCAAGGATAAGAATAGCCCAACCAACATAAACCATGCCATGAGGCAACGGTAATTTTTCATCCTTGAAGAAGTTGATACTCTCTCCCTCTTGGTTATAATATTCATCATCCAGAGATTTTCCTTTCCTGTCATTAAATTCTTTCTTGTCTTTCTCCTTTTTCAAATTTGACAGGTTTGTGACCGTATCTTTGGCTCTTGACTTTTTGAATATAAAAGTGACTATGAAAATTGGCACCGTAGCGATGAGAATACTTATAAACGATATATAAAATGTTGTTAGAGAAAACTTGATTATTCCAATCGATACTTGGTTGGGTCGAACTTCATCATCTGTTTTGAAGAACATGCAACTTGTAATCATTGTGAGAAAAAGTAATGCATAAGCGCATGTAAGTCTCTGAACTCGCGTAAAGTTGCTTCGTTGAGGACGTATAATCATAGACAACCATAAATGGTTTTCAGTTGCGTTAAATCGCGCATGCTCAGATATCAGCTGATCGTAGGAAGTCAGCGTTTGATTTGAAGTCAGCGGGAGAATTCGTTCCACCATCCCGTCATCCTGCTCGACGGCTAACCATTTATCACACAAAAATACGTATCTAAAAGAAACATAGAATGAGGAAAACATAAATTTTTCAAAGATTAATTTTATAAGCACTTATTTTTTTTTTAAACTTAGTAGACTGATTTCAAAAATATCCACTTGCCTTTTTCCATTCTGCAGATCGTCTACAAGTATCTTATCTAAGAACCAAGACCTCTCGTTTCCGGTCCCAGAATTATCATGCCAGACTCGAAAATACGTCAGATCACCCAAACAAAATTTTGTACCCATTAAAAATGTTCGTAAGCTTCCAGTTTGAAACCCCTGTAATATGGCATAATATTTTGTAACACTTTCATGACAATGGTGACATTTTATAACTCAAAAGAAAGGTCTGAGTGTTTTGTCAATTATAAGTAATGAACTTAAGAAGTCATAAACTTACTTGAGTGTACCCATCACTAAGGATCCGGACTCCGGAATCACCGTCTTCTCCCCCTATAATAAAGTTAACGTTGGACTTTGTGCCGCCGTCACGTCGGAGTCCTGTTTGAACTGTGATTAAGTAAAAGTACGCGTCTGTATTCTCGCTGTCCACCAAGAAATGCGTTCCCCACTGCCAAAAAGCATTATAAAATTTTCTGACTTTATCAAAAAGCATCATAAAGTGTTTCTAAGTTTTCTTTTTCTAATTTAAAAACAAGGATATTATATTTGGTAGAGTCTTGAGTTACATTTTATTATTTATACAATATAGTTTAACAGCTTTGAATTATTAACCATGATAAATCACAACAATTTTTTAATTAATATTTAAAAAAATAATATAAACACAGAAAGGCATTTGCAGAGAAGTCTTCTCTTTTTACTGGATACGGTTTTCTATACCTTGGTAACATCCTGTTTGTCCTTTCGTCTCAAATACAATAACGCTATAAAATAAATTACAAGTAAGGCAGCGATAGTGCCATAAACAGCTGCATTCTCGGGGTCGAATTTACCCCAAACTGCGTGGAAGTCGATTTTGTTTGGTGGTACATAAAAAGTTGTTGCAAACATAGTCCCTGGAGGATCTGAACATCGACATACTGTCTCATTAAAGGTCGAGATATCCAGAACCTGATTTTGTTTTCCAGAAAAATATATAAATATATAAATTAACTAATTATAAATGAAGAAGAACTTTTCTGCAGTGCAAGACATGTTACATTATTGGTTACAATTTTTCATCATCATTTTAAGATTTCCTCCAAGATCAATCATGTGTTATACCATACCGTTAAGAAATCCTTATTTATTTAACGATTACGTTTCATGAGTGAAAAATACACATTACTTTACAGCCGTTATCCACCCAGAGGTTTGATGCCTCATCATATGTTCTACACCCTGATGTCGCTAAAGCTATGCTGAAATTAGACTCTATGGGGTCAAATGAGGGCGAGGTGCTGTTAACTGCAGCTCGCTTTCTTCTTCGGGTATTTTGAGACTCGTCAATTACTACAGGAAAAAAAGATAATTGTCAAGTACATCTCTTTAATAAAATCCCCCAAAACATTCTATAAACCCTCTTCTCAGATGAATGTACATGCGAGTATATACATGTGAGTGTATGCAGCTCAAAATTAAATTCAAATTTCTAAAATCCACCGCTGTTTGATACAAGTTTTATATGTATATAAAAATGAAAAAAAAAAATGCAAAGTTTACCTTTTCTAGGTTTTAATCCAATGTATAATTTCCCTTTTCGAAATATTTTATCCGGAAGAAAGATTTTGAAACCAAAGGGTTTCTCCCAATTTGAAGCTTTAACATCTGTTTTATAATCGTACAAATTACTTTCTGGATATGTATCCATGCGTCCAAAAGCAGTATATAAAGTCTGATCGCCAAGACCAGATTGATCATATACATCAGGTTTGACATACACTATTGCTGCATCCGGTCCGTCGAGGTTTGTGATGAAGTAAAACATGGGATCCTCGCCATCAGATATGTTTGTAAAAAAGAAAGACTTTGCATACACTGTTCCATTGTTGTGGAATTTAATATTCTTTGGAATGTCTATTTCCTGTTCCGTTTCATCTCTAGTTTGGATTGAAACCAATGATGATCTAACTGTGTCAGAACCAGAAGCATAGAAGTAAGGGTTTTTCCTATATTCTGTCATCTGTCAAGATAAAATGAACCATATTTATATAATAATTTTCCTGTATCTTCTGTTATTAATCATTATTTATTCATTTTTTTTAACATTTGAAATAGAACATTTTCATGTATTCTAAGGGTTATTACAATTTTTTCAAGGGAATTTGTAAGAATGTTAATCTGCTAAATTTCTCAATAAGTCCTTTTTACAGTAAATAAAGTCTCGTTTAAAGTCATCATTTCGTAGGTTCTTTTGTCGGTACAATGACCTTTTCAGCAAATACGATCTATCATTAAGTCATACGCTGACTGACGTTTTTTCATACTAATTGTTAGCCATTATTTACACTGAATTGTCGACAGATTTTTCCATTATTAACCGATCATGACAAGGAACACACGACGGGTGTGACCGGTCGGCAGCGGGTGCTCACTCCTTCATGGCACCTGATCCCACCTCTGTTTTTGGAGGTCCGTGTTTGCACTGCTCCCGTTTGTATTATTTTGTTGGACACTGTTCTTTGTCTTCATATTTTATGTTAATAGGCATATTACAACCATATTTTCAAAAAATCGATAAAGATGGAGTGTATGGAATGGAGAGACAAGAAAATAATGTTTTTTTACTGGCATGGTCTGTTCAAACAACTCTTTTTCGTCAGGAAACACAAATTTTGATATATATATATATATATATATATATATATATATATATATATATATATATATATATATATATATATATATATATATATATATATAGACTTTACTACGAATTAAAAAAAGGGTGAGATGAATCTTACACCGACTTTACTACGAACTGAACAGATGAGATGAATCTTAAATTAAGATGCTGTTTGACTTACCCATACTTCTACAGCCTTTGCCTGTGAGCTGTTGAGCACCTCATTATCAAGTTCTAATCCAGTATCACGTCTCTGTAGTGTTTTACCTATCAGATCTTCTCTCTTGTCTTTTTGGATCGACATTTGTAATTGATCAGTGGTGATTGTGTCTGTACCAGTTCCTACCTGGACAATTTTGGATTTCGCTTTGAGTGAATTTTGGATGGCTGATGACATCTTTCCTCCTGCATTTTTTGCCTTTATCAATGAAAACAAAAGAAGTTGAAATAACTTAAAATTATTTGAATAAATGCATAGCACAACATTGTTATTATTATTATTATTATTATTATAGTCAGCATTAATTTTCCCTACAATTTAACTCAACATTCTGTCGAATTAAAATTCAGATCAATGAGCGATTGTATTCAAACTTAAACTTGACTTTTTGTACCGTTTGAGATTTCTTTTGTTGATTTTCTCTGTGTTTCCTTTTCAGACTCAAAAGTGACTCGGCGAGTGAATTCTTTTCCTCTGTTGTCATGTTTGCTAAATTTGTATTTCCGTCGCTAAAAAACTCAGCGTCATTGATTTCAGACATGACATCTGAGAGGGTGGGTTCTTTTTCCAGATCTGATACCTCACTGGGAACCATGATATCTACAAGGTTGCTTAATGCCTCGAGTACACCTAATAACAGAAAAAAGAAGGCTGCTAGAAGAATATCATCGGGGGATATAATTTAGGTCTATTTTTGCGATTCATAAGATTCATCAAAATAAACAGCTGAATTTTAATTTTGTATAAAGAATTTAACTTGCTAGCATGCGTAACAAGAAAGTGACTTAGTTGATTCTTGAGATGTGTAGGGTTTGTGGTGAATACGTACAACACTTTTGAAAGTATTGTTACCTTCATAGTTGAGTATATTTTTTTGGCCTAAGCTGATCGAAGATATATCACATGCACAGTAACAAACATACACTGAATTCCAAATAAAGAAAAAGGATTCACCAGTTATATCCACCTGATTGTTGATCAAACTAAATTGTGACCCGCCAGAAAAGGCTAAATGGCTCATGAAAGATCTCTTAAAATCCATTATTCCATAGTAGATGGGTGCAAATATTTATTGATTCAGAATGTAAAACAGAAAATAATCTGTGGATCTCTCCCTACCAGAAGCAGAATCTTGTATGTTTTGTATTTCCTCTACTGGAAATGGGTTGTTAAAAGACACTTGGCGAATATTGTCCATCAAGACTCTAGTTCCTTCAGCTGCAGTCTCCTGGAAAATTCCAAGTTTAAAATATTAGGTATTTTCACATTACCTATTTCTGCAATTTAGCAATTTCATTTTTTACCTCATTTTCTCATAAATTAAACTTTAAATTTACTGCATTGCAAAGCATGTAGAACATGAAGAAAGAAAAGCTAAAAGAATTGATTACTTTGATAAACACCAGTGAGTTGCATACTATCTGCCATTTGCAATGTTACAGTATAAGATTTTTTGCCATCAAAAGTTGAGGAAACTCAGAGGAGAATATCAACAATATCGTGATATTTCAAAACATCAAGAATTCATTCCATGCGCTCAAAAATCAAATTAACGCTGATTTTTTTTTTTTAAATAATTATTGTTTTCAATAACGTTACTGATTTGTTGTCTTTGTGGGAGCAATGATCCTCAAATGCCTAGTGATATCAGCATACATCTGAATTTACAGGGGCGGTAACATACTATGCTTGATTTTACGTGATCAGTTTATACGAGGGTTGTTCGGAAAGTTTGTGGACTGATCATGCTGATGCGATAAAAGTAATACTATGTAGATTATGCTTACAAAATTTTTAAGGAACAAAAAACAACAAAAGTTGAAGATATGTTGAAAATTTTAGCTTGATACCTTGAATATTTACCAAACTAATCATAAAATAAAAAAGACATTATATAATCACCCAGCGCTGTCGCTATTTAGTTTCATGATGTCATTGTTTCTCAATGTCCGCATTCTCTACCTCATACACTTATCTTGGTGAGATTCCTTGGAGTTAAGTAAGGATTCAAACCCGTTTTGTTTAATATACAATTTTACAATGTCATGAACAGCTGATTTTAATGCATATAATATTGTAAATAGATCTACACATAGTGAAAGATCCTCACTTGATTATAACAGCATATTTGCTTGTCGGAGTTAAACATCTATCGCACATGATCAACGTCACTTTTCGACGTGACAAACTTTGAACATCCTTACTACAAATCGACATTACTTTTACATCTCTCGTCTCTCTAATCTTTTTCGGCATTTAAAAACAAGTACTCTGAATGCATTTTATATTTCAGTAGCCAAATTTAAATATTTCCAGGGGGGTGAATCTTTACAGAATGTTGGAAAAAGAAACCCACCTCCTTTTTCTGACGTCATTACAACCCTTAAATTGTTTGGACATTTCATATAGAATTTACAATAAAATTTCATAGAACTTATAGCATGGGGTTAAAATTGCAAATTTTACGGTACAATTGTGTCATACCACATGAGTGAATTAACGGCATTTTTGGATGACAAATGCTCATATAAAAAAAAGACTCTTCTCTCAGTTACACTCAGGTAGAAAAAACGTAATCTTCGAGGTTACGCCGCCTGGACATCCCATTGCTTTCAAAAACATCAACAATTTATTAAAAAAAATATAACTAATGATGTATAGTTTATTATATAAATAAAAAAGATGATGCTAATTAAACGTTACAAAATCATTGATGTATCTAAAGCGGTTTTAATTTATGGCACTAGTCCACGAACTTTCCGAACAACCCTCGTACAAGTATACTAAAAGGAAACGGGAACCATCGTCGGCCCGAATTAACGCCGGGACAAATTAAAACATTTTTACTACAATACAATGCAGCTAGTGCAATAATGACTGAATTAATTCAGCAATAATCATTCTTAAGTAAAAATATAATCAGGCTCATTTATGAAATGTTAAGTCGTGTTTCACAAACCCGATATCATGTCATGCAAGTTGATGTACTTTAAATTGTCCACTAAATTCGCTAAACACAGCATCCAAGCTTAAATTTGGAACATGATTAATCATAATTGTTGTACAGAACATTTTGACCAATCACGTTCCACCTTCCAACTTGCATGTGGATAGCCAATCCCAAGGTATTTGAAAAATCGGGGAGATGGAATATAATAATGGCAATTTAAAAAAGAGAGAGAGAGAGAGAATGAGGGTTTCGGTCAAGGCTGAATTTATCGTTTATGTTTACCATCTTCGTAAAGACTTCAAAATTGGATTTAAAGTGAGAATTTTGCCTCGTTTTAGCAGAAACTTAAGTACATCGACTTGTACATCTGGATATCGAATTAGTATATCTCAACTGAAACGCTTCATAATTGAGTGAAGTTACATTTTTATTGAAAAAAATGTTACTGTAATATTCTTATTAATATTCTTATTAAAAAAATGTTAACAAAATTGTTTTCATGTTCATAAAGAATGTTTTATTAAAAATTAAAACTAGTGGGTATTGTTTTTTTTTTTTTTTACAAAAAAACACATGTCTCCCATTCTTTACCAACATTAACGAGTGCAAATATGTGATCAGGGTCAAAAATAATAATGCAGTGCATCTCAACTCAAATTCTGTGTACAAAATTTCAAGTCTTCATGTCAAACGCATCTCAAGTAATGGTCTGGTTGTGTTTTTCTTAATTTGACCTTGAAGAAAGTGGTCAAGGTCAAATATTTTGATGCATTACATTTAGTCTCAATGTTGTCTTTCCTTGTTCCAAGTTTGAAATCCTAATGTCAAAAAGTTCTCAAGTTATGACCTAGACTATATTTTCATGCAAACGATTGACCTTGACTTTATTAATAGGTCAAGGTGAAAAAATGTTGCCATTCACCCTTCCTCTATACCACCTCTCCATGTTCCAAGTTTGAAGTCTTAATGTCAGGGTTCTCAAGTTATGGTCTAGTCATGTTTTCTCTATTTGACCTTGAAGAAAGGGGTCAAGGTCAAAATTTTGAAGCGTTGCATCTTGTAACAATGTCTTCTTTCTATGTTACAAGTTTGAAGTCCTAATATCAAAGGGTACTCAAGCTAAGGCCTGGACTCTATTTTGATGTAAAAGATTGACCTTGACATTATAATAATTGGATCAAGGTCAAAAATTTTGGTGGCATGCATCCTTCCTTCATACCACTTCTGCATGTTCCATGTCTGAAGTCTTTATAACAAAGGATTCTTAAGTAATGGTCTAATCAAGTTTTTTCCCTATTTGACCTTGAGGAAGAAAAGAGGTCAAGGTCAAAAATTTTGGTGTGTTGCATCTTGTATCAATGTCTTCTTTCTAAGTTACAAGTTTGAAGTCCTAATATCAAAGGGTACTCAAGCTATGGCTTGGACTCTATTTTGATGTAAAAGATTGACCTTGACCTTATAATAATTGAATCAAGGTCAAAAATTTTGGTGGCATGCATCCCTCCTTTATACCACCTCTGCATGTTCCAAGTCTTAATGTCAAAATGTTCTCAAGTTATGGTCAGATCATGTTTTTTCCCTATTTGACATTGAAGGCAGAAAGAGGTCAAGGTCAAAATTCTAATGCACTGCATTTTGTCTCAAGGTCTTCTTCCTATGTTACAAGTTTGAAGTCCTAATATCAAAGGGATCTCAAGTTATGGGCTAAACTCTATTTTGATGTAAAAGATTGACCTTGACCTTATAAATAGGTCAAGTTTGAAGTCTTAATGTCAAAGGGTATTAAAGTTACGGCCTTGACAAAATTTGGATGAAGAAGAAGAAGAAGAAGAATAAGAAGAAGAAGAAGAAGAAAATCGACAAAAACAATATGTCTCCCCTGGAAGGGGAGACATAATTCTCTTGCTGACTCTTCTTAACATATTTTATTAGACATTAATATTATGCATCACTTAACAGCAAATGTAAAATTATTTTCTCAAAAAAAAAAAAAAAAAAAAAAAAAAAAAAAAAAAATACGAAAAAAGAACGTATATGTATGTCAAATGAGATACATATACTTAAAACATCGAACAAATAAACAACTCCTTCAGAAGCTCGCGTCTTTTCGGGAAAAGGTAAAGAATTATTTTAAAGAAAAATTCATAACCGAACAATTGACCTAGCATGTCATACAGAGTACTGATGTATTATAATGTATAGTTTACCACAGAAACATCATCCACAATCATTGGATTAGAAACACAGGCAGCAAGACTTCGCGCCACCTGGCGAGCATTTGCTGCACTCATCGGACTGTCACTAGTTGCTGGAGTTTGCGTTGTCGCATTCAAAAGAATTTCTGTAAATTGCCTTGTTCTCTGAAAATCATAGTAATACTTTGAGTTTTCATCTATAACTTCCGGTTATCCTGTTCATGAGTTGTTTGACTATATTAATATTGTAAGTTCACGAAGTAAAACATACACCAATAGTTATTTTACGTTGTTATTTCCAAAAGTAGAAAAAATATAAATACAACATCTCTTCATTTTGGTAATGTACCTGAATCAGTTTTTCCTGGGCCGGTTCAATGGGTACGTCCTCGATTACATGGTTTTGTCCCACCACTCCAGAAAACAAGTCACTCGTACTAGTGACAGTTCCATTCGGCTATAAATTAAAGTTGAGCTAGGAAGTTATGTTCATAGTATCAAACGAATTCGCAAGTTGTTTTGATTTTTTTTCTAAATTTTAAAAGAATAGCATGTGCTTTGAATTAAATAAAACGTTATCAATTGTTTTAGATTGAAGTGGTATGTACATGTAATTCATGCAAAGTGCTATGCCTTTGTCCAACAAATTATACAAAAAGGCAAACTTGTTTTAATTCGCTTTGTCACCACTCTATTTTTGTAAACTGAATGTTTGTGTACAAATGTCAATGAAATTAGCGAATGAAAGAACAATTTATCCATTTTAATGGAAATAATAGCGAATATGTATTATGCTAACCTGTAAGCGAGCAGACAAATAAATTGAGGCGGTAGATTGAACAAGCCTCACCACCGCCATACTATTTCCTCCGGCTTCTGTTATCGTGTAGTTTCGGTCAAATAAACCAAACAGCGAATCCAGGGGCCCCGTATCCTGAAGATCAGCTGGAACCAAGCTCGCGTCTGGTACTACCTGAATATTCATGTATTTTCGATGAATATTCATTAAAAACAAAAGTCGTCATGTTTCAGTTTGAGAGTAGCTAGTTCCGATTTTAAAGAGTTGAACAATCACAATGGAGCTATATTTTCTAGAAATCACGAACCTTGACTTCTGTATCGGGATGATGAAAGACGGCAAAATCGCCATATCTATCATATATTCGAACTTCAATCTCTATTTTGAAGTCTAATGTCTCACTGCCGACTGGCAAAGGCAGTTCTGTAGCTGTGCTCTCGCCTGTTGACGATAATATTAGATTTCATTTAATGATTTTGAATTTTCTTTTTTTTTCGCCGGGGATATACCGTAATACACGAAATGATTTAGGGACTATAAAAATCAGTCTTATCAATAAAATAGGTATTTACAAACACCAAGTTGCTTCAGATCAGATTTGATCTTACGAGGGGTGATCAAAAAGTTCGCGAACTAATTGAAATACTCCCATAAAAGAAATAAAATAAGGTTTTAGTGTTCATTATTTTTTAACATATAGTCCTCTCCGATTTAAATGCACATCTGCCACCGTTCTGCGCATGCGCGAATCGTGTGACATAGGCTGTGACATGCTCCGTAGCGTTCTGTTCACAGAGGCTAAAAGATTTTTCTGAGTCTTATATTTCTTACTATGCAAGTTATTTTTTATAACAAGAACAGTGCATTTGACAGAAATGGCGAAATCTCGGCAATAGGAAGGGTGGATAAGGATATCCTTTCCCAGAATATCAGCATGACGACCATCACAACCCGAGTCTTTTGTCTTGGAAGCGTCGATCATCCATCGTGGATAAAACATGGGCGCCTTCTTTTTATCATATCTGATATGTTTAAAGTCTAAAGTAAACAATATTTCAGGGACTTAAAATAATCATATTATTGTTAAGATATTCAACTATTATTCTAACTGTAACTTGGCAATCTTTTATAACAAATTGCTAAACTAAGGACACATCTCTTCCCCAGATTGCTTTCATTGGGCAACAGAACAAACATCATTTTTTAACCATCTCCCTTCCTTCACTAAAACAATCAATCCAATTAATGATTGCACTTATAGCAAGTCTTTTGTCTTCCTAAACCTTGTACAAATTATTATATGCTATTGCAAAGGAATTTCCAAGATACACGTTAAACTTAACAGCCGTTCATTGCTCGAGACTACTGAGTCAATCATTTTTTGTAACAAGTCACCTAAATATTGACGTCATTTTCACATTGTGACGTCAAAAACATGGAGCAAAACATTACATAACATCTGCTATTTATAGAACATGTGTATGACTATATCTGTGCCATATTTCATTTAAGAAATAAATAACAAGTTTAAAAACTTCTCTGGGAAATGAAGTGGGTCGGTCACGTGATCAAATCCTGTGAAGGCCGAAGGCCTTCTCAGGAGATTTGATCACGAACCGACCCACTTCATTTCCCAGTGAAGTTTTTAAACTTGTTATTTATTACTTATATATACATTTGAGACGGACAATTGAATATAATCGAATATAAATATTGCACTAACTGTTCGTCGTAGATTTTGACAACGTACGCAAGGTGTAAATCGGTTTGAAAAGCGGTTACGCTTCAAATTCATAAACTGATAAATGAAGCTTTGTTACCCAAAAGCAAGAAATATAGTATGATTAGCATCAACTAAATCTGGCAAAGGATTCTGTTTTGAAGGGAATATTCTGTGAAAGGCTTCTTTATGATCAATTATCGTGAGCATATTGGTATCTGGGAATTTTTTATTCATATGAACCCATATTCGATGTTTAAAAAACACAAGAAACACGTCCGATGTTTGATAATAAAAAGTTGGCGGAATATCGGTCGGAAAGGGATGGATGGAGACACTTATCCGGACCAGTTAACTTGAAATCAAGTAAAATTTGATAACAAACATAAAATCTCCGATTTCAGTAAGGTATATTTATTATGATGTTGACACGGGGACACTGGCGAAAGCTTACATTGTTAAGACAACAATCTCGATGATCGATGATGGAGGTGTGCCTACCGAACTTCCAAACTGCAGTGTTTGTCAGCTGTTTGTGGCGTGATTGCATTACATTGATGTTTTCCAACAGATTTTCAAATTTATTGTGCGTAAAGTTTAGTGGAAAAAAAAATATTGCATTCAGAGGTCTACAAGAAAAATAAGGGTAAACGCTGAGACTATGCAGCTCAGACATGAAACTTATAACACGTAGTTTTCTATTCTCTTTGTAAAATCGATCAAGAACTGTATTAAATACTCGTTTATATTGTAAATAAAATGACTATTATTTTACTTGCGTATTTTGTATATTTTTATGCATGAAAGAACATGCTATATTGCTAAGTAGAGTAGGTCTTTTTATGTAGATATTACTGAGCTGTGTGATTAGGTCACGTAATGACCTATGACCTTCGAAAAACTTCATACATGTATGAAGATATTTGCTCTCTGTATGTTTATATCATAGAGAGATACCACAAATGTATATATTTTGATATGAATTGTGGTTTTGTAAATATAGAGATAGTTCGCGAACTTTTTGATCACCTCTTATACAAACAGAACTAAAGCTAAGAAAATTGTTCAAGTTGATATATTTTTCACAACTTGGTATCTTATTTAAAATTATGTAATTTTACAATTATTATTATGGCCTCCCATGGGAGTACTTTTTAAGTAACAGCCACATAACGGTCTGTTGCTTTACTCCGTTGCATGAAGAATTCCTCGCTGTATGCATCAACTTGTCCTTTTCAAGAGAGCTTTTTGTTAAATTAATATCTGTAATCTCAAACTCTAAAAAGGGGAAAAGGTTTGAATTATTTCCGTCTTCCTTGGAAGTTACAGAGTTTAAGTATTTTATTGTCTTCGGAATAAGCACTTCCTCTCTTTTGTGGTTGGTAGAAAATGCATAATGTGAAATTTTCAATTATTTCACGTGTTGAAATGCTGTTCAAGGCATTCTGGTGATCTAATTTTCGTACGAATTAACGATTTTTTCAAGATTTTCATTTTTAAAAAAAAAAAAAAAAGCGACAAAACGAACAAAAGAAAAATTGCAATAAATGAACTTGAAACTTTATTTCTTATAGCAACTATTGAAAATCGTTTCCGTATTTAAATGTTTAACAGAAATGTTCTTTCTTTAAATACAAAGCTAAAAACTTATCAAGAACAATACGACCTTATAGGCGTATGTCAGTTTAATGTTTAAGGTTGTGGCTTTTTGATAAAGCTATATGTGTAGTCGGCAAGAACTGATTGATACTCACTTCCTCTGAACAATGGGACGGCTCCACTATAATACGTGCTTTTTCCATCTGTTTCTGGGATATATGCCACATACTCATAAACTAATGGCTCGTTTAAGGTAGGGTCGCGTGTTTCACTTCGATCAGGATAGATGCCCTCGTCTCGCCAGTCCTCACAATTGACCGAAAACGAGCTCGTGGATGCATTTCCTGTGACGTATATGCAATTTTTTTAAAAATAAGATTATATAAAACTTTCTCAAAAGACTTTTACCATTTTGGTTTAATAAAATATTCTTTTTTTCCAGAGAAATGAAGTCTATCTGAGGCTGTTGAAACTTTGTGTATTGTAGATTCTCTACTAGTAACTAACACTGTCACAACGTACCTAAATATTGACTGAAATTGAAGAAATGTTAAAATGTTTACCTGTTACTTCCTGATGTATTTTATCAGTACTTATATAATGCATTAATTAGGGATTCTTAAGTTGAAAGGTGTCTTATTGGCAACAAAATCATTTTTGTTTTGTTTTGGAAAATAAGGTGCGCTACTGATGAATTGAACTTTCAGGGGGTCAAAACAAGCAATTTTTTCTTTCAAATATTGTGTTAAGAGATGGACAGCCTTAAAAGTCAAAAATATTCACCATTTCAGAGTTGAAAGACATATTTTGGAATGAAATTTATGCAAATTGAAAAAAGGAATTCAAGTGTGCTATATGATCGTTAATTTTAACAAAACATAAATCGACATGGGTCAATTATAATGAAATGGTGGAATATTGATCAAAGAACTCTTATTTTTATTCCGTTAATTAACAAATTTTTGTCTTCAATTTTTTTTGTTTGAATAAACAAATACTTCTAAAACAAAGTAAATATAACCCCATCCCTTTTCAATTCGCTGTAGATTCCAAATCCTGTTCAAACATTTAACCAAAAGTCCATCATTTTGTAAGAGAATCAGAATTGCATATAACAAGCGAATGAATTAAGATTACATAGTCAGTGTCCATTTCATAATAGCAATATTGAAAATTCCATGAAATGCCTATTGATTACAGTATAATTTTCGACTTCTAACACCAGGCTCCTACGCACTATCAGACAAAAGGAATCCATCCGGCACTTAAGGGAATCTGAGCCTAATCAATTTTGTATTTTTTTTCCTGATTTATATTTAGCCGGTTCCTCACCTATGAATTTATAAAATTAAAAATTTACTTGGAAAGGCCTTCAAGTTGTTTTTTGGTCCAAAAATGATTTTTTATTTGGCTGTATATCCTGAGATATAGGGTATAATAGGGCAAATTCAATAATTTAATGGGAAACCATAGGGATATATTTTATAATACTCTCTTTTCTACTAAAAATACTATTTGAATTGATATAGTTATATTTACAGTCACCTAAGAATCAAAAGTTTCTTTTGCTATGAACAACTAAGCGAAACTTGAAATCTGGACTTATGTGTCATAAATATTACAAAAGGTTGCATGACTTGTGACTTTGTTTATGATGAAATTCGTGAAGCTTGTTCCCTGAAGTTTACTTGCTGTAGTCATGAATAAATACATTGTAAACAAATTTTAATATATGACCAACTGAGCCCCACCCTGGAACCACTGTTCTTGAACTAGGGGACATGAATTTCAAAATCTTGGTAGAGGAATAGCTATTTATTATAATTATGCAAAATACTTAGCCTGTTAGATGTCAATGATTTAAAAAAAAAAGGATTTCAAAGATGTAATGCATTTTCAATGTATGGCCAACCCTGGGATCTGAACCCTTAACTCGGTCCTTGATTTCTCTTGTTAGGTAAAGGGCTGATTGAGAACAGCAAAATACATAAAAGGAAAATGGAAAAAGGCCATTTTATGACAAAATACAGGGGTTATAGTGCATTCTCAGAAAGGTGGGGATTTAATAGACAATATAGGGCCGCTTGAAGGTCTGCTTGGATTACTGTTTAGCAAAACTTTATTATACATTCATTTATAAAAAAAATAAACTGATCGTATTACACAGGAGTTTGCATAGTTGATTTGATATATTTAACTAATTAGTTACCATTTTCAATTTCACTATTTCAAATGATCCGAATTTACATGATACCAAATGAAAAAAAACTATTAAAAAGTCTATTAAATTAAAGAAAAGTTATAAAAATTGTATTTCATTATTTACACTAGTCTTTAAGGAGATGAAACATCTTCTTTTTTTAAATGGAAGATTTCATATTGTTTATTAATGCATTATAAACCTGTTTTGGGCGTTGAATAGCACGTCCCATTATAGGGAGGATAGTTGACGATGATATCCCATACGGCAAGAGTCGGATCCTTCTCGTTGGAGGTAACGTTCACACTCAGGGCATACTTTTCCCCAGGGACCAGCTGATTCGCCTTCAAAGTGATTGATGCCTCCGAGACGGCTGAAAAGGTATACACTCAGACATTTCAATAATCATCAAGAAAGGTTACTTAAGGAGGAATACTACACCAAAATTTTATTTAATGGATCTTTAAGACATCTCTTTTGAAATATGGTTTCAGCATAGAAAGACTGATATTAGCTCTTAATTATATTACATGATTTTTTTTTCTATTTTCCCAGAGAGTAAATGTAAAAATTATAAATATCTAATAAAACATGTCATGAAAAGTTAAGGCATTTGGAACCAGAAATGACACCAGTTAAATATTGCACCTTGATATATTAGTACTCTGAAGTACTGCATAAAAATTGTACGTGAATCACGTGATAGTGCTCAATATATCAATCTCTTTTGACAGATCCTATCTGTAGTACAACATAAAATTTTATATATTTTCCTTGAAAATTCAATCAAATTCAATCCTGGTAACTTAATTTGTGTTTCATATATTTTGCATATTTTTTTTACTTAGGAAGTCTTTGTCAATCTTGAATAGTTAATAGCGCAGTCGAGGATGAGTTTGAATTTGATGTACGTTGTTGTTCGAAGTTTAAACAACGCCTATACTCATGAACCCAAATTCATTAAGTAAAAACTATATTTTAATTGCAAGTTGCAAACGCAATATTAGTAAAATACTGGCATATTTAGAATTAAATTGGGAAACAAGTCGAAATGCTTACATTAATTCTGCTAAAGCGAGTGTTAGATAGATAACAACTAGGGTATGATACACGTAACATACAAGAAAATGTTTTCCTTTATTATACATTGTAAAAACCACTGCTAAATTTCGGAAACGTAAAGCCTAGGTACTATAATAGCTATATATTATTTGCGGAAACGTAACAATATTTTTGCGGAAATGTAATACGCCACCCACTCGGGTGTTGCCTCACCCTCACTATCATGCATTAAATATATATTAGACTCTTTTTCTTCTTGATCTATGAGTTGTAAGAATTTCTATGAAATGGTCTTGAAAATGGTCTTAAAACCTGTAATATCTGAAGTTTAATTGCCTCTCTAGCGTCATTCTTCAATCGATGTTACGTATGTAAATATTTGTCTTATAGTACCCCGTGGTTTAATGACGAAGTTATCAGATTTTCTACTTTTATAAAATTCTTTGGTTGACTTTAATATTCTCTTTACATTAAAAAATATACATGTATATTGATTATTCTAATGTTTGAGAAAAGATGTCATTTATTTCTACCTATGTCACAAGACTGATTAAAGAATGCAACTATGACAATTAGTACACAAATTCAATGGGGAAAATCAATGCCGGCTTACATGTACTTGTCATATTAATCAACGAGGGAATATCCTCATAAGTCCTGTTTTTGTAATGTTGGAGGCGCCATTCATACTTCAATATGGTGTCTGGCCCACAGTCGTTGCAGACGGCAGTAACACTTAATGGCGACGTCACGGCATACTTCTCCAGACAATTTATTGAACACCTAGTGAAGTTATAACATTTATCAGCCATCATTAGTAAAAATAATGTAATGTTTTTTTTTTAATTAAACATTTGGAAAAGGGATGTCTTATACTTACGCAATGCTGATATCATGGGGATCGTTGGCAACAATCTGTACAAGCTGTGTAAAATATGACGTCAATTCATCCTTTGCTACCGCTACAGTGATGACGTAACCGACATCTGCGTCACTCAAGGTTATTTTTTGTTTTCCGGCACCCAATAAACCTTAAAAAATTAGATCAAAAATATAATGTCCATTCCATGCTACCATATCACTACAAGTATGATTCATGCACCTAGTTTAGTTACACTACAAAATATACAAATTATATACGTCATGAGTGTACATGTGTACAGGCATAAGTGTTTTATTTCTTGAGCACTTGATGTAAAAGTGTAGGAAGGAGGAGTGAAGGTGCAAATCTTAAAACCCACCTTCGAAGAGGGTAGTTATAACAAGATTTCAATTTCAAACTTCAGAGAAAGTCCCAAAGGAAAACACTATATTAGATCTTCTTGTCCACTGAAATTTCAAATCTCATTATATTGGATTCATTATGGTGATACCTACACCACCAAACTGTTTTAAAATCTTTAGTCTGATCACTCATCTGTAAAATGTAGGTCATGAAGTACTCGGTTCATACATGTTAAATCCTAACTTAGGGGTCTAAAAGCTGGTATTAGCCAGCCCAAAAAACTACTTACAAAAAATAAAGGTCATGATTATAACTATGGAATTCTTGTATCCTCTAAAGATTTAAGAGCCATTCTCTGTAATGACTTGAACTTTTATATATGACCTGTGGCACGCATAGTGTCAGAATTTCTCCAAACTTTCTATGATAAAAGACCGAGAACTCAAATAGAGCAAAATTTGGTTGCTATGTGTCATTGTTTTCATGGCACTGTGCCTTAAGATTTGAAGGAAAAAACGTCATTTTTGAACATGTTCAGAGTTCCATAGTTAACGTTTGCAGCTGTGCAGAAAAGTGACAATGGCTGTTTCCAGTAGTTAAAGGCTTGATGACTTATTATATAAGTTAATTTACAATCGAAACAAGTTATTCAAAAGTAATAATTCTATTTCTTCATTTACTAAATCAATTTTCATATACTTAAAAATAAAAACAATTATAGGTTAAAATACAACCAAATAATAGAAAAAAGATCCTTGCAACATATTCCAAGGAAGAAATGTGTAACTCGTATTGGTTGGCAATGGTTTAAATACTGTAAAGACACTTCAAATTTACTCTGTTTATGTATTAATCTGATCTTATCTTTTTAAAGAGCACATTTCTGTTTAACTGGTGATCAATTTTTGAAGGCAATGATTTGGTCTAAATTTATACTTTTTAAAAATTCAAATTTAATTCTTAAAATAGAGCATTGCTATGGAAATACAGTTGAACTTCGGTATCTCTAACACGGATATCTCGAATACCATGGATATGTCGAAGTGATTTGGAAGTCCCAAGCACTTTATCTTTAAGTATTTTACCCTCAATATCTCAAACCCTCCGATATCTCGAAGTTTTTTCTCGGTCCCATCGAGTTCGAGATAACGAGGTTTGACTGTACATATTGTAATAGGAAAAATATGTATGAAAAGCTGAAAAATATATTGTTTCCTTGGATGTAAGTTTCCCAAAACTTTTATGATTGATATTTATTAACAACCTACCCGACTTTCAATTTTGACTACCACACAGTCTCTTAAATGGATGCTACCACATAGGGTTCAATATTACAATGAACTGAACAGTTTCCCTTCTTGGTAACCATAACAGTAGTATTATTTTCTTCAATAAACTTAATCAATGTATGATATTCAATTTAAATACTGTCAGATAAGTACAATTCAAGGTGAGTCAATTAATATGTTTCTTGATTTAAAGGGAACTAAATTCTTAAAGCAGCAAAACACTATCACTTTTAAACTTCTGGTACGTTATTTCCATGGTTACACTCCATTTTAGCAATTAATACCCATTTTTCTTATGCTATCTGTGTTACGAGGCCCTAACTATGTATATTTGCTAGTCTTGATTTTCGTTGTTTTTCCTTAAGAGAGCAGCATTAATCAAAACTTCGCAACAAATTTTGCGTGGCTATAATATGTTACCATGGCAACCATGAAAGTTATTTGTGAAATAACATTGCCAATACCTTATAAAGTAGGCACAAACATTTTTATTGGTTTTTTTTCTTGTGTTGTTGATTGAGTTTTATCATGTACAAAATGTAGCATCTATCATTAGTGAGTATGTCTTTCAATAATTAACCATTTTTAATTGCTAATGAGTACATGACTAATTTATTAAATATATACTCATTGGCAATTGAAAATTTATACTTATTGAAAGACAAATATGTTGCGTTTTTCAGCTTTTAAAATGGATTCTAAATGCACTCATGGTTACTGTTTACATAGAGATATATTCTAAACAGTTTCTGTTTATAGCATTAGTGACAACAAAGTGTAATGTTTTTGTGGGAGTGGTTTGTTTGATTTTCTTTTCTTTATTAAGGCTCAATAAAGGTTTAAAGCAGTTGAAAATCCCAATTTTCAAAAATTTCCGGCTGTTACCATGTCAACCAAGACCCATCGCAACCATATTTTATTCAATATATGTTTCTGGTATCGAGTTGGTATAATGGGCAAAGTTTCATCAAAATCGATGATCATGCGTGCCAAAAAAGCTTACGTTGTTGTAGAGAATAGCTCATAATAATATGCAAGGAAATTTTTGTCACTGAAAGTGTACAGTGGATGGAGATATAGAGACAAAAATGTGAAAGATAGACTTGTTTTCTTCAGAGAATGAAGCATGATACATGCAAGGAGAACATAATTTATTCCGATTTCACATAACTGTTCAGAGGATGGCTATAGAAATGGTTTTGAAATATTAATTCCGATACCCATTGTAATTCTTTTTAACGTAAGTTCTTTCTATTTACGATATGTTCACATAATTTTGCACTTGAACCATGCCGATTTATGTTTTGTTAAAATTAACGATCATATAGCACGCTTTCCTTTTTTTTCAATTTGCATAAATTTCATTCCAAAAATATTGGAAGCTTCTTACATGTATATGATAATTGCTTTGAAGCTAAATAACACTGGGGAATTTTATATATACTATTTCATTTAAAACTTTTCAACCCATCACCGTTGTGGCCTCATCCTAACCAAAATTTCTGCCATTGCTTGTGATTTCCGTAATAACCTAAAGATTATGCACTATAAATGTTTAAAATGCTTTCACCTCCCGTGTCTGAGTTGTTTCCGGTTGAAGTAACATTTGAAGAGGTTGAGCCATCATGATATATTTCCGAAAACACACTTCTGCAATCACTGGCAAGGCCCGGACCATATGTCGTGTAATAGTTTCGGCCTCCGTTGCTTAGAAATAGTTCGTCCAAGTACACTATATCTGTCGATGACTCTCTGCAAAGAACAAGGTATTTTAATATTTCTGTTTCTTTATCTGCTTTATGCCCCTTCGAGAACATTTCAGTCATGCTGGACGCAGCCAATTGCCATACTGGATGTGCTAATATTCATGTATAAATTAAAACCCTGGGAATTTCTTTTTATCACTTTTTTGTATTACGCTGTTTTACACCGCATAACGCCAACAATAATAGGACCCTAAAAGTAGTGCGCTTCGAAATAAAGACAACAGTGCTTTTAGAGAGTATGGTTTGTTACTTCACTGGCTATATGAGGGGCATTCAATGATTTATGCAAATTACGGTTTAATATGCTAAAGATAGAAGCGACTTAGTTCCTTTATCCACAATATTGTAGTCCTACTTAGGATCTCCAAAACACTGAAAGTGGTATACTTTTTTTAAAGTATTATCGAAAAAAAAATTCAATTTTTTAAGCAGGCATGGTCACTTTACTGAACATTATATTTAAAAAAAAAAAGGTATGTCTCTTCAGTGATGCTCATGCCGAAAGGTTGGAAATCCAAATTATTTAAATAAAAAAAGACTGAAGAGCTGAAAAAAGTGCCAAAGACTGGAGTATATAAAGTATACTTTGTGTAAAATCGCCACAATTTGCAAAAATCTCACAAAGATTGAAATTTTTTGCCTATGAAATAGCATACACACACTTAAGAGGGCAAAAAGGATCATTTTCTCATACTATAACACAATTTTTCGATATGAGTGGGTCTTCGCTCCATTTATAATGTTTATCCTCAAAGTTTGCGGAAAAATATATATATTTTGGTTAACAATAACATAGAGCAAAGACCCCCCACTCCACCCCCCGATAAACGTTGCTACAGGTCTGTCTTATGTTTACGTCTCTCACACTATAATCCTCGAGAAAATAAATCATTTATCTATTCCTATGTAAAACTTTGATCGGTCATTGTCGCCGCTTAATACCCCAGGGGGTCATGATTTGAACAAACTTGAATATACACTATCTGGGGATGCTTCCATATCATTATGACCAATCAAGACTTGCTGTTCTTTAGAAGAATTAGATTTTTAAAGATTTTTCCTATGTATTCCTATGTAAAACTTTGATCGCCCATTGTGACCCCACCCCACCCCAGGGGGCATGATTTGAACAAACTTGAATCTACACTTCCTGAGAATGTTTCCAAATAGGTTTCATATTTTTTGGCCAGGTGGTTTTTGAGAAGATTTTTAAAAAGATGTCATTTTTTCACTAATTCGTAATTATCTCCACTTGGAAGAAGGCGTGGTCCTTCATTTGAATAAACTTGAATCCCCTTTACACAAGAATACTTTGTGGCAAATTTGGTTGAAAATGACCCATTGGTTCTTGAGAAGAAGTCGAAAATGTGAAAAGTTTACAGATGGACAGAGAGACTGACGCTGAACAAAATGTGATCCGAAAAGCTCACTTGAGCTAAAAATTATAATTATTGAGTGGATAGAGGGGAAAATATATCATCATTGCAAGAATACTCTGGGAAATGATTGACTTGGTTTAATTATTCACATTCAATTTGAACCAAAAGTAATTTATAGTTTGGTCTTAATCTCAGGCGCATACAACTGTGATTGTCTCTGAAAAGAAAAGGCAAAAAATTCAATATTTTGCTATACGAAATACATTAAATCCAAAATTACTTACTTGTTGCAATACCAACTGAAAGTGAGTTCTGAGTTGAAACCGTAGCCAAGCTGAACGTCATATGATTCCGTCAGAGCATCCAGTTCTATCTCTCCTGACCACTTAGATGCAACGTACTTAGATCCACGTACGATATATGCATATGGTTTTGGTTTTTCAAATTTCAAAAAAGTGTATTCCTGCATCCAGGTTCCATCCAAAGTAACATTCAGGCTGACTTTATACAGACCAGCGGGCACAGTGCCCTTCGCAAATCGGATAGACCCTGTTGGTTTGACTACTGGGGTGTAATGATACACATCTTCGTCCTGGCCTGTTACATTATAAAACGTCCATCGGTAATCTGGTCCCCTTTCCGGACAATACACTAACATTCGGCTAGCAAGATCGATGTCTTTAGATGTCAAAACAATCATTGGCGTAGTTCGATTTGAATACTGTCGATCAAAAATACCATTAATGGAGAAACATTCGTTATGAACGAGAATGATTGTAGAATTCTCGTAAGTATGAGCAAAGTTCTTACAGAGAAGTTGAAATGGATGAAATCCTAGAGTGAGATACTGATAGTCATAAATAATTGGATTGCCATCTGTGAGATTTTTTGTCCTTGAATGAATAGCCTTGTCAATTCGATCACCGGAAATAAATTCACACCTTATGTCCAATACCGGATCAGCACCGTTTGGGACTCCAAAAATAAAGACCGCTTTTCCCGGTGGTAATTCCAGCTCTGAAGGGACAGTCATATTTATCCCCTCAAAAACATAGTCAATTCCAACATGATACGGCAAATAAAGTATCTCAGTTAGTGTCCCATTTCGTGCGATTGCGGTCGGCAGATATTGCCCTCGATGTGGGTAGATTATAGAAGTAGACACAGGATTTCCAGAAGTAGCTGTTAATGTTCGCTGTGCTATAATCAAATCAACTGCATAGGTAGCTGATCCCAATAAATCTTTTGCGGTGAAAGTAATTGTGTCTTTTGTTGGACTACCTTCATAAACATTGGCTGAAAAATTTGCCACACCCATTTTAATGGAAAATGGAATTGTTACTTCATCAGAACCATAAATCACTGTAAGTGATCCTTCATAGATGCCCCTGTCTTTATATTCGTGTGGACAATCAAATGTTGGCTCATTGAGTTCAAGTGAGGAACTTTCATCAATTTCATCACCAAACTTCCATACAAATTTTACTCTTGGTGGAACGTAATTCATTTGGTATAACTGAGCGCGAAATGTAACGACCACTGGAATGCTCCCAATTTCCCCAAATGGCAACAATTCCGTAGCATTGCCTTTCAAAGTCATATTCATTCCAACTTCTGGCGGATGGTTAACGATTACGTCCTTAATATCAAAATTCCTAATAGTAACTGTAGCCTCACCTCTCCATGAGCTAACTAGATTCCAGCATTCAAAGATCACCGTTTTTGACTTTGGCGTAAAGAAAAAACCATTGAAAGTGTATATATGTGTTTTTGTCACAGGTATGCCATACACAAAGGTGGTTGGGTTTGAATATACTTCATCTTCGAAGTCAAAATTACATTCGACATCGGTAGGTGATGGTTTATTTTCTGTCATTGTAATGTTGAAGATAGCCAGACCATCGTCCTTTGGGAAATCCCCTCCGGTCGGATTCATTTTCATAGCTGGAATTGGGTGCTGAGCAGTAATGTTGTATGTCTGAACGACGGCATGAAAGGGGTTCCAGGCTGTCATTATTACGGTGTACACTGCCGGAGACGTGTAACTAAACGTCCAGGAAGGAACATTATAATCACTGTAGTAAATCGTATCATTAGTTGTTGTCTCATTTCCATTCCCGTAGGAAATTGTATATCTAAATCCGGAGTTTGGTGGATTCAAGAACGTGAAGACAGTAGGAACCCCAATGGTTTGCAATGATGAAGAATTCAGCGTCATATTCAGCTCGTCCCATGCATAAAATGTGAAGTTAAATTCCTCAAATCCAACGTTATTCCTCACTTTTGCTGACAGAGTATAATTGCCTTGAATAAGGTATTGACAAATAAATGTCTTTCCACTTGTGCTTTTATTAAAGCCTGTTATATCTTGGAAATATGGATTCAGATAAATTGTATCATTCTGTCCGTTTCCATACAGAACTTCTAAATACAAGTTTCCCATGGATATGACTTCGGCATGGGTAAGGTTGTTTGATACAGTAACATTAAACGGTTCCCTCGTTTGATACAATCCTGGTGTAGTCTCAACTAGAAAGTTAGAAGGACGCCGAATTCCCATGACACTTATAGTTTTGTACTTCGCTGTCACACCATTTCTAGCAAAAACTGTGATGTTGTACATCTTCATTTCAGAAAATTCAAATGTTTTTATGACATTCCTAACTTCTCCGCTGTGGATTTCTATGCATGTCGTAATATTATGGTCGATCATCCATTCCATTTCAACATTTGTTCCAGAGGTAAGGGACACGAAAAACTCAGCTAATTCGTGCAAAGGTATGAATGACCCGTAGGCTGTGCGTACCTAAATGTTGATAGTGAAAATAAATTCTATGAAAACACTTACTTAAACTCTAATGAAATTTCTTGAGCGTGCATAGGCAAACTTTAACGATGATGAAAACAATATCTTTGGATAGATGTAAGAAATGTTGCTAAATATGTAAAACCTAATAATGAAATTATATATTAGATAATACATGTCTATGAATCGAAAAAGTTAACAATTCTTTAACTTACATCCAAACCTGCTATCATTTCTTCGTGATAGACAATCAAGTCTTTATTTCGCCCAGTTCCTTTACATGGCTGAACTTCCGTTCGCAGCAGGTATGTACCTAGCGCCGGAAACTTTGAGGAATCAAGTGTCACTTTTGCCGCTGTGGCAGTGGTTAAGGTCGATGACACGGTACTGTTGGTATCAAGGTAGGCTACGATTGACAGGTCAGTACCTGAACTTTGAACTATAAAACTAACCTCTTGTGTGGTGTTGCGGGATAAGTAGACAAAGTTTTCAGAAAGCGATGATGGCTCCAAGTAGGTGACGTTACCACTTTGTACGCTGACATCTAATTTAAATAAACAACGTAATACATTGTTTTCGTGTAAAAAGTATTTTTAAAGAGGAAAAAATTAAGCCGACCCGTATTCGTTGGAAAATGGAATTTTTTTTTTTATATATTTATTGTTTATTTTTAAGCAATATGGTTGTAGTTTAAAGAGAAATGCTGAGACATTTGTTTCACCAACTTTCACTGAATATCCGACTGTTCTTGATATATTATATTATACACCGATATCATTAGACATAAATGTGAATTGTATAATGTTTTGGTACAGGTACTAGTATATGATGATTTAGTAGGACAAAGGAAGTCCTCAAATAGTCTAACTAATAAATATATTTTCCCAAAGCTTTTAAGAATTCATTTCAAACCTGCTATGCAGTCACAACCTCGAAGATCAACTTTTACTGTGCATTCTCCTGCGCATGCAGTTGGAACAATCCGGAAATAAGACCCATACAAAGTAGGTGTTAAAGTGTAGGCACTTGAGGTCGAACTCTATTAAAAGAGGGATTAATTTGAGTCCACATTGTCAATCACACAATAGTAAGTGTACAAAAAAAATAATGAATCATTGTTTTTATATATACTCACCTGCTTATCCCAGATAACTCCATCAAAGCTTGACAATACGTCATAGGAAATTGTGCTTCCGGTGAGTGTCAGAGAAACAAATTTGTGAGATGTTGAAAATGTTGCCTTAAAAGAAGTGATTTACTAATTACATTAGAACATGCAAATTCTATCATTTTTGTTTGTCTTTTTAATGAAACAAAACAATGACTTACCTGTACAAAGGAATTGCTATCATTAGCCGATGGACTCCAATGTCCAGGTTTACTGGATTTTATGTTAGCGGCGCTTGTCTTTTCTGTGGATCCGCTGAACGCCGAGTCCGGCAGGATGTTTAGAATGTCCACATTACATGCATTTGAAGTCCAAATGAAAGCTGTAACTTTGGTAGTAAATGTAAAATGCAAATTAAAAACGAGACAGATATAATTTAAACATTCATATTCAAGATATAATTGCTTATACATGTATTTATTAATTATTCAAGTTAGCATTTACATGAATGTGCTATTTTTCTCTTAACTTTTCCTTCTAACTACATTAAAAATTATTTTTCCAACTGAATTTTAAATATTGAAGTATGCAGCCAGTTGCTTGAAATGTAAAAGTTTTCCCTTTAAGTTATGACAAATTTTAAATTTTGACACTACTAATTGATTTTTTACAAAAAAAAAATGTACTTGTATTATTGCAATTTTATAAATTTCTGTATAAGGAGAAGACTACCTATTTTGTGGAACTTGTGCCTTATCCTTTTGACTTTGTCAATAAATATGTTTAATTCAATTCACAAACTGTAGTTCGCTTCAATTTGGGTAAAAAGTTTCTTAATATTTATAATTTCTCCTACACGTATCGCCAAGAAAATTTATGCATTTTTTTAATTATCTTAAACGCTGAAGCAACCTAATCCAAACTTCTTTGAATTACGTGTCATTAAATATAAAGAATTTAATTAATTTTGTTGTGCATTGTGTTGTCATTGAAATATTAGTTAAGAGCTGAATTTCTAGTTTAATTGATTTGTTGCTTGATTCAAATGCCCAATGAAACAAAGAATTTGTTTAAATTTACATCTCTTATGATATCAAGAATATATATCCTTTAATACATACGTGCACCTAATAAATAAAAGTTTATGTTAAAATGAATATGTGTACGCAATCATTTTAAATTATAAAAATCGCTTTAAAATCAAGATAGGTATAAAAGACTTACATAAATATGAAAACATAAAATTCCAGAGAGAACTATTCATCTTTCTGTTTCACTATCGCATAGTCCCTCTCATTTTCCTTAAATATAAGGTACGCTATATTTATTTGAGAAATCAAAGGTCTATTCTGATCGATACTTTATTTTACTCTAAAATGTTCTACGAGGGATGGCAAATAATCTACAAAACGTTCTTGTTTACAAAATTGAAATTGTAACAAAGAAAAATCGAATTTCCTCCATCACGATGAAATGTTGTTAATTCCGTTCTTGGTACGCGGATAGATAAAAGAAATTCCCAAAACAATAAATTGCATTTTGTGAGACAAGTAACTGTCTTAGGAATTATTCAGTATGTAAATAAATCTATCTTTATAGATCGGAAAAGCTTTGAAAATTCATGTTTCGTATTTTTTATAATTTTTACTTAGCAATGATTGATGAAAAATGTTTTCAGCAAGCGCGTCAATTAAAATCGAAAAATTAAAATAACTTATTGACCTTGTCTAGTTCCTTCTGTAAGAAATGGGTGTTAAATATTCAGATTTTTATCAATCTAACTTAACTGAAAATTTACATTGATAAAAAGGAATTAATACCAAAGAGGAACCTGCGAATTCATCAACATCTAATTTTTCTTAAGAACCTTTGTCCAGTTATATATATATATATATATATATATATATATATATATATATATATATATATATATATATATATATATATATATATATATATATATATATATATATATATATATATATATATATATATGTATGTATGTATCATGTTGTAATTTTTGAATTAAGTAGGTGGGGGTAAATGCAAAATTTACAACATGATATATGTATCATTTCCCGCTGGTCGGGTTTTTTTTTTCAACAATTATATGTTTCCCCCTCCTCTTACTATACTCAAAGCCCTCTCCCATGATTTTGAAAGAACATTATGTTACGTATATCAACGACATAGCCAACAATATTTGAAATGTTTAATTTATTTAAATCAAATTTTAGAGTTGATGTATATACAAGATTTCCAACATTATTTCAGCATTTCAAATTAAAGTTTATTAACCTTGACCTTTGAGATAAGATTTGTCAAGATCATGGCACATTTAAAGATCGAAGAAAACAAAAAACGTTTGAGAATCAAATAATTTGTTGACCATACAGGATTTGTGACACAGGCGTGCGAGCGTTACAGTATGTAGTAGGGTGTATGTATATAGAAACAATTGTACAATCAGTTACACATGATACCTGATGCCTGTGACACAAGTATGTTACTTCATCTCTTTTCAAATGTGCTTTTATCTTGATAAGATATATCAAATTTTGACTGAAACATCAATATAATTATTGGAAGATCTTAGCAAAGATTGCATTCTGATAGCAACATAGATGGATGCTGTATATCATAGACCTAGGTATGGCTTGAGATTCTTTGAAGACTGGTGACCGTAACAATCCTACACAAAAGAACAAAGATATCGCCACATTGTCCTATTTCTTCTAAATTTCTTATCACGACTCAGTCACTTTGATTACAGTGCAAAGGCATGATAAGGCTGCAAAACTATGGCAGACGATAAAGTGACGAATGATGTTCAGACAAAATGTTCTCGTGAAAAGTTATTGTTTTTATCGTCTGTCATTCTCGTTTTCGTTATCGTCAATACTGTCGTTTTCCTCGCTCTGACAATTTACCAACTCAGCAACATTGGTGAAATAGAACGGAAGTTACTGGGCAAACGTATAAATATCGAGACCTTGCGAGCTTCGTGTCGGAACAATGAATATTCAAAGGTAAGATTTACTTTTATTATACAGGGTGTTTCATAATATATGTTACATTTTGAATCTTCAATTTGACAAACACAAGAAAAAGATACAGACAAGTGTTTTTATCAATTTGATGCATGTATCCATAAGATTAATTATGTGTAATTACCAACCAAAATATTAAACACTTGACGAAATCTCAAACATTAATGAAAATTAGCGAAATTTCTAAATTATGCCATTTTTGTTACGTTGAATTTCACAACGTCAAAAGCCAAAATTACTTGTTCTTAATGATCTCCACTATTTCAACTACAAATGAAAATTTCTTCCCGAAATTTGTATAACCTTGTCAGGCATATTTGTTAGACACTCCTCATTTGAAGGTTTATGGGGCGTTTTGCAGCTCACACAGTATCTGTAGTTTAAGATTGTAGACCCTGTCCTAAAGAACCCCTACAAAAAAGGCTTGATTGAGATTGGCGAATGCAGAGATCAAACTCTTTTCTTGGGGTATTGCATTATTAGTCCCCTACCGGTGAAACCGGAGGGGACTATAGGTTTCCTCTGAGTCTGTCCGTCCGTCTGTCCGTCCGTCTGTCTGTCTGTCCGTCTGTCTGTCTGTCTGTCTGTCTGTCCCTCTGTCTGTCTGTCAGTCTGTCCCACTTGGTTTTCCGCACTTTTCTTCTAAACGCTTGCAGATATTGAGCTGATTTTTGGTATGTGAGTGTATCTTGATGAGTTACAGATCAAGTTTGCATTTCGTTCCGCTTCATTGATTTTTGACGGAATTATGGCATTTTCAATTTTTAACGGGAACCAGATTACACTTGCCGGTAGGGGACTAGTATTGCTAATGCAATACTCTCAGAATGCTTGTTGAAATTTTGTACGCTGATAGCTATATAGTGTTACATGTATATCATATTTCAAAGTTCAATATATGCTGGCAATGCTGATATTGCCAGCATCAATTTCTGAAAAAAACATCCATCTGACACTTTACTCAGGAGTTTGCTAAATTATTTAAGAGTCTCCAGTTCACCAATTAAATCTTCGGTTCTTGAAATCCTTCGGCTCTCTGGAGTACCGTGTCAGTTATCACATATTGCCCGTCCCCCTGTCCACTAATTTTGTTACTAGCCTTCTGATAAGCATCCTAAAAAGTTTTCATTCTTTTCGAATTTTTTTTCTTCATCAACTTCTGAATATTGGCGACATGTATTGAAAAAAAAACATCTTTACAATTCAGCAATATGTTGATAAGTTAAGTCCATTTCGAAAAATACTCAAATTATGACATTGGCGTTTATGAAACAATTTATCATTGTAATACCATGATTTCCTTGACTTTTTCACATGGAACAAAAATGCAGGATTTGATGTTTAAAATGATATATAGTTTGTAATAGAAATATGATAGGTAAGAAAAATAATTGAATTTGAAAATGTAACATATATTATGAAACACCCTTTCTGACTTCAATGTTTGTATATGAATGTATATGTTAACAGTACTCTTTTGTTGTAGGAGAAGTTTCTTCAGTTAATTGACATATTGCCGTATGTTAACCAGAAATATTCAGGATTAGGTGAAAGTCTAAGAAAACGCCAAACAGCGTCCCTAGCAACACTTTTTCAAGACCTTGTACATGCACAGGTAGCTACCGATTATCAACAAACGTAACAATGGTGTTAGAAAGTTGATAGGAGAAAGTAATTAATGCTATAACTAACATGTCACAATAATTGTTACATATCTATCGAGGTACTAAATATTAAATGAAGAAACTTCATCGTAATTTAAAGAGTATTTCTTGATATCCCTGTTTTAGAATCATTGTGTTATGTACGGAAGGTAGTTGATTTGATTTCATTGAAATTTAACAAAAGTAAAAATTTCAAGTTTGCATTGCCTTTTTTTTTAAATTTCTACATTTCATATCTTTTTTTATCCTAAAAAAGATATGAAAAAACAGAACCAACAATCAACACTTTGAAAGATTAAAATCAATACTTTAAATTACCAGAGCATGGACTTGCACTTATGGAGGGAGTTCAAACAGTGTAAATAATAGAGCATTATTTATACTGTGTAAATATTAAGAGATGTGAAAGTGTGTGAACGAATATTCTATCATTGAATACAGTAAATACAGGTGATGACCCCTTTTTTATTTTAGGTAAAAATGTCAATACGATATTTTGAATCTGTAGGCAAATTAATTATATGAGTAAATGACATTATATATGTATTATAATTGTTTTTGAGGTCAACAAGCTTAAGATGATTTAGCTTAAAGAGTTCAGAGTAGATATAATTCTCGCCGGAATAGTGAGTTGAATATTGTACGTTGATGGTTATTAAATAATCGTATTGACAAAAGAACAGCAATACTTTTCTTATTATCTGATTTGATGATTTTATAAATGGCTCATTTAGCAAACCTTGCCTTTTCTGATTTCTAGAATGTTAGATTTCAGTCAGTCATAGTACTGGGAATATTCAATCATATATGTAAAAAATATAAGCCAAAACTGTACATTCTTTGAGAGAGAAAACTGATCGATAGAAACCCAAAACTTTACATTCTGTGAAAGAGAAAACTGATCGAAGGCCATCGGACAGAGATTAGTTCTTTCTCTCATAGAATTACGTGTTACTTAAAATATGAAATCCTTTGTGTTAAGAATACACGCTTACATGTAGTGATGATGTGTTTCCTGTAAGCTTTTGTCTTCATAATGTACTCTGCCAACTAAAGCTGTTTTTAAACAATGAAAACCAGCTTTTTTAACTTATTGGACACTTTGAGGCTATAAAAACTTGTACTTCCGTTTACCTTGCACTGTCCAATAAGTTGAAAATAACTGTCCCAATAAGTTGAAAATATACAAATTATTTAACATAAAGGTAACATATCGGATTGTTTTTTTTAAATTTACAGGGACTTCAAGTTTGCAATATAACAACCAAAATTAACAAACGATTACATAACGAACATGTTTTAATAACGGGGTATATTCAATCAAGCAGCATTTTGCTTACAATAATGAAAATTTCACGATATACATGTATATTTTTCATTTTCAGGAGCAGCTTTTATTGGAACGTTGTACTCCTGATACAATAATTTGTATTAAAGGTGCGTGTACAATAATCTACCAGGTGTGTAATAATCTACATGCATATCAAATGAGCAGGTACAATAATCTAAAGGATATATCCATGTAATATGTATACAAAAAACCAGAAGATTAACATTAATCTAATATATATATATATATATATATATATATATATATATATATATATATATATATATATATATATATATATATATATATATATATATATATATATATATACCAAAAGCGTATCAAACCATGTACAATGATCTGAAAGGTTTACAATGATATGTTTTCCACACTTTAAATAAAATTTGAATTTGGGTAAATTCAAATTTCAATTTATTTTATCGGAATAGACGGATAAAGATCTGAATCAGATTGATTTTCTGCGACATGAGTATAAATTTAGCACAAGTTGATAACCTTATTCACATTAATATATTCTTTGTGATCTGATTTACAAATCAATTTGAGTAATTGGCTAAAATAACAGTTCTTTTTTATGCTTAGACAACTCAAGAATTAACGTTCCGTCTGCAAAATCAAACACATCCTTGTTAAAGGATGAAGAAATAAATATAACTATTTTTTTTAAATATCTATTGGTTTATCATTAAGTTATTTTGGCCTCCTTTACTGATTTTCGTAGGACTAAAAGGAGAACATGGTTTGCCTGGAGAAAAAGGTATGAGCTTTTTTTATCCTTCGGTATAGTTTGAAAAGAATATGAAAGAATGTAACTTGCAGCAAATTTTCCCCTATTTAAGCATATTAATAAATTAGGTTTAAAATTCGTGATGTCTACAATTATATCGGTTTTCTTTAAAGGAGATAAGGGCCAAATCGGAAGTAAAGGGATGTCAGGATATAAAGGCTATGATGGCGAAAAAGGAATGCCGGGAGAAAAAGGAGAAAAGGGAATTATGGGAGATAAGGGAGATATGGGACAACGAAATGTGAATGGGGTAAAAGGAGACATGGGAATCGCTGGCGATAAAGGAGAGGCAGGGATAGTGGGTATGAAAGGTGAACCAGGAGTAAATGGAGTTAAAGGGGCACCTGGCGATAAAGGTCAGGCTGGTCCTGTAGGAAAACCTGGACTGAATGGACCCAAAGGTACCAAAGGTGAACCTGGCACGACAGGTAAAAACATTAACATATATTTTTGAATGTGTTTGGGAAATTGCCGAAAAATGTGGAATATATGTGTTTTTTTTACTTCCAATGTATTTTCTAGTCGATAGCCATAATGATTATTGGTTTTTGAGTGTGTTGATAAAACATCTGCTGAAAAATTTGCACAGTCTTCTAAAAATTCATTTCCAGTCTAATTGAAAAAGAGATTTTATTTGTTCTCTGTTTAAAGCATCAAAATAGGAACTGATTACCATTTACTTTAAATTAAATTGATTCATTTCGAAACAAGAAGGTATAATCACTTTTCAGAGAAACACTTAAAACAATCATTAGGGGAAAACGTTCGGTGCGTTCAAACGATTTTGTAATTGAATATTTCCAATCAAGGTGAGAAGGGTGTCAAGGGAGCGATAGGTGACGCTGGACCACGTGGAAATTCTGGGAATAGAACAAATTGTGACTGTATGAGTAAGTACATATATATTCAAAGATATTCAAATTTCTTTTAATAATACACTTTAAACAATTAAAGCTAGACTTTTTAATTTAAAATAAAAAAAATTAAACATTTTATATTTGTATATTTTCATCAAGGTAAACCAAAATTCTATGAAAGCAGTAAAACAATGGCGGTACACTATGGCGATAACGTGACGTTGGACTGCTCTACAGCAACACTTCCGGAAGCCACAATAACATGGACCAAGACTGACAGCGATGGGTGCTTCGCCAATTTTTCTAAGACATCTGGAGATAAGATAGAACTGGATAGAATTCAACCTGTTGATATCGGGACGTATCAATGTTCAGCAGAAAATGCCTTGGGAACAGCATTTAAAACTATCAAACTCACAACTACAGGTTTTCACAACGTTCTTCATTTGCCTTTAAATAAATCTAAAGAATTACTTACTATCATTGAAGTTAAGATTGTTTCAGATTTTATACACAAAAATGTGTTTTTGTCTGACAAATATACTAATAATTGTTCTTCCATTACATATTACTTGACTTATTAGTAATTTAATAAATTATCAGTAAACTCAATCAATTAAATTGAATTTTATTCATATTCTTAACAGTAAAAAAAAAAAAAAAGAATATTCATTAGATTAAGAACGTTTTGCAATATTCATTGTAATATTATATATTATAATTTACGCACAGATAATCCTGACGTCATTTCCTGTGACTTTGAGTCCGGTTTTTGTGGTTGGTACCAAAGTAAATCAGACGACGCAGATTTCTCCAGAAACACGGGCCACCTCAGGACGCCGACAACAGACCACACCCCTGGAAAAGGTTAAAATCTTAAAATGAAGGTTGCCTAGTTATTTGTACTTAGGTTAATTATAAAATTCTATTCATAACACCACGATCTACTACGATTCAAATCGCAAAATGTTCTACAAGAAACAGTATAATACTTGTATAGTATTTCAACTAATTAGCGTACATGTTTATATGGACACTAGAATGTAGGCGTATACTATATACATGTATTAACATTTCAACTTCATAAATCATAAACTGTAAGTGAAACTGATTTTGAATTCTTGTTTAATTTTGGAAGGAGGAAACGGCTATTACGTTAACATAGACAGTGCCTCGATGACAACTGGTCAAACTAGTCGACTAGAATCGTTCTATGTCCCTGCGCACGAGAAACATTGCCTTACCTTTTGGTACTTTGTTGACGGGGCTTCAGGAGCCATCCTCCATGTCAAAGCTAAAGTGGGTTTCTTGTTCTCATGTATATTTATATTTTCAGTTACTTGAAGCATGGGGGAAAAGAAAACTGAGTTAGAATAAATTAGATCATGTTTGTTAGTATTGACAAATACATGTGCATGAACTAGTATCTCTCATTTAATTGCTTTCAGTGATTTTTCAAAGTGTAAAATCTTGCATTCAGTACATTCAAATATGGATTACATGAATGTGAATGTATGTATATTCTATTAAAATAGGTTCATGGACATGAAATACACACTTTAAACTATAAAGAAAACGAAAGTTTCCTTACAGCTGTTACTTTAGCAATAATATTATTCATATCTAAATGGTGTTCTTCTACAAAAAAAATTATTAATTCAAAAATAAACAGAATATGTGCAATGTTGATAATACATATTTTATTGGTTATGTTTTGTTAAAAGGCCTGTAGCATGGATGAGGCTACCCTTCTGAAGTTAACAAGTTCAAGAATGGGTTGGGTGCAGGCAAGAGTCGACATTCCTGTGGATATCCATGGGCGACAAATTGTATTTGAAGCAAAACGAGGCAATTCCGCTTCTGACGTCGCCATTGATGACGTCACTCTCTCCAATAAAGAATGTCCTCCTGGTAATAAGAATTCATACGTATATTTATCATTTCAACAAAATATTAATATATTATCAAAAAGATGATTAATATCTTGAAAATAAACATTAATTAGTCAATTGATAGAACAGATCACGTGTTTGTTTGGTTTTTTTTTTTTCATATAACATATTTTAATAAAGAAATTATTTAGCGCCAATTTTCATTGCTAATAAAAATAGACAAATTTAACTTTTTTTAGCTGACAAAAAACCAGAAATATTGAACAAAAATACTACTATCCAGCGGAATCTGGGAGAAAGAGTAGAGTTACAATGCAATGTTACTGGTCAACCTCGCCCTAACATCACATGGCTTAAAGAAAGTGCATGTAGCAGGTTCGAGAGAAATGTACAAACTCTGGTTTTGCCAAATGTGACACAAGCTCAGGCTGGAACTTACAAATGTGTTGCCACTAACAGTATAGGACGAGATGAAGGTCAAGTAAAACTGGTAGTCAATGGTAAATAACATTTTTCCCACTCACAATGCAAAATAATCGCGAAGTCTCGTATTTGCCAAAAATCGAGAATATATTATATGAAGCAGAAACAAGCAAGTCAGTACTTAAGAGGTTTGTCTTGTAGAGACACAGAATTGCACATTTGACACTACGACGGAGATATGTGATTGGCAGAATATAGCAGCTGGAGACGACAGGGATTGGATGAGACAAAGCGGAAGTACACCTTCTAGTTCTACAGGGCCTTCATCTGATCACACTCTTGGGACCAGTACGTAAGCATTTTCAAAAGAATTGGAATCCCTTTTTGGGGGATACCAAGTGCCAAATATTTTTGGATACCAAAATTACCAAGTATATTAAATTTTCTTCTTTCATCTTTAAATAAAATTTACTGCTTCAAAAATATTGTAATTAATATACTTTATTAATATACTTTTGACTATACAGTTATCGAATAGTTTTTATGGGAACACTCATAAAATTTATAGAGAAGTATAATTAAAAGCATGAAAATCTACTTCATTAACACAGTAAAGACCAAATATGGAACAGTTATCAAATAGTGATCAAAATATACCTTAGATAAATTGTTCTATTCACAGCTTATGCATAAAACTGTTTTTCTTTCATTCATTATCATTTGTTACCAAGATTACATGAACGTTCAGACAAATCAGACTTAACTTGAGTCCTTTGACCAGAGCAATAATTCGATGTGTAGTGAATTAATTATACATAAATAAACATTATAAAGGACTTAGAAAAATAAAGTACACTAACAGAGGTAAGAAAACAGTAAATCGTACATTTACAACATTTCGTGATGAAGATGGTTCATTTCTGTTGACAGCGTCCGGTTATTATATGTATCTGGAAGCGTCTAGTCCAGTTCAAGTGAATGACACTGCAATTCTACAGTACAAAACACTTCCTTCCGATCAACCATTTTGTCTTAACTTCTGGTATCATATGTACGGTTCCACCATGGGTTCACTGCGAATAATGGCAAAGGTAAGGGACCATCTCAAGTTGTTTTTTTATTTATTTATTTATTTATTTTTTTTATTTTTTTTTTTTTTGCTATGTAGGGAAATTATTTTTATATCTTTCAAGTTTTCCAGATTTCGAGACTCTGTTTCCATTTCTATATTGAGGAGTATCAATAATATGCTTAAATTAAGTGCAACGTGCAGGGACATAAACTTTCAGTATTTCTTTGAAGATCGTTAATTTAAACATTTAACTTGTAATCCAAGAAAACCCAAAAACTAAAACTGAATTTTCTTTTTTCAAAAAAAGAAAAAAAAAAAAAAAAATTAAAAACTGTGGTTCGGTAATTGCAAACAAAGATATTTTGAAGTTTATCTTACTTGCATACTGACTTCATATTTTCTGCTTACGGCTGATATAAATAGGCTGATTTAATTGGAAGTCGGAGGACAGGGGTTCAATGTCAAAGAAAAATTAAGTGCAATAAAATAATATCAAAGGATTTAGTAATTATTGCTTCTTATTTTTAGGACTGTGTTACGAATACCCGAAGAGAGTTATGGAAAGAAAGTGGAAGCAAAGGTGACGCGTGGAAAAATGCATGTCTTCTTGTGGAACAACATAGTCACGATTACAACCTCCAGATCGAGGCTGTGCGTGGTTCGAACTACCATTCAGATATTGGGATTGATGATGTTCAAGTCGATACCGGAACGTGTGCATGTCGAAAAAGTACAAATATCCTTAGCTTCTTCAAATATGACACAAACATCAATTTTGCAATTTCTCACTCTTAGAATAATGAAATATGTTAAAAATTTCATAGACTATTTACAAAAACCTTTATTTCATTTGTTTTTAGACATTGATATTGCTTGTGACTTTGAGAAGGATTTGTGTGAAGGTCAGGGTTTTGCTTCCCGACATGATTCAACGTATGTGTTGCAATGGAATCGAATAAAAGGAGTGACACCTTCCGTAGACACAGGGCCGGATCATGACCATACCACAGGTAACAGTATTGCACTGATGAGCAGAACAAAGTAACGGTAAACCATCATTCCTTTGACCATATAAAAGGTAACAGTATTGTTGGTTTGCAAAGCTGGGTATTGTTATTGTGACTATATCACAGATAACACTATAATTCTCATGACTATAACACAGGTAACAGTGTTATTTTCCTGATCACGCCACAGGAAACATTATCGTTCTCATGCTTTAATTCTACAGGTAACAATATAAGTTAATGACCATATCAAAGGTAACATCATTTTCTCATGACCACACCGCAGATAACATTATCAATATCATGACCTTATCACATGTAATATTATCGTTCTCATACCTATATCACACGTTACACTATCGTTCCTTCTCATAACCATTTTCATAACCTTATCAAAGGTAACATACTAGTAATTGTTCTCATAACATTACCACATAAAACATTATAATTTGCATGACCTTATCACACTACACAATTATGGACTCTTTCGGTGGTGAATATGGTTTGTTATTCACCAGAAAAATATCAATATTGACCGAGGCGAAGCCGAGGTCAATATTGATATTTTTCTGGTGAATAACAAACCATATTCACCACCGAAAGAGTCCTTAATTGTTTTATTATATAGTCTGGATTTGAATAAATGACACTGAAGGCTGCATGACAATACCTTTCATTAACGAACCTCTGTCGTAGAAAAATAAAATAAAAAAACCCCTATAGATTACAACTTATAACTTCCGTGATTTCATTTCGCTGTGTGTAAGACATCGAAATGTTTGGAAAATAATCCTGCGATACACTTGCCTAACATTTTTCCTGCTCAGATACACAGCTGGCTCCGGCCGTTGTAACCATCTTGTTTTCAATGTTGGGGTATTGATTGTGACGTCACAATGCTGCTGCACGCGCACTGACCCACCGGTGAATACGACTTCAAATCCAGTGAATATGTAGTGTTATGAACCGTTTGCGTTTGTATAGATTATATAGGGGCTATTTATAGACTATATAATAAGTAACATTATTGGCTCATAACCTTATTACAGGAATCATTATTGTCTCGTGGCTATACAACAGGTTACATTTTTGTTTCATGACCACATCTAACAATTAAGTAACATTTATTTATTGTCTCATGACTTTATCACAGGTAACATTATTGTTTCATGCATGTACCATAGGTTACTTTATTGTCTTATGCCTATACCACAGGTAATATTATTGTCTCATGTATATACCACAGGTAACATTATTGTTTTATGCCTGTGCCACAGTTAACATTATTGTCTCATGACTTTATCACAGGTAAAATTATTGTCTCATGCCTATACCACATGTTACTTTATTGTCGAATCCCACTGTGGGACGTGGAGACCGGTCCTTCGGATGAGACCGTATAAACCGAGGTCCCGTGTCGCAGTAGGTGCTGGCACGAAAAAGACCCCTCACTGCTCAATGGCCGTAAGTGCCGAGTATAGGACAAAATTTGCAGCTCTCCACCGGCAAGTGGTGGGGTCTCCATATGAGTAAAAAGTTCTCGAGAGGGACGAAAAACAACATACAAACAAACGAACAAAACTTTATTGTCTAAAGACCATACACCAGGTAATATTATTGTTCTCATGACTACATGACACATAAAATTTTCATTCTCATACCTATACCACAAGTAGCATTATTGTCTCATGACCTTATCATTGGTAACATAATCGTTCTCATACCCATACCACATGTAACATCACTGTCTCATGATCATACCACAAGTAACATTATCGCTTTCATACCCATACCACCTGTAACATTACTGTCTTATGACCATATCACAGGTAGAAGTATCGCTCCCACGACCATATAACGGGTAATATCGTTCTCATGACTATACCGCAGATAAAATTATTGTGTCATTACCTTCCCATAGATATTTAGTGTCGTTCTTGACTGGTATTTAATAATTACTTGAAAGTAAAAAGAAAAATATATTAGAGATAAGGAGTAATTGATATTTTTTTTTTTAGATACAGGATTTCCATTTCCTGATATTATTAGCTTTTATACCCCTGATATTAGTATTATTTTTTTTATTACTCGAAAGTTTTATTTCTTATTTGAAACATCGATAGAGACTTATCTAATTGACTATCTTCTCTCTCGCCTGAAAAACTTACTTTTTCTCTGAAATGTCTAGGCAGTGGATATTATATTTTTGTGGAGACTTCCGGAGGCCGAGCTGGTTTAAAAGGTTCATTTCAATCCCCTGAGTTACCTGCTCGGCAAGAGGCCTGCTTGCACTTTTGGTACAATATGAATGGAGTGGATATGGGGAGTCTAGATGTACTCATTGAGGTATTTTGTGTGTGTTTAACATTTTCTCCTACATTGCGAAACAATAAAACGTCCTTTTTCATTATTGACATCTGTATGAGGGAGGTAGCTTGCAAGATTGATATGCGCCCTTTTAATTTGACTCACGTCCCCTCTCCAACCTAAATATCTTACCTCTCATGTTAATAGGATTGAGCTTCAGTGGTTATGTACGAGTATTTAATAACCCTATCAAATTAATTAAACTGCTCAATTCTCAACAAGAATATTAACTCTGAAGTTTTAAATATATTATAATTATTATTATTATCATCATTATATGTTGCTGTTATGAATTCATGCTATCTTACATGTATCTGTAGATAAGAATATACAGACTGAATTAAGAAAACAAAATTCTGGAAAAAATGTTTTGAATTAAAATTGATTTTAGCCGTCAAATGGTGGTAGTGCGAACATTTTGCATCAAACTGGGAATCATGGAGCCAAATGGATCGAAGCAAGAATGACTATTCCTGTACAAACCCACCCATACAAAATTGATTTTCAACCAACCAGAGGAGCTAGTTTTCATGGTGATGTGGCACTAGATGACATTTCTATTAAAGATGGGCCCTGTAGCTAATAAAAAGTACATAAGAAAAAACTATTCTAATGTGAATAAAATTATTTTTGCACCAGTTGGAACAAAAACGTATTGAATTCAATACATTTGTGAGAATTTAAAACACCAACAATAACATGAGACATGAAAGGGTACGTTACTTTTACACAAAAACTATTATTGATAATGAATTATGATCGAAATATTTTCTGCTGTATATGTACCAAAACAATGGAATTGTCATTCACACGTTTTCAAATACATGTACTAGTACTATTCCATCAAAGCAGGATAAATTTGTATGGTATGTTCCTCGAGACAAGACCTTACTTTGGGTACCAACATCGTATTTGATTTGCATTTGAGAAAGTTTAACCTTTGCTATAAGTTGCCATACGGGGGCAACAGTGTTTTACAAACACATCTTATTCCATTTTGTGTGATACATTTTATTGGGGAAGGGGGGTCGTTAAATTGTTCCCGATGATGGCAAATTGAGTTTAGTGTACCCAAGCGACAAAACAGAGGTTGTCTCGTGGTCAGGTAATTGTTATCGAAACATCCAATCTCAGGACATCAGGAAGCACAGGTAAATGGCCTGTCAATCAGACCAGTAGATAGTGTTTTTTTAATGATTGACAGGTGGTATATTATTGATCTTGGGTGTTTATTAAGAAATATTTACATTTCCAAGTATTTTTCCTTAAGATTCTTTGCAAATTAGATGATTGTTCATTTTCTCATGAACTACCATGAGATGAGCAAGAATATCTCCATTGTGACGTCATAATACCGTACTTGACGTCAAAACTATAGTGCAAACTGTTTTGCTTAGAAAATGACAGTTGAATGGCGTAACTTGTGGAAACTCATCAGAAAAATAATGTAAATATAAGAAATGAATTTAATTTTTGAAGATTCATGAGGTACATGAACTACAACGCTTCACGCCGGCATATTTATCATGAAGCGCTAACGCGCTTCATGAAATATGCCGGCGTGAAGCGTCGTAGTTCATGTCCTCATGAATCTTCAAAATTTAAATTCATTTCTTAAATAAGGTATCATTTTTAGAGTTTCATTGGAGTATGACATGAAGTCGGTCACGTGATCAAATCTTATAACGCCCGAAGGGCGTTATAGTAGATTTATCACGTACCGACTTCATGTCATAATCCAATAAAACTCTAAAAAAAATGATATTTTATTTCTTATATTTATATTTTACTTTTTTATTCGTGAAATACAGGCATTATTTAGACTTTGCTATGGAAATGCAACATAACGTACCCACGACGTCATGTGACGTCACAATCGGAAGTTTCCAAATGGCTCGTGCAGTTTGCTTTCCATACGCAAAAAAGTCTTATCATGTGACCAACTGCATGTCATTGAAAATTGAATTTCAGTTTAATTAGTCAGGCCCGTAGGAAGCAGTTTCAGTTTGGGGGGGGGGGGGGGGCACAACTATACATTTTCAGTTGAGGGGGCACTATCAACTACCAAAAAATTCCTTGACAAGCAAAAAAAAAAAAGTCATCAGACGTTTTTATTGAGGGGGCACAAGCATATAATAGCTACGTTTTCTATAGTCAACTATATATCGGTAAAATTATTGGGGGGCACGCCCCCCCCCCGTGCCCCCTGGTTCCTACGGCCATGTTAGTATTGTTATATAAGGAAAGGCATTGGCAAATATAAATTTTTAGAGTAGTTCCATTCTATAAAATAAAAAATAAACCCCACCTGGATCAAACTTGCATTGATGCTTTATATGGAGAAGAAAGCTACAAGACTTGCTTTGGATTTTGGATCCGACCTACATTTTTCTGGAAGCATGATCAGGTCAATTTTTTTTTTTTTGGGGGGGGGGGGGGGGAGAGAGATTCATTCCAAGGTTAATAAAAGTAATAATATTGACCAAAGTTGCATGGATGCTGCATCTTTCAAACTTTCTTCCGATGATGCTGAATCTTGTTAACATTTTCCAGATGACTGAACAGAAATATTTTTGGAGCAGTCTATCCCCAGGTAACTAGAAATCCTACCCAGACCAAATTTGCATAAAACTTGCTTCCAGAAATGCACACTACAACATTTGTTTGATATGGGACTTTCTCTTAATTAATGATAACAGTTTTGTAGAGGTAATCTCTGTCATCTTTGATTATCTATATTTATTTTCTGTGTTGACATTATCATGAAAGGATTTTTTTTTAATCAAGAAACTGAACACTTGATACTTTATTCAAATATTTGCAAATGAATCTGAAGCCAGTTATCAGCCGATGATACCTGGGATTGTCTCCCGTAAGCTGAAATAATTGGAAATAAAAATACATTGATAACGCTAACAGTGTTGAATGTATACTTTCACACATTAAAGGTACACGTCTAGAGGGTTCACGTGTCTCAAAAAGTTATGACTGAAAATCACTGTCTATCAATTTTGAATGAAGTGTAAGAAATAAACTGATTTTAAGACAGATCTAGAAGATCCATAAATGCACGTACTTTTTTCCCAATAATGTGACGTAAGTGTACCATTTGGCAACCATTGATGATTCGAGGTTAGAAAAGACGAGATTAATTTCTCTAAGTATCATCTGTTTTGATTATTTATTACTAATATAATTTTATAAAAGTGTTACAATTTTAACTGACCTCTTTTGACACACGAAATGTTCCATCCGCGAACATTGCACGTCCGCCCAGTGCCCTCTGTTGGTTGGTTTCTCTGCGATGAGTACACAGTTTTCATTGGTTGCGGGGTCGGGCTCTCCCAGTCCCCAGTCTGGGGTTTCTATAGGTTCGCCAGAGCTCAAATACACCCACGAATGTCGAACGGGCACCTCTTTAACTCCAATGTAGAAATACCCACTGCCTGAATTTGGTAAAATAATAAATTTAAGGAAAAAGAAATTTTATTGAATTGGTTCATACATATTTCTTCATAAATACGATTAATAAATAAACAAATAAATTTCTCGTACACATGAGAAATGAAAGCCATAATCTCTCACATTCAATGAGGCGTCCCAACTTAAACAAAACAATATTCAATGTTCACATGAAGTTTAAAATTTTCCTCTTTCATTCCTTACAAATTAAACGTACCTATTCAGGTATCTTTTGACATTTGTTTATTGATATTATTATAGCTACAAATGAAGGAGTTACAACATTTTGTCAGTAGTTTGTAATTATAAATTTCTCACCAATTCTGTTAATTTGTGTACCAAGAAAACTATTATCTTCTACAGATACAGGTTCTGCAAGTGCACTATTCAAGGAAAGACAGATGGCCTGAAAATAAGTATTTACCGAAGTGGTCGATTTATTTTAAAATTCACTTCAAAATGCATATGTGTATTTTCATATTTTTGTGGTTTACAACATCACTTAAGTTTAATTATAGGTACGATTTTATACCTGGGCCGTGCTGTAATTAGCAACAGTCTTACTGAAGAAGTAACATCTGTCATGAAAGTCAATCCATCCCAGCGGACACGGGCCTTAATAAGAGAAAGCCGAATTCAGAATTTATAGGTAAAATTAATCTTTCCCTTTGAGATTTCTCCTTCCGAGTTATAAATAGCAGCATAATTTAATTTATAACGTAAACTACATTTGCAATCTAATTATCGAACACAATTAGAATATGAATGTTTCTAGAATAAAATGAAGATAATATTAGAAATATAATACCTCTTTTATTACCTTCAATGTCATTTGTCATGAATGACTTTTTGTATAATATAATATGGTTTTATTCTAAATGCCTTTACTGTTGTACAAATCATTTTTTTAAATCTGAAAGACATCGGTTTATCAATAAAATTCAGAACTCATTACTCTAATCTCTTACTGGTGATTTTACATTCTCATTTCAGCCAAAGCATATACTGTATTGGAAATAAAAATAAGCAATACATGTATTTCAACCATGCCTTTTAAGAATTGTCGTATGCATAATAAAAACACTTAACCTTTCTCACAGATGAAATGTTCGTGTCTATTACAGTCCACGTCAGCCCAATGACCTCTGTTTGTGGACTTCTCTGCTATAACGACACAGTTTTCGTTGGTTGTGTAAGTTGGCTCAGAGGGCCCCCAGTCAGACACAAGAACTCTAGATTGACTATATTTTGCAAAAAGAAATTATTCAGTGTTAGTTTGTAAGAACTATTTCGTGGAATCTGAAAGAACCTTTCCCTTTCAGTTTGCAGGCAGATAAGTACGAATATATTAAACTGTCTTAATATTTCAAATGAAATTTTTAAAGTACAAAATTACAGTAAAACAAAAACTATTTTGAATTTATTGAATTTTGTCTGCAAATAATGAATTGTAGTGGATGTAATGTACAAACAATAAACGAATTAAGATAAATAAATTCAAAACTATGACTTACTCGTACGTGTACACCCAATTGTTTTCTTGAACTCGGTCATCCACTCCGATGTAAAAGTATCCATTATCTTTTTAATTTAAAAAGAAAAAAAGGTATATCAAGGATGTAGAAAATATTCATATTTTTTCCAAGAAATTAAACAATTACAAATAATACTCTTCGATTAATTTAAAATTAACAATTCAATAGAAATTTGACATCACTTCAAAACTTGATACAGGAACAAGTGCCCTTACAAAAAAATACTATAGTTAACTATAGTTTAAGATAGTTAACTGTAATGATAACTTTGACGCTATGAAAACTATAGTTAACTATAGTGATAACTTTGACACTTTGATTTACTTTAGTGATAACTATGAAAACTTTGATTTACTATAGTGATCACTTTGAAAACTTTGATTTACTATAGTGATAACTATGACACTATTGTGATAACTATGAAAACTTTGATTTACTATACTGATAATATGACACTACTGTGATGACTATGAAAACTTCTATTTACTATAATGATTACTAAGAAAACTGAGATTTATTATAGTTATCAATCAAATATACTTTTTAACGTTGTATATAAGATGATAACTCTATACATCTTGTTTGATGTACTTAATGCTATAAATATAATGTGATTTACTAATATAAAAAAGACCAAGTAAAATGAAAGACAAACAATATTCATTTTAGAAATGTTAAGCCAGAAGCAGTCATTGAAAAACATGACTGTTTCAAAAAGAATCACTAAAGTAAAATTTAAAATAATTGTACTGCATGCAACGTGCATGGAATTATTTAAAATACAAGACATCAACAAATAACTGGCAAAATGAGAAAATCTGTAAGACTGGATATTATCTATGTTGTGCAATTAATGTGAAATTAATTGAGACTTCTATCACAGAACATTATATACATTTGTGATAAATCTTTAACTTTGATTTACCTTAATGATCACTTTGACAATTTCTTTTACTATAGTGATAACTTTGAAAACTTTGATTTACTACAATGATAACTTTGATTTACTATAGTGATAACTATGACACTATAGTAATAACTTTGAAATCTTTGATTTCTATAGTGATCACTATGACACTATAATGAGAACTTTGAATACTTTGATTTACTACGGTAATAACTTTGAAACTTTACTATATTTATCTACAGTTAATTATAGTATTGTTGTTAGAGTACTAGTAATCAATATAACTCAAACTTTTGAAAAAATGATATTACAATGGGCTTTAAAAAAATCAAAGTTAATCTTTCTTACTTATTCTGTTCACTTGGTTTCCCAGAAACGCCGTTTCCTGTGACGTCTGTGGTTCGGCCAGTTTTGCTCCGTAACTTAAACAGGCGCTCTGATTAACGAAAGCAAATCCTGAGAAAATCATTAATTATTGTAACCAACAAATCAGAAAAAATTATGTTAAGGGGGTAGAGATGAATACAAATACGATGGTTTTTCAATAGATACAGAAATGTTGGCTCAAAAAACTCTCTTGAAAATTTACTTTTCCCCATTTTTAAAAGAAATACTGACCGTGGCTAACTCAGAGTTTAAGGTTACGTTACTAAAATAGTAACATTTCTTTCCGTTGCTTATCCAAGTTACTGGGCATAGTGCTGAGAAGAAAAAAGAATCAGATTACGTCTTCATTTCAGTGATAACTAAATATTTATAACAAAAACAAAAAAAGTCATAAAAGGAATGAATTTATTGTTTCAGGGAGGTTTTATTTATCTTTTGCTTGTTTATCTATCTATCAGTGGGATAACACTAAAACCTTGGGTAGAAACCTAAATTGCCTAGCCTTTGAGCAGGTTTAGGTTGTCTTTCTTTGGATGCATTTTCTTGGCATTCTGAGAATCTTTAGTTTCTTAATCAAAAGAAGCGCTTGAAGATGTATATACAGTATAAATTTCCGAAATCCCTGCTCTGTGCATCTAGACTCTTGAAACTCTTAAATTTATAGTAACTCACCAATAACACATATCGTCCAGGCTGTCTGGAGAATTAGAAATACCGTAAGCCAACGATACATATTACATGTAACGGAACAGATAAATTCTTATCACACATTTCAAAGTTATGAAGGGTAAATGACAGCTTATCTAAATATTTGTAATAATTGACAAGAAATGTTCAGGTTTCGGTCAAAACAGTGATAAGAAGTTTCTGAGATTCATGAAACAAGATATTTTTATTGCGATGATACCTTGGACTTTGGCATCCTGTAGATGTGAAATAAGGTTGCGGATTGGAATATAATTGGTGGCGTCCTGTAGATGTGAAATAAGGTTGCGGAGTTTAACAATTTAATCCTGTTGCCATTTGGTGGTTGAAAAAAAAACCTTTTTTTTTCTATGTTCCAAAACCCCTATTACAAATTAACCAGGCACGAAGGAGAAAAAACATGGACCTCTGAAAACATCAGAGGTTGGATCAGGTGCCCTGTAGGAGTAAGTATCCCAGTCGACCTGTCAGACCCGCCGTGTACTCCTTGTCATAATCGGGTTGATGGAGAAATCCGTAGAAATTCAGAATGAAAACTAGAGGTACTGTGAGCATTGAGCTCACTAAATGATACCCCCGCCTCCCATATGATTATAATGGCAAAGTCCAAGTTTTGCCCTGGGAGACCCGAGATAAGTGTCAGATCGAAGATTCTGTGAAAGTCTCATTAAATTTCATTCAGTGGTATGAGAGGAGTTGCGGATAATAGATAGGTACTCCAAAGCGTAACAGACAGACGGACGGACGTACAGCTGGACGGACGGACGGACACCCCGATCACTATACACCCTCCCACTTTTCAAGCGGGGGGTATAAAAATTGCCTACGGATGTATGAAATACATCAGTTAATATTCGACCTTACAACAGATTGTATTTGCAAACAAGGTCATTGTATATCGACCATAGAATTTGCGAAATGTTGACTTTATACCTTTGTATCATTAATTTCTTTTTCAGTAATTAGAAATTATTTGCAAGTAAAACATGCTCTTGCGTATCAAATCAACTGGGAGACATACAAATCCCATATGGGGTGATAATGGTATACTGCTGCATAAATAAGGGAAGGTGATGATAGAAAGTTATATTCATCACGTTTGTCATATAGTTGCCATGTAGTTGTTTTGACATCAATGTCTCTCTAGTAAAGCCTTCAAGTATGAAATAGATGTGTCAGACTCTGGTTTCTTTTATTTCGAGTTCAATGGAATGAATGAGTGAACGTCATCGATATACCTAAATACATATATCAAATTAAAGGTCGTTGGAAGAGACTTCTTCTTCACATGTAGAAGTATTTTGAAAATGCAAAAAATTCTGCTGATAACGGGGCAAAATAAATACCCATGGGAATTCCAAAAGATTGTTTGAAGACCTCTAGCTTCAATTACACTCTGTCTTAAACATCAATGAGATTTGTCAACATTATAAAGAACATGTGCAACCGCTTATATATATATTTATATATATATATATATATATATATATATATATATATATATATATATATAACTGAACTTTACTATATGCTATGGGATAAATATTAGGATTTTCCCGAATAGAATTCTCTCTCGAAATTAAATTACTATCGTTAAACAATAAAACATATTATAGAAAAGAAGAAAACACACTAAAATTGAATGAATAGAAAATATCACAGCACGTTTATTTCAGAAATAAATATGAACATTTGAGCAAATACAGGGTATAATATAAGATTGATGAGCATTGAATTAAATGCGCAAATGTTCTAGAAAGAACCTATCTACAATTTATTTACAAGTAAAAACAAAATTCAAAGCAGAAACAGGCGTTTGAATCAAATCATACACGTGCTAAAGGTCTGTATATTTCACAAAGGTAACAATTGTGGCTTTGGGTGATGTATGGTGCAAGGTTGTTGCAATTATACACGTCTTTAAGTAGACTTTGGACCTTGTTTGATAGACCAAATTTAATACTTCTAAAACAAAATGCGAGACAAATTTAATGTGTACTTTATAATATGATTATACAATTCAACTGAAGATGACTACATTTAGTTGCATGTATGAAAATATAATAAATAAATAGAATGTTATTTATACACCAAGGCAGAGGCAATAACATAACCAGAGAAATTAAGGCGGTTTACTAAAATAACTTGCAAGCTACTCGACAGACATATTCAGTAATTTGTTATGTACAAGAGTTACAACGATTTCTTGATGATGTAAAGATAAAACTTACAATATAGTTACCTGTCTACTCAAGAAAAATCAACACAACAAAAGAGTAATACTGTTCATTTTTCATTGCAAACTCCTCCAGCATTTAACATAAGTTTGAAACACATTAACAACTTCAATTTAAAATTGGAAAAACGTAACAAAGTATGCAACACAAGAAAGGCATACCGGAAAGAATAGCATGTTAGAAAAATATCAAGATGTTTTTGCATCTCATAATCCATAATCTAATAAATCTTGAAATGCCTTTCTGAACCATATCATGTTAAAGAGAAACTATAGTTATAGTTCTTTAGCCAAGTTAGATTCTATCTACTTTCAAAATGTATTCATGTTATCTTGTTGAGTGTTCACTTGTGTTAATGGTTCACGTTTTCCTTCAGCAGATTTTGTAAACCTAAGAGTGTTTTCCGTTTTCTTTTGACCCTCTGCGCCTGCGTTAGATGGTTTTACGCCATTTCCGGTTCTACCAGCTTGGGTAGAGGGTCGACTTGGCTGTTTTCTAAATGCGTCGGTGACGGGCGGCTTGACTTGGTATCCTTAAGAACAAATAGAATTTTATTTATTTTATAACCATTCATTGATGAACTGAATAAGATTGACAAAAATATTGATGAATACAATGTAAGCAGGAAAAGTATTTGAAATTTTAGTACATGTTTATTTTTAAATATACTGGAATATTATTGGACTTATACAAAATGAAACGGTGCAACTGTCTCATTAAAATGCATAAATAACATAATGTATATATGAATGAACATTGTAAGAGAAAAGTGACATTGATAAAAGTGCTTTGAAAGATAAATATCAAAACATCTTTGTGAATTTTTACATGTAGATACCAAAATGTATATATTTCATTGAATGATTAAAAATTCAAAATCAAAAATTTTGCAATACACATACAATGAAAACTAAATTTGAACATATACAGAGGAAAATAATCCCCCTTTTCATTATTGGGGCACTACTAAAAGATGGTTACCGAAGGCCTGTTCAACCGAGCAAACGTTCGTGAGCGCTCGAGAACATTCTGTTGGAGGGAATTTTGGCAAGCGCTTGCGAACGTTTGCTCTGTTGAACAAGCCTCGAGTGTATACGTATACTGTATATATATCGCAGCGCTCAGTGAATTTATGAAAGTCTACATGCGCAAATAACCACAGCATACATAGTGCAATGTGTCAAATAGGCAGTGTTTTTATTTCCAATTTAATTTATGCTTTTGCAATTTTTTCAATATGCATGCCAGTAATCGGAGAATATTTCATTGACTTTTACTTTTTATTTCTCTATCATCATTTTGATAAAAAAAAAAAAAAAACAGGCCTTGTGAAGTTATTGTGACACAACAGTTGTGGACGACATCCACATTTTTCAGAGTGGTGTGACATTTACTCTAAATACCTCAGCATTAAAGCCATGGGGTTCGGGGTAGAGATCTGGAAGGCGCATAGATTACAATGTAAGAAGCTTCATTAATGCAAACTGATACATCCTTCATGATATATGACAATACTGAGGGAGGTGTTTTGAAGATATAAATACAATGTAATTCTTCCCACTAAGTTCTTTGAAACGGGAAAAAAAGATGCGACACAAAACCAGAAAAAAGTACTAGCAGTTTTAAAAACAGCTTTAAAATCTAGAACAGGCATTTCTTTTATTGAAATTTATAATATAATAACAGAGAAAAGCAGCACCTATGCCAGGATGTACATGCAATTTTTATTGCATAATGCTGTCTCACTAGAGTAATGAAACTTATTGATGATGTTAGATTTCTGGACAGTTTAAAAGATATATATTTTGTCTGACTATAACTAGATATAGAATTTTGGATGAAGCAAAAGTACTTATGGCTAAAGACTTACCGTCATCAGCTTGTTTAGGTGGTGGAGAGGGAATCTTCTGTTCTGTCTTTTTCATTTCCTCCGCATTTGGTTCCCCGGGAACGCCTGGTTCATTCAACACTAGCCTATAACAAATCATTTATCTTCTTTACTCAACTGTTACTGGACTAAGATACATATACAATGTACGTCATAAACATAAAAGAGTCTTATGACTTGGTTATATGTACAAAAATGTTGGGAAAACACATATTTTTACTGCATATACGGGAAGACAGTTTGACTTGAACAATGTAGAAATTAAATCAGAAGTGAAAGTGTACTAAACATATATATATATATGTTTATGTGTAATTTAGCAGTACCAGAGTGAACGAAAGACATCGAATGTGACCAAATATCATATGTCTATTGTAAAGGGATATAAAAAGAGAATAATTCTACGAAGTGAAATACGGTACTCTTGTAATTGAATGTGAAAAAGTGTAAATTGTGCAAAACAAGAAACGATACTTTGAAATTTTGGTAGGTGATATTTGGTACAAATATTCCGTTCCGTAAAATGGATTTACATCTTAGTTCTTCAAAACTTAACATCAAATGGCTTATAAGACGTACTTCATAAAACATATTAAACATCCATATGAAACACATACTTCATGACAATTGTTCTACAAAAGCATCGAACAGAGAAGATATAGTTAAAGACTGACAGAAAGCATAAGATCTTTTTTAACATTATATGTTCATAAAGACAGTGTTAATATCAATGATCAATTTGCTCAAGACTTGACATAATATAAAAGACAAGATTCCAAACAATATGTTGAGAAAAATTTAGCCCTAAACACACGGGAAAAACAATATCTACATGTACTCTAAGAGGTCTGAATTCAAGCCACTGCAAGTCAAAAAATCACGTGACAAAACACACTGAAATCTACCGTGAATACCGACCCTTGTATTGTACTGAACATTCTCATGTCCGCGTTCTCTGGATCAAGAGAAGCGACGGGGTCTTTGAGAGTAAGTCTGTAAAAGTTAGAGTCTTACTCTACAGCGTGTTTCTGACACCACAACCGTCAAAGAACTGATTCACTAAGAACTCTTAGATAGTTTTGAAAGCTTTATGTAAAATTATTTAGCATTTAAAGAAACTTTTGATATGCAATCCATTACTGTTAGAGTGTTCTATATGGTAAGGATTTTTTTTAATGAATTTTAACTGCATTTTCAGTGACCAGTAAACTTCTAAAATAATAGTATTTATAAATATTCTCAGGTTTTACGTACCTTTTCATCTGTTCAGAAAATTGAATGTTTTTACTATTCCAATCCATTTAAACACTTCCAAAGAATTAACTATTACTACATCATCCACTAGTTTCTATAACATTTCCATGCCACTACCAAAGAAAAATATAAACCAAATTGAAATGTACCTGTCTGATTTCTCCCCTCCTCCAACTATCTGGCCTGTCTCATTGATGGGAGGAAGCTTCGTTCTGTTGGAGTCATCTACGTACTCGACAGGAACCTCTCTCTGATAATATTCGCTCTGGGATCCCATGGCTGACCTTATCAGATCCATCACTACTCCCTTCTCTGTAATAGAAAGCCATCACTTGATCATACATTTATATACTTACTTAAGTATCTATTCTTCCTAAGAATGAAATGGGTTGATTACCTTTTACAATATATGCACGTTTAAAGTTAAACCTCTTATCAAAATTTGTGTTTTCGACTACATGTATAACCAAAATCAAGTTAATTATATAAAATTTGAGAATTTCAAGCATCGAGATAGTTTAAAATCACTGAATAGGCTACCCACCTCTTTCACCAGCTGAAACGAGCCAGGCTTGGACAGCATTAATGTCCTCTGTTTGTAAAATCTGACACAACATCTGCAATACCTAACAAAAACAAAGTTCGTATGCAATGAAAGAACTCCTTATACATTTTTGGTCAGTTTATAATTAATAGAAAGGCGACTAAATTAATATAGACTGTTCTTATTCCTAAATACCATTGCTTCTACATCTGGTTCGGGGGCTATATGTTGCAGATTTCCGTAGTATTTGTCTCTGCCATTTCTAGATCCAGTCTTACCACGTGACATGGCACGTGATGGAGGAGGGATGATTCTTCCTGTTGTCTCTGAATACTGTGTTTTTGGTCTGTCCAGAAGACCAGGGGGTTGAGGTTTCTTGGGTGCCAGTTCTTCGGGGGTAAGTCCGATGGCTTTAGTTAACTGATGGAGTTCATCCCGCCATTGCTCTGTTACGGGAACTAAATACAAAAACAAATACGTACTTTAAAGGATTTTTTTCAGACGTGAAAGAAAACAAAATAAAAAATTATCCGTAGTTGAAGATTATTACGATAAATTGATCTTTAAATTTCAATATATTTTGCCTTTCTTATATTCAAAGAAAAAAAGAAAATAAAGCCATTGAAATCATGGTTCAAATAATTATAGGAGTTGCATTCTTTCGGCATAAATCAATCATATTCAAGTAAACTTCATATAAATATATTTATAATTCTCCAAGTCAGAATTCTCTCGATCCAACAAAGAATAAATCATGTTAAACTGTAATTCCCAGCACACAACATGCATTTACCCAGAGGAAATTCCTGTTTTCAGTCTAGATCAGTAAATTTTGCATCCTCTTACCATGTTAGAACTTTCTCAAGTTTTAACAGATTTGGAATTGGATCCAGTCTAAGAGTTTAAGCCCATTTTGTTCAGCAAAATTCATGAATGATCCGGAGTCATACTTAAAATTGATATGACTTTTGCTGACAAAGAGGTCTTAGTTTCTCTCAGTTGAAGAATTTCATTCTAAGTATATTTCGTCCTGGAAAAGCTATACGAGCAGACTACACTAGAGATAACAATATTCAGTCAATCTATTAATAAATAGAGCACTTTTATGCTGCCCTAAATTCATGTAAGTCTTATAAAGTAAAATTATTGATTACAATTAAAATCACAACAACAAATTTCTCGCTAGCTCATTTATTGATCAACAGTAATTATAACAACTTTAAGAATAAATAATCTAAAAGAAAATTGAAAAGATTGATTAAAAAATTGTCAATATCGTTATGCATGAAAGCGCTGCATGTCACGTGAATTGTGAAATGGGGTCATCAAGCTGATTAATAACTAAAGTGAAAAAGAAAAGAAAAAAAATCAGTCAACAATCACCACCAAGGACCACTCGAACACACGCCAGCGACCTTGAGTGCTCTCTAAAAGCAGTAGTGTCACAAATACCGACCTCAAAAGCCCAAATTTTATCACAAATGCATATCGTGATGCCATGAGGATTTCAGATCCTCGGCCAAGCTCTCGCCCTCATAAAAATCTTCGCGCGGAAGCTCCGTCCGAAGACGAAGCTCTGTGCGCGGGCGCAGAGGTGCAAGAGAGCGGTGACCCAAGGACGCTTTGGCACTGTTTTGGTAAAGCCCAGACACAGAATAACCTGTTAGATAAAAGCAAACATTGCCAAAATTAATAGTGACAGTTGAGATCGGATTCTAGGGGGAAGGGGAGGTAGAATTCCAGGAAACAAAGAAAAGTAAGCGTGGTTATGACGTCAACGCTGACAAAAAGGTCTCTGATAAAGAACACTTTCCATCATGTGTTTTTTTTCTAAACAAATACATTAGAGCAGTAGGTAAAGTGTTTGGAAGAGAAGGAACTAAGTGTTAGTAGTAAACGAAGTATATTGAGATTTCTAGTTTTAGTAGGGAGATTATTCCGAAATGTAAATACTGACGCATTTGGCTTATTTAACGTGAGATTAAGCATATCGCGAGTGTTTGCGAATGGTAGTTTGTTCATAGGGACCGAACACTTATTTTCACTCCGTTCTGTATGCTTTTCGGTTTAAATTCCAGATGTTCATAATTTAAACGCAATGTATTTAAACTACATAGTCATTTTAATAGTGGCTACTCGTAACAAACACATACAGAGTAAATTTAATATTTTGTTCATCAGATATGCTGATAATTTGTTGTAGTCTTTTTACCAAAAATGATTAAATTATCAAGATTACAGTCATTGTAACCTCAAAATCAGAATGACATTTTTTTAACGGAGAAGGGTGTCAATAAAAATGGAGAGACTTTGGAAAATTAAGTATTACTTAATGACCTAATCTTGCTATTGGGTCCGACAAAGTAACAAGAACAGAGTAAGAAAAGGTTATTCATGGAAGAAATAAACAAGTGTACAGCAGTTTCGATTTAATGGCTCATTGTAAAAACAGTTCAGAAATCTTAAGAGTACTATGTCTAGTCTTTCAGTTCCGTGCAAGCAAAGCCAAACAACAACAGTTTTGTTCAGATTCCAGTCTTATAACCGGACTTATTTACTTACCCATTCCTACTCTAGGGACCGCCTTCTCTCGGAATGGATAACTGTTGAGGCCAGTGAAGTACTGTAGACCAGTGACGGTGTTGATGGGGTGTAGCCGGGAATTGACATTAATGGCGTTTACTGGAACTTGCCCTTTCCAGTTGCTCATCTGTTTGTTGTTGAAGGCGTTTGGTGGGAACTGGAGAGAGTATTTTGGGCTGGCGAAATATCCATCATCATTGACAGCACAGATTGGAACATCTAAGAGACCTGTGATAGAACAAAACAATATTGTTCTGAGAGTCAAGATTTGTGAACAATATGTCGACTTCAGGGAGTAACTGCTCCCCACAAGGTATCATAAAGGCCTGGTAGTGAAACTACTATATAAGGGATGTTATTTAAGACAACATATGCCTTACTGAAGATCTTTTACCCCCCCCCCCCCCAAAAAAAAAATCAAAAATGAAATATTACATTATAATATTCAAACAGAAAAACCAAATCAATTCATAACCTGTTTTAAACACCTTGCTTCAGTTTTTCAAGTTGTTGAATAAGATGTACATTAAATGGTACTCGGTTACATTGTAAATAGCATGCTCAATTAAAATTTGAAATTTAATGCTGGTTATGTAGGGTTATAATTACAGAAATCAGTATTTCAATATAACTTTTTTTTTCCGAACCTATCTCAATCCATCTTGAGTAAAGATGATAATCAGGTGACACATCTGTACATCAATATACATATCTCTCTAAAGTTTACAATGTAATGCTCAAACAATGGAAGGTAATTATGGTAATATAAAACTGTTTGATATTTATCTAGATAAAATATCATATCATTGACAATTTGAACAACCCCTGTATTATAAGTCAGAAGGACATATTTGAGGGAAGAATTAATTTTGATTTAAATGTCTTTCATCTGTGAAATAGGGCGCTCCGTGAGACGTTTTGGTAATTCTTTTCATTTCTGTATAATCCACGACCAGATTAAAATTTAATTGAATATCCTTCGTTGGTGAAATTCTCGATCGCCTTATTTCGATATAGGCCTTTCTGTATGTTTTGACAACGGTGTAAAGTTGAGAACATTTTGTGCATCATAATATTTCTAAATTCTATATGAATACAAAACACACACGTGTACACGTTAAGTCAATTTATCAAAACCCTTCAATATGCCTACATACAATTTGGTACAAAAAGGGCCATGACCAGAGCAAAATTTTTAATAACAGGTGCGTTTTCAAACATCTGAGATTTTTTCATAGTCTGAATTTTTCTTTCGTCATTATTATTGATAAACATGTAGAAGTTGACACTTTGCATGATTCTTAATTAGTTCCCATGGTTATTTGGAATAACATAAAATGTAATTGTAACGCATTATAAAGCTTCCAGTTGTTATCGCCGATTAAACACGTTGTGCAAATGTCGAACTTTAAATGTACGGGGCGACACATAAACTTGTGAAAAAGTTTAATTAGAGATCAACCATCTGTGTTTACAATAACATTTAATCAAGCGCATTCTGGGGTCATGTTCTTTCTCGCCAGATTTTAATTAGTGGTTCCTTTAATTTGAATGCTTTGTAAGTACTAAGATGATGAAGGCTGAAGTCTAGAAAAAGTGACACTTTCATTTGTTTGTTTGTCCCTCTAATGATTAAAGAGAATTACTCTTAAGTTCTTAATCTGCAATGAGTAGTTATTTGTATGCATGTCAATGTCATCTGATGCATGTACATGAATATATTCTTGATTTTCTATTACCTTTGATATGACGCACGCGATGGGGGTGTGGGTTGTGTCGCGTGAAAAATGAGTTCTGGCTAAGCTGTCCAAATCTATACCCTCCTGTAGATCCTTGTGTGGAGGGCCTTTTTCGGAAGGTATCTAGAGAGGCCATGTATCCTTCGTCAACAGGTCCAGGACGAGCAAACAGATCACTATTGGTCGGTCGGAACACTTCTGATTGACTCATGCTGCAGAATGTAAAAAGACCAATTTGTGAATTTTCAATATACAAACTAAAGAAAATGTTCATGTATCTACTCTTATGTTAGTTTGTAGTCTGTTATCATTAATCGAATTGCAACATTTCATGAGTGTTTAAGAAACTTGTACAACTGCAACAATAAGACAAGTGTTTATACCTGTGTATTTTTTATATTATCTGTAATATTCTTGTCAAACCATATATTCTGTCTTTCGATTGTAAGCTATTTGTGTTAAATTCAAGTGCAAACATAACCTTCAATTTGATCCTTTGATACATCAACAATGTCGTTTTTCACAAATATTTGTCATTTTACGCCAGGAGTATTAAATTAAAGATCAATTCAATGTAAACAACCAAATACATAAACGAGTTTGGTGTTTAACAAAGTTCTATTCTACCCATGCATATATATCTAAAGTGGATTTATAAGCCATAAATAGCTAGTAAAGGATTTGTTAATTCTTACTAAAAATGAAAAAGACTAAGCTTTGATCTTTTGATCAATTCACCTTTCAGAAATGAAAATATATCTAAATGCTTTGAAGTTTCGCCTACAGATTGGTAAAAGAGAAAATGAAAATATATCTAAATGTGTTGATGTCATACTTGTAACGAAACATTGATAAAAACAAAACTACAACCCAAATTTATTAAAGGTTCATGTAATACTGTAGTATGTTATAAGATACATATATCAATGGTATAACAGTAAAAAAAATACATCGTATAATGGCTTTCAGAACATAATCTTTTTTTTTTAAAATGTCAACATCATGTAGAGAAAGTAAAGCATACAAAAAATCTGAAAAAAACTAAAATGAATAAATAAAATCTCAGTTTAGAGTAAATGTTTGACTACAACAGAATCAGGAAGTTAGAATTCTAAATATTCTAGATATATAAGTTTACGGTTAGAATTCTAAATATTCTAGATATATAAGTTTACGTTTAAATTAAAGATTGATTAGGTACAGAGAAAGGGATTACACGTACTAGGCTTATTTGTTAAGCTTATATTACTGAAAAACTACGTTACACTCACTCAAACATGTGTCCTTGTTGGTGTAGTAAAGCCATGATCGAATACTCCTGTGCAGAAATAAATTTTACTGTATATCACTAGGGTACTATGGATTTATAAACTTGCTGAACCTTTCATTGATAAGTTTTTTTCTGTAGAATTAAATACCTTAGTGCGACAAATGCACTTGTGTGCGGTTCCTAATTGCACACAGTTCGACACTTAAGCATGATGCATATTTTTCATACATCAATAGGCAAGCTGAAGTGTCATTGTAAAATTGTCAGCAGTTTATAAGCTTTCAACTTTCGTTTGTCATTTTTTTTAATGGGTCTATTGCGTATTTTAATATCAAACTGATATTCAAGTTATGTTATTAATCAAAGTAATGTTTCGTGCTGTTTTAATCCATTTCAGGATTCTTACAGTGTTCTAATTAACAAAATATCATAATTTATAGTTATTGCTGCTTTGGTTTAAAACTGTTCAAAAGCATTAAGTACATATTCTATACATCTGTAGACTTCAGTTTAAAGTTTCCAACACGTACGGCTAACACTTTATTGAAAAAAAAATTGTCAGTTCATTTTTTTTTACACCCAGTGCCAACAATATCAACTAAAGCCTACGTATTAAAGGTATTTTAGGCTTTGTGCTTTCGAAAGAGATCGTCATGATAAATGCATAACTAAACCCATTTTCGTTCGGCCCTACGCTCTTTCGTCGCTTGATAATTTCTCGATTCAGTTAGACTTGAGCCCATTTACAATTTCCAATATTTGTTTTCCTCTGAATTCAAATACACACATCCGTTAATCAATTCGCTATTTGTATAAAATTCCTTTTTAACAATAAAGTTTTTAAATAGAAGCGTGCCTAGCGACGTATTGTGTCCCTCATAGCAATGAGAAAGTAGCCGCTTATATCACTAATCACCATAAAGTGCCTGCTCAAATAGAAATTTTGCAGTGAATGACACAATCGTAAATAATAGATACACGAGCCTAATGTTGTGATGACATTTCGAATAGTACAAAGGCCTACATATTTAGATTAACTTCTCGAAAAAATGAATTCAACAAAATCCTATAGGTCTCCTGGGTTTCTTAAGGACCCTCAACTGATGAAAAATGTCTTTTCGGCCTTTGAGAAAATTGTATTGAATGAAGATGAAAGTAAAGTTGATTTTTTTTTCATTTTCAACGTAGGGAACCTGTAATCACCCCCTCCCCCCCTCAAGAAAATGTTCAAAGACAACAAAGTATTGATAAACAAAATTCTCTGTTGCTCATAAACTAGCTAATGGAGAAGACAAAATTGTGCAAATAAAGTATTCAATTACTTCATCTTGGTCTAATATAATGTTTGAAATACTTGAAATGATTATAAACTGTGTGTTTAATCGTAGATTTCACATTTATGCAATTTTTAAATCAAAGGGAAGATCACTCTAACTGCATAAAAGTACCATGGAGTTGGAACTCTTCGGTACGTGTGCAGTGTTCCTTAAAGGGTTTGAGACTTATAAAATGAAAACGGAAATTTAATTTTAAAATAAAATCCTGCAATACATACCTATATATTTGTTAATAAGTTCAATCCATCAATAAATATTATGTTCCCAAAAGTAGTTAATGAGGTTTCTTTTTGAAAACTTTGCAACAGTATTTATCAACTTTCATATCCTCTCAGGCTCCAAATTGAAGAAGTCAACAATTGCTGGTTGTTTACACTTTAATCAGATGACATTACGAACTAGGATTAAAATAAAAATCTCTCAACCATAGACGATATACAACACCAAAACAGATGTACGTTATTCCGAAATGGTAGAATTTCTGGAACAGTTTGGGTGATTTCTTCAGAAGGTAATTTGGTTCAATGATCGTTCAATGTGACTGAAAAAATCTAGACACAAAATTAAAAAAAAAAACGCTGCTCTCGTCAACCTAGGACCACAGAAGTGCTACAAAGGTTCCCTCAAACCAGATCTAAGTATTAACAAATCCCCACGTTCTCAAAGTGTGTTGTCTGAGAAAATTCTCGGTATTAAAAGATTGTGCAAAGCAATAAAACGAAAATTAAATCGATCAACAAAGGCCAAAGGAAAGACATACATCACATCTAATACAAGTTCAAAATTTGACAGATACACGAAACATTATTGCAGCAAATGATCAAATCGTGGTTATTCAAACACGAGACCCTGGTTTTGCAATGAAATACTTCAATGTCGATCCTTGTATATGTAAGATATAAGTAAGACATAAGCTCATAATGTGTTTTTATCATCTGCGATTTATAAGAAATCGATTTTCATTCTGTACAGTTTTATTTTATCAAAACTTTGAAACACGCTTAAGAGCCTGTTTTTAAAACAAAGGGGGTTCTGAAAGTGTCAAATATATAAATTTTATGAAGTTTTCAAGAAGTAACCTATTTCAGGATATTAAGAATGTTTGTCAACCGTTTATAGGAACTTTTAGTAAATACAGTAAATAGGTTTTCATCACAATACTGACAGGAATGTTTACTTTCTTTAATTTCATCTTTTATAGCTGCTTTGAGGGTTAATTTAATATTTTAAGATATTACATAAATTCCAAATTTTTAATTTACAAACTGCAAAACATAATTAAACGATAAAGTGCAGACATAAAAGACATTACATGTATTTGTAGATACATGTAGACATTTTGATTTATTTGAGCGCAAAGCAATTTTGAAATTGTAATCCCTATTTAGAATCTATTAGTTTTATATTGGCATTCGAATGCATCACATATAATTCTAAAACACATAAATAGCAACGGCACTTGGCAGCCAAATTATGCAGTCGTTGTTTTCTCTGCACACGTAAGTAAGCATTCAAACATTGAAATTACAAATAACATTCACTGAAAAAAATTGACTATATTATTTTTTTATTACAACAGCTCTATAAAAAAAATAAATAAAGGGAAAGATCTTCCAGCTAAGAGGATTGTCTTATAGTATAATTGTTAAAGAGCTTCCTAAAGGGTAGAAACTTGCCTATTTAGATGGGGAAAAAAAGACTATCATCTAAATCTGTCGTCAGTTCAGAGGGACGGACAGGCTTTTAATTTGGAGTCGCTCGTCATGGTTATGTAATGTTAAGACGTTCCAGCTTTATACGAGAGATAACAGGGTTTTTTGAGGGATTAGAAGTAAGATACAAATTGTAAGTTTTACTTTATTTTCATGCAGTGAATTTATATGCATGTATGATTTTTTTAATATATATACTTAGATAGGTCCATAAAAAATATCACATTACAAGATCAGAACATTTATCAAATTACATGTATAAGACCAGAACGTTTAGGTGTAACAAACAATTGAAATAACTACATGCGATGAACATATACCGAATTAAAAGAGTATATGAAAGTATACAACACTTAAGGCAGCGACAAATTACCATTCAATGACAAAACATAAGATTTGGACACCGTGTGAATTTAATCAAGTATCAGGGAAGTTTTTGATCCAGGGGATCGATTGCGCCGACAAAACTTGCATGCCCATGCAGTCCCATAATATTCCTTTTGATCTAACCCAGCAGGCCTTGTGACATATTGTCAAAAATAACGCTGGCAGTTTGTAGCCATTTTATACAGTATATGGGGTGATTATTTTCATTTATCGGTTAAACTTTTGACAACCTATACCTGCTTCTATATTCTTTCCAGAACTAATTCGTCCAATAATTCTTTAAACTCCAAGCATTTATAAGATCCTTGGTAAAGACTGACAAATGCAGTGTACGCATGTTTGCATAGAGCAGATTCACAACTAGGGGGCGACGTGCCCATGAACTAATAACGGTTCCGTCGATCAAATATCACCCACTGTAGTTAGTTTTACAAGAAGGGTTATCCTTTTAACTACGACTAAATGAAAAGCGTTTCTTTAATTAAGAATCAGGTATAAGTATACTTTATCAAATGTATCTCCGTTTAAGGCATTTAACTGCAATTGAAAGCGGTAATTTATGTTGGTTGCCGTGCGATTTTCTACTTGGAGATGGAATTAAATGTTTATAAAATGAAATACTTGATGTATATGAACATCGTCAAGCTACTGGAATTGGTCTACACAATACCCACGTTGGATTGGAAAATATCGCACATGGCGACAGCTTTTCAACGCCAACGTTATTTTTTCCCAATATCGGTCAAATTGATACTGATAATTTTCTGTTTCCTGAGGATAAATTAAGGCATTTTTTAAAAAAGTGTTCAGAAAAATCAAATGACAAAACTTTATGGATATGCATTTTTTAAACGAGAAAAGTGAAATCAAGCTAATAATGAACAAATAATGTTTTTTCCTATACTTCATTTTTCACAAAAAAAAAAAACTCTAACACTTCTTTCATGAAAAAAAAGCGTTCAGAGGTAAAACATTTTTGCATCAGCTATGCAAATTGATCAAGTACACCATGTATCTTTTTACAAACGATGGTAGTCAATACAACTTAAGACAAAAAGCTGCAATTCGTCATTGACTTCAGGGGAGATGGCAACATTTGTTGATATACTAGCTAGCAGGCAAAAGTAAATCAAATCATCGGTAATCACCAAATTAATGGACTTTCTGGCTCTTTAAATTTAAAATATTCATAATTCGGATGGAATAATAACTCCTTCTGGGAGTATGTGATCCATAATTCGATCAGAAGGCGATAATGTTCTGTAAATGTGTATGTAATGGAGTAATTCAATTCTGCACTTTGCAGCCTACATATATATGAAACACAGCGCAATAATGTGATCTTAGACCTATTTAAATTCATTTGGAGTGAATGGCAATTTACTTTCAAGGTTTTTTTAGAGTACTTTAAAGAAAACCTTGAAATGATACCAAAGTTTCATTTTAAACATTTTTGGAAATTAGTTGACCATTCATGGTTTTTTTCTTCTTCTACCCCCCCTCCAAAGTAATGACAAACATCTGTTCCACAATAAAAGCGTAATTTTTACACTTTAGTTGTTAAACGCGGGTATAACTGATATATGGGAAATATATATATTGATTTTAGAAACATATACAACTTGAGAGAGAAAAATCATATTCTATATTTTTTCTTGGAAAAATTCCATGAATATTTTATAAATGAATTGATGTTTGTCCGTCTAATATATTTTGAAGCTTTCGGTGTAAAAGCCCATTGGTTTTTACATGTTTTCTTCTTTTTTTTAACTTTTGTGAAAGACATGGGCGGGAAAGCATGTTTAGTGTTCATGTAATAAGCATGTGAGACATCATGAAACAGCCCCCGTACAATTCTAAAGATAAATAGTTATAACATATTTCGAAATTTTGAATTCTTTATTCCGTATTTTTTAAAAAAAGCAGCATGAACTTGTTGTATTCATTCTCAGTTTATCTGTAAACATTTCTGCAGAAGTCAGAGTAATGCATTTTATAAGTAGTCAATAAGAATTTCACTCAGTTAATATTTAATATTTACCTACAGGGATAAGGGTCTCATGGGCGTTTATTTTCTAACTAGACTCTATTATCAAATCAAACACCTTCTACAATTGCGTGGTGCTTCCGACCCGTCAGTTAAAATTATTACCTGAATGCTTCTCGAAAGCTTTCGTCAATTCACAATGAATTTTTAATCAATTTATCTAGTGTCAAAAGATTAGCATATACAAAACAACGTATGTACAAACGAGTTACCCATATCTATTATATGTTTGAATAATAGATTAACAGTAAGAAAATAGACTTCATTTTCTGCATGGTGACGTGTTTAGAAGTGCAGTACATGTGTCTTGCTATTCGCGTAATTGCAATGTAAAAAAATTATGGTAAAAATATTTCACATATAAAGAACTATATATGCACCCGATCTCAACTTTTGTGTACAAAAGCCTAGATTTTTATATCATAAGAATTTCTCAGTTGGCAATATAAAATTAGAGAATTTTTTGGAGATAGGCTAAGCCACGACATTTTTGGGTATTTATCTTAAAATATGCAACGTCTTCTCTTTGATTTTTCAAGTTATTCAGTGATACCCGAAGTGTCTTTATTGATTTTTGACTATAATTATTTGTGAAATACAGATAAAAGTGAAATATTTATGAAGTTTCCAAAAAAAGGTTAATTTCTGCGCTTTTGTTAAGTACCGTGATATAAATCATTGACGCTGAATGCGCATGTGTCGCTGCAAAGAGATATCCAGTGAATTTACAAACGACGGTTTTTCAATTTTATCAAAGCCGTCATTATATAACAGAAAAAAAGTCGAAAATGTCTCATCGATTGATATCATGGTTTAAAAATCAATCTCATGTTCAGTTTGCACAATTATGAGAGAGAGAGGGGGGCGAGAGAGAATTTAGAGAAATAATTATTGAAAGGTAAGCTTACAATGGTACATTTAAATAACCTTTTTAAATCCTTAAATTCAATAGTAAGCAGTAACTTTAAAACAATTATTGTCATTTCTAAACTGACACGGCCAAGCCTTATAAAGAACACCCCGCAGACCTAGATAATAGTAAATTCCATTTCAGATTTCCGAAGCACTAGGTGTCATACATTACATATTCTTATGCGAATCACGTTCCAAATTAGCATACTTTTTTAAAACTCAGTTCATTTTAACAAATCTTCGGTTTACACTCGTGTTAATCAAGCATCACGGATCGTAACCAAAACTCGAGGCTGTTTAATATATTTATTTGAAAGAAGCATCTAAAAATCTCTTACACAAACTTGACGATTAGTCGAATATGTTCACTACAGTGGACCAACTTATTGGTTGTTTAAAAAAAGTTTAACTAGGAAAAATAGTTGTCGAATGTCGATAGAAATCATAAAAGGCTATTTAGTTCATCGATTAATTGAACCATTTTTTTTTTTAGCGTGTAATCTTTGACTCCGGAAACTCTCGCTCTCGTAATTTCCCCTCCTATTGGAATTGACGGAAAATATTGTCGTGCGAGCTCTAGATTCTTTAATATTCCTGTGATAGGTATATAAAGGTAATACTTGATCTGTCAGCCTGTAATTATTCTAGAATTTGATCCATACAAAAGGGATAGATCAAATATTGGGATTTAAATTATTTCTAATAAGACAACAATCCTCCAAACAAAATATGTTTAGGTCTATTTTTATGCTTAAAAACGGTGTGAATATCACACATAAGATTCAACCTTAGTGATTCCCAAAGGACAATTTGGTAACATATACAGTTTCTTAGCAAAATTAGAGCCATCATGCTTACATTTCTTAATTAATAACTGCATATTCGTAAAAAAAAAAAAAAATCTGAAAAATTAAGAAGTCTGTGAATTTTTATATTTTTATACTACCTAAAAGTTACTCTTACCTTAGAACGGACCAGAAGAACAATTATCCTGGTGAAATGTTGTAGACCAGAATAACCCCCAATTCACTCCACGGTAGTCCGAAATGCCGCGTTAAAGCCCAGAACTGGTAACCAAGGACGCTACGCAGACGAACGATCGGCTTAGTCAATAGGACTGATTAATACACTAACTGGAACAATACACCGGGGAAAAAATAGATTATACCTCTTAATGCAATCTATAATATATTCGTTAACAAGCTCTAGGTATTAACACCCGGCGGGTTTTACGCCATGTTTTAAATTTCTCTAAGGTTTTTCTTTGAATGCCCTTGTGGAAATTATTTTTTTTTTTTTTTTAAAAAAAGTTACATCGACCATTTAAAACAAAATTAAATGCGTTGCCGATGCACTGAAATTCTTACAATTTAACAGTATAGTAGTTATCAATTCGGTTAGACGGAAACTTAAAGGGGCGTATATATCTGAAGGTTTTAACAGATAAGCCCCGTAATAGCAATACAAACTGTTTCGCTAAGACAAACACAAGATATCAGTTGTGAACAATGCATATACTGTTTCAAGATCAAAAATGTATTGTTGCCAGTTTTACTGGTTTGATAACACTTCAGCAGGGGGACAAGAGTGATATCCTGAAACTTAAGCCCCCGGATTTTCTTTTTCTCGCCACAGACAACTGAACGACTATTGCCATAACCACATGCTGGCTAAAGATAATTTGACTTTTTGTGCTTTGGTGACCATTTGTCTCATTTTGATTCAAATCAAGTTAATACAAGTGATACACGAAGTATACAAATTTCAAGCCAAGTGTTTTTGCGCAAAATACATTAAAACAAGCTACACCCTTTCAAAGTTAAATTATAACTATGTATATATGTACGTGGTCCCTTCTTGGGAATTCTGCCAGACCAATGATTATTGTAGATGTCAGAGGAACACACTTGTATTGGCTGTGACAGTCCATCACCAGAGTTACTAGTACTCTCGGACACCAAAGACTATCTCTTACAGTTAAAATATCAGATAAATAAAGGTGAAACATCAAACTGCAAGTGGTCCCATGTTTTTAAGACTATTTTCTTAGAATTTTTAAAAAGGCTAATAAAAACGAAAGAGATTGTGTAGGTCAGGACATTAACAATGAAAAGAAAAACTCTATAACTAGATGTTTTTTACAGGGACAAATGTATCCCCTTTCCAAAGAATACCCCCTTTGTATCAGGATCGTGGCACGCCTAAAGTCATCAGTTATAACATTCTAAAGTTTGAACCCATTCAAGATACTGTATTCGGGAGTTGTGGCCAAAAATCTCATTGCCCAATGACTGGCTTTGAGATATGACCTCAAGTCAGAATTGGATTGAGTTTTTCGTAATGAAAAATAACATACTTAAGTTTGAAGCTGTTCCCATAATAAGTTGGAGAGTTATGGTCCGGACACAATTTTGTGACACTCGGGGCAACGATACCAAAACAGATTTCTCAGCTCGTTACTATCGTCTTTTCATCATCATCGATATATTCAGGCCCGTAGGAAGCAATTTCACTTTGAGGGGACACAACCATACATTTTCAGTTGGGGGGGGGGGGGGCACTATCAACCACCAAAATTTCTTGACAAGCAAAAAAAAAAAAAAGGGTCATCAAACATCATTATTGAGGGAGCACAAGTATACAGTAGTTATGTTTTCTATAGTATTGTATAGGTCGGCAAAATTATTGGGGGGGGGGGGACACGCCCCCCTCCCCCCCCCCCCCCCCGTGCCCTCCCCCGGTTCCTACGGCCATGATATTATCATCTAAACCCTTGGTCAACGCGAGGCAGGATCATTTAATTCAATTTAGCCGTGAACAGAAATAACATTATCTGAATAGCAATATCTGTAAGGAAATGAGTAAAAAGTATTAAATTCACTTAGTAAATTATCAATAACAGTTTTATTATTAAGAGAAACATCAATTTACTTACCGTGGCAGACAGACGACATACGGTTTGTTATTCAGGGCGGTATATCAAAGGAAAAGGAGAATCTGGACAAACTAAATCTATTACAAAGGAAAATTCTTATGAAGACAATATAAATATTCTTCTTCCCCTCCCCTCTCTCTTTTGTAACTGGCAACTTTTGCGAGTAAACAACAAACCTTCGTCTTTTGAGGCTTAATTTTTGCGGATAAATGCGAAACTTTTGTGAAATAACGTAAAAATTTCACAAACCCAAAATTTTCGAGTTATAACGCGTTTACAAAGAGCTTTTCGCTAATGCGAGCAGATATATATCATCCATATATTCATTTTACCTAAGTCATTCAGTACACCTAATAATATACATGTAACATGCAATTCTATTGATCCTAGAGGTTGCAAGTACAATTTTTAAAGAACTTAATTAACTTCAAATTCATTTCGAGATTTTTTGAGGTGAAGGATATGTTTAGAGAAACTCCGAAACCCTAAAAAACTGATATAATCTTCGTAAATAAAATATACTCCCAATGTGTGTAAAACTAATTGCATTGCATTCAACAGTTAAAATAATCAGAGACCTTTACATAAATTATAAATTGAAAGTCATTCGCCAAAGGTTCCGTTCCAAAAGCAAGTGTGTTTCTAAATGAAATGTTCAATAATTTTCTCCCAATTTACCCTTGTACTTCCACAAACTTAGGTATTCAGATCAATTGAAAGGACTCTCACTTTAAAAAAAATATGAAATCCATGACCCTTTTTTTCAAAGGACTTTGGCTTCTGGATGGCCATTTTAATGAAAATCAATGACAACTGTCGTGTTGTTTTTTACATGGTGGCAGTATTTACACGAATTAAAAATTGGTAAATTAAAAGATTTCAATTATGACAAATCTCTCAAACATATTTTTACTTTAAAAGAGAGAAAGAGAGAGAGAATACAAATCATAGTAATCGAATGAAGAAGAGGAGGGTTTGTAGAATAGTAAATCGGTAACCCTTTGCTGCAGGGTTTTTTTTTTAAGGCAAACTGTGGCCTAATAGTCCTACAGAGGCTCTAAACACTAGGAACGTTTTCTGACTTACGGGGAATTACTAGTATATCACACATGTATAAAGATATACATATTAAATTCTAGTTCTAGTTTATCTTCAACAATGGGTACGTGACATTTTTTATTCAAAATAAGATGTTCAATGACAGCATTGTTACCCTTAAAGAAGGAAATACATGCAAATAAAGTTACTGTATTCGATTAGCTTTTTTTTGTTGTTGTTTGTTTGTTTGTTTGTTTGTTTGTTTTGTTTTTTTTTTGAGATTTTGTTTTATGCATTGCATACTTGAATCAATTACAAACTCTGTCATACACTATTGATGTTATTTTTACAACTATAAGGGCATATTACTCTAACTGGATATACTAGTAGGCAGTCGTCAGTGTGTAGAGTTTGGAGAATAAGTCACGGTCTTATTTTAACCCCCCCCCCCCGCTTGAAAAGGGGGGATATAGTGATAGGGGTGTCCATTCTTCTGTGCGTCCTTCCGAACGCCCTTAACACTTGGAGGTATCCATTCCTTATCCGCAACTCCTCCTCTACCACTGAATAAAATTTACAGCGACTTTCAAAGAATGTTTATTACATAGTGCCATTGTGCATCTATTTTATGTTTCGATCAGACACACATTTGGCGTTTCCCATAGCAAAACCAGGATATTGTTATCCCTTCTATAATACTGGAGGTACCCATCTCTTATCCGCAACTGCTCCTACACCACTGAATAAATAAATCTTTCACAAAATATATTACATAATGCCATTGTGCATCTCGATTTACGTTTCGATTGGACACATATTTGGAGTTTCCCGCAGCAGAACATGAACACATTCTTTCTATCATATTGGAGGTACCCATCTCTTATCCGCAATTCCTTCTACATCACTGAATAAAATTTAACGAGACTTTCACAGAATCTTTATACATAGTGCCATATAATAAATTTCCTTTTTCATTCCAATCGGACAGTTATTTAGTGTTTCCTACAACAAAACCTGGACGCTGCCATTCTTCCTATAATATATCCATCTCTTATCCGCTTCCTCCTATACTGCTGAATGAAATTTAATGAAACCTTTACAGAATCTTTAATACACAGTGCCATGGTGCATCTCCTGTTTTACCTTTGGATTAGATACATGTAGGTATTTGGGGTTTTCCACAGCAAAACATTGGACTTCGTCATACTCATATGGAAGCGGGGGTATCATTCGCGAGAGTAGTTGGCTATAATGCGATTTTTTTATTTACCAACGAAAATGAGCTCAATGGACTTTTTTATTTAAACTTGACCACAGAATGCACAAGAACCATTATCCAATAAGATTGAAAACGGATTTACAGAACGGTTCGAACTGACCGCAAAAAGACCGTAAAAAGAGGAGTGTGTGCAGTGTTGAGATTACTGACGATAAATCTTCGATACGCAAGAAAGTTTAACATTTAAAAATAAAATAAAATTCTAAATATTTTAATATATTTATTTCACACTTCGATCAATCGACCCAAAACGAGATAATTATTGAGAAGCAAATAGGGAATACATGTAGTTATAACTCCGTATTAAAGACTAGGTTATCCTTGCAATGTAAGCAATTAATTTCAATCAGGAAGCAATTAATTTCAATCAATATTAATTTTAATCATGCAATGCAATTCTTAATATAAGGATTTACATTGAGTATTACAATGGAAATTTAAAAGAATTGGTTACAAATAAAACACAGAGTAAATACTGGAAAACTATATACAAAGAATACTCTCCCTATTGTTCATTGCTCATTATAAATATCCGTGACATAATCTTCTCAAAATTCAAACTCTATGAATGCACATGCCATAATAAATTACAACTCCTTATTATTTTCTATAAATTCAATATCAATCTGTTGTGTATTTTTTTCTTCTACATTTCAATAATTATTCTCGTTTTATCTGTAATTTGGTTATATTTTGTCAATTGACATGTTTGTTTTTTTTCTAAATTCAAATGGTTCACGTACAGTCAAGCCTAGTATATCCGGACACTTGTGTTCCCAAGCAAATTGTCCGGATCAAGGAACGTCCAAATTACTAAAAATACTTGATATATACAAATTGCACGTTCCCCACAAAGGTGGTCTGGAAGGTGATTGATTGATGAAGCCTCCAAATAACTGAAACATACCTGATATATATAAATTGTCGTCCCGAAGGTTAAGGGTTCACATTATTGGAGTCCGGATTAACGAAGTTTCACTGTACGTAGAACCATGCTACAACCTACGTCTACAACCATGTTTATTTTGTACTACCTAATAAGTGTCTGTCACTTGAATTACTAAAGAAATAACGAGGCAGATTAATATATGTTATGTAACTTACTTCCTAAAAAAATGTAGAAATGTTGTTTTGTACAGATTGAAAACAAAATTGAAAATACATCCACATGGAATTCAAACTGATACGTTATAAAGTTCACCACAGCCCTCCTGATATTATTTGAGTAAGCTTGCTCTACAGAAAATGATGATGCTTGCTCATCAGAGAGGGAAACTTTAAAATGAACTCTCATTAACTTCACCACTGAAAACAAAGCTTATGTATTAGTTGCAGCATAAAACTGACAAAATTAAAACATCTAGAATATTTCATTATTGGAATAAACAGTGATAACCAGTTTCTATAGATACATGTACTATTATCTGGTCCTGCTGGGTCAATACATATATATATCACAGTTTACATGTATAGGTCTTGATTGGCACACCATTTATATCTTAACATATATCCAAGTAAAAATACCATTATGACAAGGTTAAATGTGGATACTGGATACACTTTGTTATTGGATACATGAATTTCATTATACATGGACATAGTAATGAAGGTCCTTTATTTTTGTCTCGATAAAGAAAATGTTTAAAAGCTAAAGAAATACATTATTAATTATTACAAGAAACTAGGCATTATATATAGGATAATAGTTTAAATACATTCTCTATAGAAAATCAAAATCTTTTCAGAGTCTTTATCCCATCCTTTAGTGAACTCCTGAATAAAAATAAAAATATTTACAAATGAACAAATTAGATGATTTTCAAAAAAGTTACAATAACTATAACTTTATCCAAGTGGAACAAAATTGCATTTTCACTCAACTAACCTTACTATTACACTATGCAAATGTAATCATTCGTGAAAAGTGATTTGACCTGTTTTACAGTCGGGGTGGATGTGATTGTTCTACAGGCACATGTTAATTCTACACATTGTTGAATGAAACTAAAATTTACAATAAAAGTATCACAATACTGATGCACCAAAACAAATATCTTACCTCCAGGTCGTGTCATTATCATACAGGTACATTTATCACATGTGTATCATATAAAATATACGTAAATTTTATCCCATGTGTACAACAAAACTTAATCTTAAAATATGCATTCATGGTCAACCTGTTTTTTTCAGATGTGCACTAAAACAATGCCTCTAAACACACAAAAAATATTTTCTTCTCTTTTTCACATTCTACACAAAATGAAAATAATCAAATAAAGTTATTGCCTTGGCTTTTTCCCTACAATACCTTGGTAATTATTACATGTACAATTATGATTTATTGTTGATCAAAGTATCGAAACTGTTTCAAATCAATAAATACATGAACTGACAGATTTTCCTGACAAAAGTTGTCATGTTTGTCATTTGGACAAATGTTAAAAATGTTCTCTACTAAATTTCATATTGCTATCTACTTGATATATGACCTTATAAAGTAAAAAAAAACAAACTTTGTTCCTTTATATAATTCAAAATAAGATTGATTGTTTGGTCTTTGACCAGGAATACTCAAAGGTTTAGGTATAACATCAGTCATTACAACATTTGTGTCAATAATCAATAGATTCTTTGTCTTCCTGTAACCAATCACTTTCATATATGTATCAACAGAAAAAATTATAAAATAATATATACAAGGCCAACTTTAAAATAATGTTTGTTTGCCCTCTCCTGACTCAGGATGAAAAGTTGAGGTGGTAGGTACTAGGTAGGTGGAAAAAATTCTTTCCAGAAAAATTCAAATCAATGCTGAATTTTCAAAATCTTTTTTTCCAGAATGCACTAAAAAAATAGTTGTTTCCCGGAGGTTAAAAAAAGTTTCGAGTAGGGCCATTTTTAGCCAGTTGATCGGGAAAGGGCAACCAAACATTTTTTTTAAAGATGGCCTAATCATAAAATTATTATATTTATATAACTTCTTCATTCACACAAAACAACTATCAAGTCTTCACAACATTCTAAATACAGTCAAACCTCGTTATCTCGAACTCGATGGGGCCAAGAAAAAACTTCGAGATATCCAAGGATTCCAGGTATCCAGGATAAAATACTTAAAGAATAAGTAGTTGGGACTTAAATACAGATCATTTTAATATATCCATGGTATTCGAGATATCCATGTTCGAGATACCAAAATTGAACTATATCTTTACATGTAATTTTTCAGGAAATGTGGGATTTTTTAGCTCTATAATCTTATTCTGTGAGTGCAGGTTTGGGGTGATCTAAGATCTGCATACGTCACCTATAAAACTGAGTCCTTCGTCCACAGCAACATTTACAAATGGCTGGGCAACAGTAGAGGACAACGTTAACAAAGATGACTAGAAGAGTGACCATGAGATAGCTGTACAGAACACGGTATCTGTTGGGATTCCACAAAATGCCATAATGAAGACCTCCTTTTGCATCTGAAAAATGTTATGTATACTTGTGTATGTATATGTTCAATTGATCAATTAAAACTATTGTGTTATGAATACTGAATAGGGTTTTCAAGGTAAATAAGCCTAAAATGTTACATTCTTAAGATTATGGGAATGTGTCACAGTACATGAATAAGATATTATTATGCTTCCTGTCAGTTTGTCTCTATATAATCAATACCCAACTATTTTCGCATAGTGTTCTAAGGATTTATATAGCGTAAGCATACTATGCCGAAATAGTGCACGGGTGTCTTTTCTAGAGAAAATGTAATTAGCACCCACGCTGGGGATCGAACTCACGGTCTGGAGAACGTCAGTCCAACGCGTTACCGATTACGCCACAAACACCGCTACTTTACGGAATGTATTTTCAAGTATATAAACGTAGTTTTTATACATTTGTCACAAAACAAGAAATAAATGAATATAATTTCTAAAAGACTGATATTATTGATAAGGATCTTAAAGAAAAATTCTCTAACAAATAATCGAATTTATCAGTAACCAAAATTGCAACGTAACATGAACTGGTTCTTCGGAGTCAATAAAACGCTTTTTGAGATAACGCTTGATTAAAGAATGTTCAAGAAAATTTTCATTTAGATTTAACGTCTGCAAACAGGTTTGGGATTGAGAATTTAATTAAATTGTCGTATACAAACAACAGTCAGCATAATAATTATAATAGTGTTATTATTTGGATGTACTATGCCGAAATAGTAGTCAGGGTTTGACACATAGTGCACTCGCCTCCGGCTCGTGCACCATGTGTCAAACCATGACTACTATTTCGGCATAGTACATCCAAATAATAACACTATTATATAAAAAAAGGAACATTAAATTCACATGATTATGAAAATACAATATATATTAAATATGAATAGAAAACGTAACAAATACACCTCTAGGTTAATTAATGGTCACCTATTTAATATCATAGTACAACTGTACTTATTTTACGACACAGATTACCTAGGACTGCTACTCCGTATCCCATGTTTGGTTCCCCCATTCTGTAGCTACAGGTCGGGACCATTATTTCAGTCAGACACTCAGCACTGCGAGTAATGTTCTCAAACATGAACCCATGCATGTGGGTCAAATCTCTCTGGTGAACTGACCATGAATAATCATCATTTCTCATACAGTCATCACAAATATAGGCAATCGGCTACAAGAGGGATTACATATGGGAAAATCAAAATTTACTTCTATATATATAAATTGTACAAAATTTCAGTATCCTGAGAAATGTTAAACATTATACATTTTGTAAGAAGAAAGGTTTGAATATTAAAACCAATTTGCTATTATTGAAAGATGGCAAAGAATTCTATTAATTTTATACATGTATTTTTACAAAATCTGATATACTCAGGATAGAGTATACATTTACTGTAGAAGTAATTTTTTTCCACATAGTATTAATTTATGCTATGTACACAGTCATCAGTGGAAATTTGTCTTGGCGTACCTCAAGTACATTAAAGTCACACAGTGGCAATCTAAGAAATCCACACAATTTTCTATCTGCAGATTGAACAGAAATTATGACCCCATGGAAAAAAGTACATTTACAACATCTGATGATTGAAATATAGTCTGACAATACTTGCTATGGTTAAAGTGTTTTTGTTGCTGTCACTTGCTTACCTTGTGCCAGTGAGCTGAAAAGATGAGTTTGCCACTAACCATAGCTAAAAGCTGCAAATACATTAATGAACAATTTAAACCTAAAGACGAATTTCAATTACACTTCTTTTGAGATAAATCTTGACTATCTGCCTGCATTAAAATGTTGTAATGTTTGTAGCCATTTCTTATTACAATATTATTAGTATATCTAAATGAACATGTATACACTATTTTTCATAAAAGATACATTGTATATCTCTACTGAGACTGCAGCTCTACTGTTCAGGCTTGAAAGAGTATTTGGGCATAATTCTTTTTTTTTTCAAATGAACTAATATTTCTAACTATAGAATCAGACAATATAAAGATGCAACATTTCAGAATAATCCTGAAGCATTTTTAAAAAAAATTAGATTAAAGATTCCATTACAAACTGTTCTATAAATTCTGTGAAGACTTACAGGGTAGATAGGTGACTTGAACTGTAAGGGTAGCAGACTCTCGTGGTTGATGACAACATGGATGGGTGAGTTCAGTGACTTTCTGTAATGTCTGAACAGCTTTTCCTTTTCTTGGAACATAGTATTCTGTATTCGGGTGTCAATCTGAGAAAATGAATTCATCATGGTGATATCTTGACAAGTAAATAAAAAACCATACAAACATGTATCTCTAGAGAGGAGTTGAATCATCACAGCATACAACAAACACTGCAAGTGATTCTTACAACTAATCTGACTCTAAGATCTGTTCTGTAATCACAAATCACAAGTAACTTTATCTTTCTATAAAATACAACATCCCCCCCCCCCCAAATGATAGGGAGGTACATGTAGGACTTGATTTAATGCTCCCAATAAAAATTGGTCCTTTAAAATTCCAAATCTAGATTTAATTCTTGGTTTAGGTAAAGTTTCATTTTTAAATCATGTATGTACATGTGTATTTTTACAAAATTCTGACTTACCTTGATAAAATCTATGAAACCATGCTGAACAATGCCATCAACTTGTTCAAAATGTTTTACAAATCTGTCAACTTTCTCGGGTGTGCGGTAGTCCCTGAATTCTCCTCCTACATCATTATCTCCTGGAATGTAGATTCTCTGAGAAAAAATAAAATGATGGAGTATAGGTGCCACACATCTATCTGCGGAAAAATATGTATATTTTGTAAACGTTTCTTTTCCTTTTATTTTCAAATAAATACAAATGAAGCAAAAGTCAAAAATCTGTAAATCAGAGCACAGGACCCATTCCCAATGGGTAGAAAAAAAATCGCTTTTAACCTTCTGCTTTCCCACACAAAATTTTGCTTTTAAGCTAATGATTTTCCTAAAGAAATCCAATTAATAATTGCTGTAAACATCTATTATTTGCAACATCTTTTATTCCAGTTTCAACAGTTTCAAATCAATCTGCCACTTAATAGTCATTTATCCAATTGAGAGTAAACTATCTAAACAGAGAGTCAGTGAACCTAAAGCCCTATCACTTATAAACAAGGGAGTACCTTGGCACTTGGGAAGTTTGAGAAAATGCTATGAAATCTGTAATAAGTATCTCTATATTCATCATGAGTGGCCCGACTTCCTTCATCCATCAGGTCCCCCAAAAATATCACAACATCAGGTTTTGTATGAGCCGCAGCAAAGGAAAATGTTTTTTTGAGGTAACTAAAAAATAAAATAAAGATACTAGTATTCATGTACACTGTCCTGAACGTAGATATGAGAAATCATTTACATACTTGTAGATAGCTGCAATCAAAAATGTCATATACATTTTCATTTTTTTTTTCAGTATAACAAACTAAGTAAGGCCAAACAAAAAAAATATGTCTGGTTCCGGTTACACCTCCATAAAAATTAGGGTAGGTAGGTAGGGATTTTTTTTTTTTTTTTTTTTTTTTTTAACAAAATGATTTTCTTAATTTTTTCTTTAGAAATAATACCTATCACTGCTTTGCAAATGGCATTTAGATGTGGTGTGATAATATACTAGTCAATATTGGTAGGGGACACCTACATGCTAGTTTGCTTTGGATTTAACACTATTAAACTATGTTTTGCAAGGAGGCCGTCATTGCTGAAACTGCCATCGATGGAAATCGGGGAAAATTCCAGAAAAAATATGAAAATTGCCAAAAAAAAGTTTAAGGTCGGGGGTATAAAATAGGGAAGGTCGGGTAACCGGAACCACACATAATTTTTTATTTGGCCTAACTTTCAGAATTCCTGTGGAAGTGATTCAGATCAGATACATGTACTTCCCCAGTATATTAATCTTAGAATAAGCTGTAGTATTCTATTTAGCTGTTTTACCATTAGAATTCAATTACTTGATATATTGAGGACACAAGCACTTGGGGCAAGCCCCCCCTCCCCCCCTCCATCTTTTCCCATTTTCTAAAAAATTAAAATGGGATCGACACACTTTTCCCCTATTCATATATTTTAATACTAGTATGCATTATGCATTACATGTTATGGATAATGTACACTTTTCATCTCTATGAGCTATTTTTAATTATCTAATTCTCAATGGATACATATAAAAAGAGAGAAGGAATTCGAAATTGGAAAGGGAGGGGGTCCATGCCCCCAAGTGCCTGTGATTGAGGACTCTGTTCAATATTCTCTGGTTTTCAAATCATTGTTTTGATAAGCTTTGTATTCATCTTTAGTTACACTTATTTTAAACCCTGAAACATAATTTTTGAGTACCGTATATACTCGCCTTTAAATCAGTTTTTTGGGAGTTAAATTTTAGTCCAAAAGTCTATGTCCGACTTAAACGCGAATCATAAAAAGACTGGTATTTTTCTGGATAGCGAAACATAGTATTCTATAAACATTTTCAACAGTTATCGTTGAACAAAGTCTGGATATATTGTATCATTTATGTATTCTATAAAGATTGTACATAAAGTACAAGTATTTATATACATGTATTTAATAATTTTATTTTTTTAATATTAAGAGGGCATTATTTATTTTTTTAATGATTTAAAGTTAAATATCGGCTTCATTTTTAAAACTATTAATTGAAATCAGGTTAAAGCATCAGAGCATTTATTTGAAATTGTCATCTGATTCTGGCAAAAAGTTGTACCGACTCATAAGAGGGTCAATGGCAAATCCCTGCAAAATAACCTCAAAAAATACAACCGACTTACAGGTGGACCGACTTATAGGCGAGTATATAGGGTACTTTCAGTCTTTGTGATCCTCCATTTTGTTTTTCTACTGTTGATTTTTTTTTTTTAATTATACTTGATGCCATTTTTCCATATAAGTTTGTTTCATCACTCAACATTCACCCTTATTTTTCCTCTACAGAGTAAATTATACAGTATGCCAATACTCCAATATAAATGAAAAAATGAAGCAAACCTAACTGTTACACAAATACATTACTGAAATAATTACCTATCAGCATCCCATCTGGCATAAGGTCCTATCCAACTTCCTTCTGTCTGGTACCCCTGTATCTGTGGATCGGCTACCAGCAAAATAACAACAGATGAGCCATCTTCCCTGCAAGACATAGATTTATGAAGGAATTTTACCTGTATTCCACATTAAGATATAAGTTATCTTTCTTTTGCTACCTTTACTGTATGGGCAGTGATATACATGTACATTCAACATTCATCATCTCAAACTCAATGGACTGAAAAAAAACATTGAGATTTTCAATGATTCAAGATATCGAAGTTGAAAAACAAAGAAAATGTAATTGTGATTTATACCTCACCTGGACATATCCATGGTATTCAAGATATCAAAGTTAAACTGTATTTATTTTTTTTTCTATAGCAAGAAAATTTTATTTAATTACAAATACTTAAACCTAATGAAACAACTTGAAAATTGAGGTTAAATACAAACCTGTTTACATCTGGGATGGCTGGCCATCTCATGGTTTGAAAGACATAGATGAGATACTCGTTGAACAATACTAGGCATATAAGAACTACGAGAGAAAACTGAAATGGAGTCCATCTTTTTCCACACAGGAAACACTGTGTATTGGATGGCATGATGCACAGAGGTTCCACACACAGCCACCCATACAAGAATTCACCGCCATTGCTTCACATTATAATCTATACATTAAAAAAAAAAAGATTCATGAATTGAACAGGTATGTAACACCTGGTCCTGATCGTAAAATAACACGTTGTATAATTCATACGGAATATCAATATTTAATATCAATTTTAAATTGCACCGATAGTGATAGAATTACATTAGTGTATAGAAGCAGGTTATAGACTTTATTTTAATGATTTTATAAATAAAACATAACTACTAAACAATTCTGAGGTCATAAATATTGTGTAATAAAAATGACATTATGAGATCCGAGACATACTAACAGGATAGGCAACGCTATCAGCACCATGTTTATTTGCCCAAAATGTCACAAACATCACTAAAAAATTTTCAAACTACATTTATTCCCAGTTTAAAGTTTATTTTCTGATGAATGTATAATCTGTTCTTTTTGTTTATTGGAATGGATTTTTAATAAAGGATGACTGCACTTAAGGACATGCGAAATTTGCGACAAAATAAACTTTCAAAACAAGCATATTTCTTTTCATTGTAAGAATGGTCAACATCCAATCTACAACTTTATGTAATTACGTTTAATAAAAGTGTGTATTTACGAAGTTTGAATCTGTTTTCAAAGGCAGAGGTCATCACAATTTCTTGAATCTCCATTCGATAATGAGGACGCCCACTTTTTTACTGACTTAATACATAGTCAGCGCATGTTTGTCTATTGTTCTATGTTTCACAGTAGTTGTATATTTGCATAAATAATAATTAGTCAAAAGGAGATTAATAGACAAACATGCGCTCATGGTTAAAAAGAGAAAAAACGGCTTCTTCTCATATCCGCTCTCTGTGTTGTAACCAAGGATTGTGACATGTTGAATATTATAATTCACCATGTGATTTCTTACCCCAGATAACTTTGTGAATACTAAATTCCGTCACGTGACTTGTAAGGTAGCATGTTTTGTGCTAACTAGGACATTGTGTTTGAACACGTTAAGTCATCTGGCATTGATATAAAATCTGCTTTAATTACACTGACGTGCTCATATTGTTAATTTCGTTTTGAAACCTTTGTCAGAAGTGTATTTGTGCCATACAGAATGGAGAAGGAGATTGGAAAGAGTGATCACGTTCTTTTTTCCAAACATCTCATTGTTATTTATCAAGTCTAATTTTAGACCCATTCTTACAATGTTAGCTCCACCTCTCATGCATATCTAATGTTCAATCAAGGGCAGGTAAGTGTAAATTCACTATACATGTATTTGGAAAGCAGTAAGGACAAAAAACATTGAATCATTTTATTGTATCACAGTCTAAAATCATTTTAAGATTAAAATTTGGTTCCAAATTGACAGGATTCTTTCATAAACATACAAAAGTGAAACAAGGTTTAGATATAAAAGCAACAGAAGCAACCGAAAAAGACCCAAAAACAGGCGTTAAGTGCAGTCATCCTTTGTATTTGTACATTGTAAAATAATTTAAACATAAAGCAAACAGCCACCAAAATTTGGCAAATTCTCATTTCAATTCGCAATTACATGTTCACTTTCTGATACAAGAGTTAGGCCTAGTTTAGTAATCTGATTAAAACATCTGAAGATTCAAGAATAAGTATTAATTATTTAAGAGTTTTAACATTCTCGGAGGCTCTACCAGTCTATGAAAATTATAACCATGGTGTTGATGTCTGCTGTATGAATGTTACATCCCCAAACCCCCTAACTCTGTCTCTATCGCCGTCACTTTCTGGAAACTCCACGCTATTTGTAAATGAATGCGATTGTCATATCATTTTTTGCATGCTGAAAATCTACAGTCAAATGCCGAGATACTATAACAGTCAAGTTCAAGAATGTGTCAAAAACAAATAACAATTACACATAATTTATTGTATGTATCGTATTTTATGTGAATTTAGTAAGCACCTTTTCCCCTATGCACTATTCCATCGATATCTCTGACATGTGCCTCAAGCCATCAACATACTCATTTTCACATCAGTTATTTTAATGAAGGTCTATTTCAAAGGTTTAACATGACATACCATTTGAATATGGCTGAAAATATTTTATTTTTTGTATACATTTGTCCTAATGTACTACACGTAAAGATAATGTTAAGCGTGGCATTCTTATACATAAAATACTTTATTTTAACGTTATTTGTTTCTATTGTTGATGCCGTTCTTAAATAGAATTCCATACTATTTTAAATCAAAAACAAATTGACAATTTTTATGTTTACAAATTTAAGAAAAGGGTATATAAAACTAAACTGGGGAAAAAATTGTCTTTAATACATTGGCATATTGATAGAGGGCCCTCGTGAATCGTGATGGAGTTAGGGTTCATTGATTTCATAAATTTTCTCGGCAGGCATATTTTCCCATGGCCCAGCAGTGATCGGCAGGCGTATTTTAGTTTATCCTGCAACTACCCTTTGCATTGACCTAATAAAGGTAACCTAATAAACCAAAGCTTTATTCGGCCGATACCCTAATAAAGCCTCGTGCATGTATTCCGACGTTCTAAAACCATTGTGACGTCATTTATATTGAAATGTTTACTCCATGGCGTCTTAATTTCAACTGCAGAGAGGTGCCTAAATCGGGTTGAAAATAGCTCGTTTTGGAGTTCTGTAAAAATTTATTGGAGGATAAACAAAATACATGGATGTTGTCTTGTAATATAAGTGATATTTGAGCTCGGGTCGAAAACGTGATGGTGGGGTCGGCAAGCATCGCCCTCTATCACGTTTTCTTACCCTCAACCAAATATCGCTTATATTTCTAGACAGTAACCATGTGTTTCACATATGACCGGTTCTATTGGACGTAATCAGGTACATGTAATGTATGAGTGTGATACACGATCTATTTAGTCGTGTTATATAAGCCCAGTAACTCCACTTTCTTGTATATATCACTAAAACAATGTTTAAGTTCATTACTTTGTGTAGCAAACAAGAAACAATTAAAAAATGATAATTCCAAGAGTAACGCGGTGTGTTTTCCAGTTATGGTGACAGAGTTTTGGTACTCGGGGATAAATATATCACCAACCTTACGGTCTTATCACCAAATTGAATGCTACTAACTTGATCTTAATTGATTATTATTGTTATTTTTTATGCGCAGTTCTTATAAATCCAGTTAATAAAAAGAAATATTCTAAATACTTTTTCCATGTCGATGGACAGCGCCATATTGATTCCTTCTGTAACACGAACCCGACCTATTTAATTCGGAACCATAATCATTTTGGTAAAGGTTTCAATAGGTACCTTTAGCTTCTCATCTTAAATGTACCGTTTACTCTCTTTTTGTCTTAAATGTACCGTTTACTCTTTGTAGCGTGTTAAATTTACATAATGCTTTCAAATTATTTTATTGAAACCAAAATAATTTTCTAGCTGATACAATCGATAAAATAACAGGGAAAAAAGTTTTTAAGTTGAAAGTTCATTCATTGAAAGACTAAGTTACAGTTTGCAAAAAGCATTACAGAGAAATAAAGTCTCATGCTTGGCCGATGAATCCTAAATTCGCGACCACTTGACCACAGGTAAACGTAACCCGCTTTCGTTCGAACCAGTGAGAATAATTTTTAGGGACGTAGCATCGTTTTTGAAAGGGGGGGGGGGGCAGCCAGAGAAAAAATTTCAACTTACCTGAAAAAAAACTTGACAAGCAAAGAAAAAAAAAAGGAAAAAAAGGGATTTTGTCCGAACTCGAAAATCCTAGTTCGGGGGGGGGGGGGGGTAGGTTCCAACTTCTTTAAGTACCAAATTTTATTCATACTACTACAAAACCCTTATTTTACTATTCTACAACAAAAAAGGGGGGGGTGGCCTTTCAATTAACATTTCAAATAGTAAAGAAAGTCTTGGAAAAAAGTTAGGGGGGCAGCCCCCCTCCCCCCTGTTGCTACGTGCATGATTTTTAATCCGACAGAGTTCTGCAAAACATTCATTGCAAAGAAACTTTTCAGTGTTATTGATAAATCAGAATTTTGTAACTAGTTGGTCACGGTCAATAATAATCAGTAATGTCAACAGAGCCGTTTGACAGACTCCACAGCTACGAAAAGGCGCAAAGAATTACATGTAAATCAAAGCTTCCTCGATGTGTCATTTTTAAGCTACTGTTTTTCTTGTTTTTCTATATTTTATATCACATTGCACTGATTTTTTTTTTCTGATGAGTGTACCCAACATAACTGTCAAACACTGTTTATTTATTTATTTATTTATTTATTTATTTATTTATTTATTTATTTATTTATTTATTTATTTATTTATTTATTTATTTATTTATTTATTTATTCATTTATTTTGTGGATTTGGGTTCATTATCATGTACATGTACATCTGTAGGAAAGTCAAGATTATTGCTGATAAACCATACGTGTGTGTTGTGATCTGAACCAAAGTCAACTGAAAACTCTTCAGAGTCCTATTATATTTATGCAAAAAAGATAACATATAATTTTGAAAATTTAATTTTTCTACGGGAGGAAAAAATCTTAGAGAGAGAGAGAGAGAGAGAGATGTTTCAATTTCAGTCCTGATATTATCCACACCTTTTTTACAAAATAATGATACCGGTACTGTATGAACATGAGGTTAAATTTCATATAATTTTAATGCGTTTGCAGAAGGTTTTATATCAGAGTATTATACCAAATGATAAATACTCATCTGAATGTTGCGCGACTATAACATAGTAAAAATGAACAATATTAAAATATGCACATATCGTATAAAAGTACTAGATCATTAAAACAAAGGAATACTAGTATATTCTTGAAAATAAAAGGAAATGAATATTCTCCAGAATGTTTCCAAATATCATGCTACATGTACTAAAAAAAGAAAAAGAAAAAGAAAAAAAAGAAAACTAAAAATATTATTGTAATATTATCTATATATTTCACTATTATGGCAAATAGTTAGCATGAACTAATGTTGATGGAGGTTTTGCATTAATGTAAATGCATTGAAAAAATGTGGTTAACCTCTACT